ATATGAAACGAAAGAAAGAAATTAATATTTTTCTTGGGGTAAAGGTTTTTGCTGTTAGTAGGTTAAAATGTTTTTTTAATTCTAGGCAATTTTAGATTTACCAAGCGAATATTTTTTGAATCTGATGATCATTCGACAACGGTGAAACAAATACATCTTCCAGTTGGTCTTGGATATCAAATTACTGTTTAAAAGCTGATCATTAAAATGCGAAAGCCACTCGTTTTTCTACGCCAATAAAATGTGTCATTATCAATAACAGTTGGTAAACAAAGGCTAATAAGCTAATAACTTTGCGGTCGTGACAAGTTTAGAGCTTATTTTAATTATCATAGAGTTTAAAAATAGGCTTCATTACACAGTTCAGTAATCATAGAACGAAACAGACATCTTTGTTGAAATTGCCCAATGAAATCCTAAGTGGTAGTGATAGTTAGTGTTAAAATTAGGGGTTCGCTTTTTCGGAGATTAAGGTGTGGAACATTGTTATGTCTTTGGAAAATGTGTTAATCGGCTTTATTATCAGAAAATAGCTTCAGTTTGTTTAATCGTTTAAAAATGCATCGACAGAAGTCTACTTGTTACGCAATGTTGCTTTCCTAAGCACCCGCATAGCAGGTGCGCGTTTTGGGAAGCAGATGTGACTACAATTTTCAGCCTTGTTAGGCGATTCATATCGCTGACGCACGCTACAATATTTGCAACCCACGGTCAATTTATTACATGAATATGCTTCCCAATATTTACATGATATTCTTTTGCGGCTTCTTCCCCAACTTAGTTTTCGTCAGGTGCACAGGCGCCCTTGTTAATGAAAACTGTCAATAACTTCCCACGAGCAGTGCAAACATGAACGCCGCGGAAAAAATTAAGTTGGTCTTAGACAAGACAAGACGAGACTTTCATTGCCGTGCCATCAATTCTTTGATTATGGGCTCAAAAAGATTTGTTTAACCTCCCCCTGTTTTCATTAAGAAACCTTCCTGATGTTGGCGTAGAAAAAAACAAATGTTTTGTTCGGACAAACCAATAACGTATTAATTTCTGCAGAGAACTCACGATATTCTGATTTCAAACGCCTTTAGGCCTGGTTTTTGAAACGTAAGCAGATTATAAATACTCCTTCAAAGTCAATTTAGAATATTTTCAGCATCATGTAAGTGTGGTCATGAAAACAACCTAGTACCTTGAGAGAAAAGGCCGGCTGCAATTTAGGTAAACTCTAAAAGAATAAAAGAAGGTTACGGAATGGACGCGTGTATGGGAAAACAAAGCTTTTTCCTCAAGGTTTTTTGATGAGCCGACCTAGCCTCATTCTTAAGCCAATTGAAATGAAATATTAGATGTCATGCGAATTTGATGGCGAAATATTACTAATCTATTGTTTGCTTTTAAGCCCGTTTGGCCAAACAAACAAATTATGAACAACGGCAGTTAACAGCCGAATTTTTGTAAATGTGATGAGCTATTCAACACTTTTTACGCTCTAAATTCCCGGCGCCTATTGCTAACTTATGATCACCTTTGCTGTTAAATAAGAAGATGACTGTTTTCTTTGTAGTTTGCCGCAATTATTCAAAATGATGGTGCGGTTTCGAGTTTTAGGTTAACACGACGAGGCAGCTGATGCATAATTATTAACTTGAGCAAAGATAGGTGACAATTCTCCTTGAAAAATGGAAGGGTCGCACTCTTCTTTGGTGGATAAGAAACGGGAAAAAATATCACTCTCTGAAATAGTAGTTTTTGAACAAGAGGAAATGTCAACGTACTGAAAACTTTATCAAGGACAATGCTCGGTGGTGTAGATAACTCAGCGAGAAGGAAACTTTTCAAGGAGGAAGTCGTTAAGCGGCTTAAGATTAATTCTTTTCTGGCAAGTTTTTTAATTGTTAATGTAGGTAACGAGGGTCTAGAGTTAACATGCCTATTTATCCGTCTAAGGATGAGGTAACGTCAATAAAGCCGGTGTTTTGCACGTGTTATACATCTCTAGGCAAACACGCACACTTGTTTGCTAAGCGTAATTACCTTTACAAAAATGTAAAAGTTCTAGGTAAATGGAGACCCTACGTCGTCCTACTGCAAGACAACCTTTGTCTTCGAGAATAACTACGAGTTCTGAAAAAGTATCTGGATAGGATCCATAAAAATTAAAATAAAAAAAAAAACCACTCCAATACTGCAAAATTCGTAAAGAAAAATCATCCTTTAACAACTTGAAGACTTAGGGTAATTTTCTGATGTTTTGTTATCTAAACAAAAAAAAGTCAAATAATGAGGTCAAATTTAAGGCAGTGGCTTGTAGACAGTCGAGATGTCATGTTTTTCATTGTAATCATCTTGAAAGAAAAGACGAAATAAGTTTTCGACCATTTCGGAGTCTTTTCTTTCGGCAGAAACGGATCTTACCAAATAATAATGGACTATTTCAAGAACTGTACCATTTACATATTACTTCAGTACTGATTCCAAGCTTTAACAGCATTTTAAGGCAATTGTTCTGTCGTTAATGGACACCGTAGCTTATGCAGACAAATTTCGAATTTTCCGCATTCAAATAAAACTTTCTTCTCTATTAAGTGTTGCAAACGATCCATCCACGAGGCACTTAATAAGGGAAACATTTCAAAGAACTCTTCCGTTAACACTGAAAAAAGCTCATGGGAAATTAATACGTGAAGAAATTTCGTGCTTTACTCTTTAGGCCATGTAAAACATTGTGTGTTTTGTGAATAGAAAAGCATCTAAGGGCGTTCAATACAGAGTCCTTGCAACTAACAATACGTTGTATGCTGATCGCTTAGCGTTTCCGTGTGGCCGAATGTGCTTGCATGGTGATGCAGGTAGTCTTTACGGCCTGACTAAACACTCTGCGTAAAACCTTTCAAAGGTCGTTTCGTCGAGCATAAAAGTCTTACATCTAACTTCGAGAGAGAACATTGCAAACATGCATTTCACTGTTCAACAACAACTAACATTTGACTGTAAATTAACAATAATTTTATCTTTAGCGAGAACTCATGTCCTTAAAACAATAATTCTAATATTTTTGTAATTTTTGGGATTAAAATAAAATTGAAAAAGCCGCTAGTTGCATTTTTAATATTGTACAAATATGAACAAACATCTTTTTATGCTTCTATCTAGCCGCAAAAGTAAAGCATTGTGCGTTTTGTGAATAGAAAAGCATCTAAGGGCGTTCAATACAGAGTCCTTGCAACTAACAATACGTTGTATGCTGATCGCTTAGCGTTTCCGTGTGGCCGAATGTGCTTGCATGGTGATGCTGGTAGTCTTTACAACCTGACTAAACACTCTGTGTAAAACCTTTCAAAGGTCGTTTCGTCGAGCATAAAAGTCTTACATCTAACTTCGAGAGAGAAAATTGCAAATATGCATTTCACTTTTCAACCACTAACATTGACTGTAAATTAACAATAATTTTATCTTTAGCGAGAACTCATGTCCTTAAAACAATAATTCTAATATTTTTGTAATTTTTGGGATTAAAATAAAATTGAAAAGGCCACTAGTTGCATTTTTAATATTGTACAAATATGAACAAACATCATTTTAGACTTATATCTAGCCGCTTCAGTGACTGAATAAGGCTTTGCTTCTCGATCTCTAGATTTAGAGGTGCATGGAATCGCTACTGTCCGAGAAATGCGTTCTGTGTGAACAGGTTCGAAATGCAATGAAATTGTGTCATTTAAGCAAATTTTCATGATAGATACAAAGCGTATATGGATTAATCTATCGAAAACAACATTGAGAGAAACTCTCTCTGTTAGAGTTTGACTTAATCTGAAAGAGAATATTTGCTGTAAGAGTTTTACCCTAAAACCTATCTTTTGGTCAGCGGTCGCTCAGAAGACGTAACAAGATGGCGGACAATGGCAACAAACGTGAAAGGAAGGGGAGGCGTCAATTGCTTTCTCAAGCAATAAGAACTCATAAATATAGCTTTACACCTCTAAATTACAGCTCATCCCTTCCCTGCAACAACATAGAAGGTATGAAATAAGAGATTTTGTTTTATTTTTATTCTTAAAAACAAAGTTGCGAAAGGCAAGAGGGAAATGAGAAAAGTTATAAGGCTGAGAAGTGGAGGGCTTACTTGTTCGAATTTTATTCGGGATAATCTAGAAATGCAAATTCATATCAAGTTATTTGCTTGAATTTTAATATACTATGAATTAGAAGCGTTTCACCCATTTTCAACCTGATGTATGTTGTGCTTCCAACAAAATAGAAAAACAGAGAGAGAACCGATGCGATTTGTGTGATTCAGTATACATGGAACAGCTAAATCTAACTTTTTTTCTAAGCAGGGTCAAAGAATACCCCAATTAGTCAACTTTAAGACCCATTTAAAGACCTGATGACAATATTTTCTCCTTCATGCTCATTCGTACAACTTGCCTACTTTACTACTCAAAGTACCTCTTGGCTGCACCCCTTAAATCTAAGTCCCCTTTATTCGTTCCTAAACCCACCCGACAGAGATCAATACTTGTTTTCTTCTATCAGTTAAAACGTATTATCAAGCAGATGGTAACGAGAAAATAGAAATGACAGGCAAAACAGGAGAAAATTTATTTCCTGACAGTCGGAAGAATCCTTCTTTAAGGATTAGGTATTTAGGGGCTCGTTTCTCGAAAGTCTTGTTAACTTAACGGTCCCGAAACCAATCTTTAAAACCAAAATTTAACTGATAGAGAAGCAGTTTCTGGCACCCGGCCTAACTAGTCCGTTTTGTTTCTTAAACTGATAGTTTTTTTTTTTGTATCGTTCTCAAAACCTTTGAAAGCACAATCTGTAATGAAAATTAGAACCGCTTTACGGGCCCGTCAAGTTACAGGGACTTTCAGGGTTAAGTTACAAGGACTTTTTGATCCAAGCTCTTTCGTCAAAGTTCTAATGAACTGCGGAGCAAGAACCACTACAAAAGTTTGGCACACTCAAATGATGCTATTTTAATGAACAGTCTCCTTTATTATGTTGGTACATTTTTTATTTGTGGGTTTTACAGCCAATTTCTATCAGAAGAACAATGTAAACGGTTGTTTGGGTTGCGTAATTTTTTTATGTATGCAAATATTCGTAACGAAAATGTAGCAATGGCCATAAAAGTCTTGTAAAAATGCGATTGTGACAAGAAACTTAAATCATTCGAGGCTATAAACTGAAAAGATTCGCATGCAGTGCTTCAAACGAAAAATCGCGAAGCACTTAACATACAATTATTTTGTATCAAGTTCGCTTACATTTGGAATAGGCTTGTAAGTTTAGTATAAGTGAAAATATGTTGCTTGTCTATAAAACCAAAGTCTATACAAGTATTGTCCCTAAAGCAGTAATATAACAGTATAAATAGGTAAAATTCATTTTTTTTTTGCACTGGATACACTTATAAATGATAAAAGCACTGAGTATTTAAATCAAAGCTAAAAACAGTTTTTTACTGAACTGCACTGCTTTAGGACTACTGAGAGAAATAAACTTCCAAACGTAATATATCGAAGAGTTTTACAAAAATCTTACGATTTTAGCCGGTGGTACAAAAGCGGCTAAGAGAGAAATAAAACTGACTTCAAGTCGGTTTTACTGAGAATTGTTTATCTATTTACACCTATACAATCATCATGGATTTACGTTCAGACATATATTATACAATTTTAGCTAAATTTATCTAAATTGTTGTATTAATAAATAATATCTTAAAACGACTTTGGAAGAAAAAATCTCTAATTCTCCTTAACATTGTCAAATTACTAACACTGATATAGATATTTTTACTTTTGGACTGTTTAAAAGATATGCAGCTCAGAATACAATGAATTTAGGCTTAATAGATTGTAAGCTGTCCTTCACTAGGGACATCGTAGCATCTTAATGAGAAAAATTATTTACATTCCTTCTTTATTTGCTTCTATGATATAAATTTTCTCTACAAATAAGCTACTTAGTCAAGGATAAAATTCTGATAATGTTGTTCTAAGTGTCCCTGCTTACGTATCTGGGTCTTTTATTGTCCCCATATGGTGCAATACTAACATGAAGGAATGCTTGCACGTTTCTCTTTCTAATGTTTCTTTGATGGTCAATTTTACGTTTCTCGTGTTCTTAATGGTATAGTATCTCTGAGAAGCCAAGGCTACTGAAGTAAAAATAAATTTTCGATGCACTTTATCAGAACTGAAGAAAGCCAATTATAATCAAGGGAACAACTGACATTGCTCTGGAACGAAGATATTGGGTTCAGTCTCAAACGAAGGAAACTTTTTTCTTATGGCGCGGCTGCATCAAGAAATAACTGCTCGTTTTTACAGTTTCAGCGATGTTATGTTCGCCTCTTTGCAGCTGGCTATATCATAATTTTTTTTGATATTGATCAAAATAGAAAACCCTAGCTTAGTGTCATATGAAATGGGAAAGGGTGCATTTACAGAGTTTCAACGACATGTGGAAGGTAGTGTTGAAAAATAAAAAAAAAACCATAAGAAAAACGTTTTAATTTTCCAGTTCGTGGATGTACATATGTCTTCTCAAATCAACTTTTCGCATGAAGGACACTCCGCAGTCATCGCAGGAAAATGGTTGAAAGCCTTTGTGTTTCCGACAATGTGTGATCAGATTTGACGACTGACTGAACGACTTCCCGCAAAAATTGCATTGGTGAGGCTTCTCTCCTGTATGGATGTACGTATGCTTCTTCATATCAGACTTCTGATGGAATTTCTTGCCGCAAAAGTGACACTCAAACGGACGCGTGTCCGAATGAATCAACATGTGTGTTGATAACGTCGAGGAGCGTTTGAAGCTTTTCCCGCAAACCCTACATTGGAATGGCTTCTTGTTCGAATGCACTATCATATGCTGCTTCAAGCTGATGGAGTTGTTGAATACTTTATCACAAACTTGACAGTTGTACAACTGTCTTGTTACTGACCCAGGCATCTTTACTTTGCCTTCTTTTGCAATATCTTTCGATTCAGCCCCGCTTTCGTTTAATAAGTGGCCATTTTCTTTCTGAAGTTCCTCGTCTTTTTGATCGTTCAATTTGTACTTTGGTCCTCCCTGGGACATAGGTGCATGGTAGAATCGATACAAGCCAGCGGATGGATCGCTTTGAAGCCTTCTCATCTCCGTCCATTGCTGCATCCACCGTGCAAATGGGTCGAGTCCTTTGTAAGGCTGCTGCCTGCAGTTCCACAGAGGGAACTGTGGGAATTTCAAATGTGGGCCTTCATGTCCTTTAGCGGTGGAAGGGGGGAATGTTTGCAGAAATCTTAGACCAGATCCAATAGGTATGGCTTAAATTGAAAAATAACATTGGGAAAGTCAGATAATCAGATTAATAATTACTCTTGAAGGTGATGGAGGTCTGCATCGGTTTATAGACTTACACTCAACCCTGTATTAAGCGGTCAGCCATGGGGAATGGCGTGGTGACCGCTTACAACTATTTTCACAGAATAGGGTTGTTATGAAGAAACAATAAAAAAGCCTTATTATGCCATATTTGACCACTTAATGTACAAAAATCCAAATTACTACTGACGTTGATTTCGGGAGATAAATGTGAATTAAATTCGAACGATTATTGTTAGTTCTATTTGAGTGAGTGATCGTTCAAGAAAGATTTAGGACAATTCAAACAGGCCTTTTGAACTCAGTAAAAGGGTGACCTCGAGCGCTTGACAGAGGTGACCGCCATAGAAACATGAAAATTACAGTAATAAAGGGGTAAACATTTCGGGACTTTGAAAACCGCCCGCTTAACACAGGGTGAGTGCTTATTACGGTGCCGCTTAATACAGGTTCGACTATAGTGAGACCTAGTAAGGAAATGGTCTAAGGGATGAGATGGCAAAAATGGCTACAAATTCTCTCATCAATAACATGTTGCAACTCTTATTTCACCTGAGGAATAAGTTGGGTATCTGCCTTGTGATTGGCTTCCATGGCTACTGTTCCCATCATCTGTGTCCTCCTCTGAACTGGACTCATCATCTGGGTTTCCCTTGTAATTTCCATTCTCATCAGTGTCACTTTCATCTAAAATAAGAAATATATACATAAAAAAAATGAATTACATAGCTCTTCAAAGAAGTGATCTCTATACAGACTTATGGGCTTAATCACGACTTGAATTGCTATCGTTTTGGAGTTTCCACAAGCAAACCGAAAATCTACGGTTGTAAATACCTTCCCGCCTTTGTCGCGGTTTATAAACCTTCATAGGCCCAAAGTTATGAAATCTATGTTGCTTCAAGATTAGGAATAAAAAAATTGATTTTAAACTGGTATCTAAGCAGTGATTACCACCAGCACTGATACACCGATATAGTTGCTCTCACCAACAACCTGAGTCTAACATGACACTTGTTTACTGGACCCGCTTGAGGGAAAATTTGCCATTTTCCTGAAATTGCTCGGAGAAATTCCAAGAATTTTGAATAAAAGAGTCGAGAACATGATTTCATCTTCCGGCCATTGTCTCTCACGAATTCAAGAGCAATCGCTTATCATCGATCATCACAGAAAGGCATCGCCAGATAAACAAACAAAAAAGATATGGTTGTCTTAGCTCTGGTTTTAAGGGAATAATGCTGAAAATGAAATGCTACCCCTCTCCCTTTTCAAAAACTCACCAGTTCTTATAACACTCAAGTCGCGCCCCTTTAACAGGTATCAATTAACCTCAGGTTTTGAGCTGTCATTAACTTGTGTCATGATTGCCTTTTGATAAAAACTAGGTTAAACTCTCCGAGCGGGGCTGCTTCCATGTGAATTTTACGCGATCTAGAAGCTAAGGTTTAGGGTGATTAGAAGTGATCAAAAATTAGGAAACGGTTATGTGAATCAATGCCTTTCAGTCAAAGACCTCAGAGGGAAATGGCCTTTTTATATCAGTCATGATGTCATTTAAAGAAACTTCTTGGAAAGGTACGAATTATTTTTTTTAGCTTGTTTTGTTAAATAAGATTCAGTTTTATCTGAATGTTATCCCAGAACCCAAAACTCAGTTAGGAAAAAATCAAACAGTACTACACCAAAAGAAAGAAAACCACAAAGTTTTTGTCACACTGAAAATGAAACAATTGAACCTTTAGGTTCCAAGAGATTACTTCCGGAACGAATCGGCGGAAAACACGATGTGCCAGAATAGGAAATATGCTGTGATATTTTTCTGTGATTAAAGAAAAATGTAACAAAATTAAAAGAATGGAAACGCGCAAGCCGCCGAGACGGAAAATACCTTCCATTTTAGATTCGCGTGAAGATGAAAACAATAGGCCCTATTTGGCGCGAATTATGCACGGATATTTGTCCACGGATCGACTTTATCTGTTCCAGGATACAAAACGTTTTCCGAGGGTGAAGCTCACCGATTTAGTTGCAGTAGAGTCCATTGTGTTTATCACCATTCAAATATTTTGCAACGCGAACAGCTTACTGATGCGTGGAATGTTTTCTGTTCAGTGTTCTCTGGTACGACTTTGTGAACAAAGAAACACAGCCAAACCTGTATTCGGGGAATTTCGGCGTGATCGCTTAATACAGGTTGACCACTAAAATAGATTCCACAGATTAAGGGTATTATAAAAAAATAATAATAAAAAAAAGCCATAAAAAACGCCATTTTGTTGCATAATTGACCATTTTATGTTCAAAATCTTGTTCGGAAATATCACTTTTGGGAGTGAATCATGGACTAAGAGTTACTCGAAGTAGCATCCTTAGTTTTATACGAGTGGTGTCGCTTTCGGTGACAGTTCAATACAGGTGGAGAGCAATAAAAACAGGCCTTTAGAAGTTAGTAAAGGGTGATCAGGAACGTTTGATAAAGATGACCGTTTCGTAAAGGTGAAAATTACAGTGATTAAGAGTAAACAAATTCGGGACTTTGAAAACTGACCGCTTATTACGATACCGTTTCATACAGGTTTGATTGTATTTGCCTTCTTCTGTAACAACCATAGAACACTCTCTTATCTTGAAGAAAATTTTAAACGAAGACTTATAGTGATTGACGTACGGTTTGAAAATTGGAAAAAAAAGGAAATAGTATTTCTTTGATTAAGAAGACATAAAAACTAAATTTTACAAATATTGCATGAAATGAAATAAAAAAATTATCCAATTCAATGAGCCATTGGGTTTAACTCTTACACGAATTAATGATATTTTACCGATTTGTCAATGCCTCTGAATTTTCCTCCTTTTTAGAGAGGTTAACGTAGCTTCTGTTAGCTGGAAATAACCTTGTTATACATGTATTGTAGCCCTAAAATGAAATCGTGTTGAAGGACAACATCCGTTTTTTGAAGATTTCTAAAAGGTCAGATTTCTAAAAAGTGCGTTGAAGTCTTTCGAGTGTTATTTTGTATGATTTTTTCGAGCAAAGATTCGATAGAAAACACTACATAGATTCTTTGCGTGAATTCAAAGCTGTAAAATCTAAACATCAACCGCTCTGAACACTTGTAGAATCTGGATAGCACCTTTCGCGAAATTAATGAGAATGTTCCCGCGGAAAAGTTTTACATATGTCTTCGATTTTCTCTTTTATCGGTAAAGCTAACATTCTACACTAGTAATGCTCCCTGGGAAAAGTTCCCGGGGGAAAGTTCCCTACCATATTTGTACTCCCTGTGGCTTGCACCTTCATTTTCCGCCTTCGATGAAACTTTGGGTTTTATGAGGAATGATTTTGGCATGGCCAACGAATCTGCAGCGACCGAGACACGAAATGAGAGTGCTGTTTTGTGCAGGGCTTCATATCAATTGGGTTGTTACGACAGGGTGTGGTCCAACGTGGACACCAGCGACAATTGAGGAGATTTTACACACATACGGCTCCACATAATTGGGCAGAACTAGCGCTGACGACAACATTCAATAAAATGCTCATAGACTCACTAGGAGAAGGTGTTTATTGAAAAGATTCTAATTAAAGTTTTATCTCACGCCAGAATGAACAGGATAAAACAAAATAATGCTATAGGAAAAATGAAATACGATATTCCGTGAAGGAAATTTAAGAATGCTTATTCTTAAGAGGTCGTTCCGCATATTTTATAAACATTTTGTTTAGAAAATTAATTTTTTCATATCAACCCTCCGATCCAAGAGAGTTCTAGGTTGAAACCAACTTTACACTGAGTTTTTGGGATCAGATGTACTTATGGGAGAAGCTTTCTGAAACTATTCTTTCTTTGCTGTTTAAAGGCTATTTTACCGATGAAGTGTTGCATTAGGGCGTTATCCACTCGATAGCGAGAGCAGTTCTCACCATTAACACTTATGGTTCCGATTTCTTTCCCTTTAAAACTCTACTGGAACATAATGTCAACAAAACGTGCGACGTTGTTTTCGGAAATATAAGCAAGAGATTTATTTGCTATGGACCGTGAATTTCAACCAAACCATTATAAACAAAGTACATATAGATTGCAGGGGTTTAAATATTTTATTTACTCAACTAAGGCCGGACAAAACACGCATGAAAACACGCATGAATAATTGCTGAGATTGAATATGCACATCAAAGAGGGAAACAGCGCGCAGAGCAGAAATTTGCTTTCTCTTCAAATACAAGGATTAATTTCGGAAAATGGTTAAATCTAAATATATTCAGTAAAATCTCTCTCTGTGGCTCTGGATTATCATTAAAACACTCGCTTTGTTGACAATTCACCTCTCTCAACATGACATACATAGATTATCACTGAAATTCTGAAGTTTAACTTTTGTATTTTGAATCTTCTTATCGAAAACCTGGTATCTGAATTACGAAAAAGGTCGTGTCGATATCACCTTAAATACCGAAATCCTCTCCAAAATACCCTTATCTAGATTTTTCATGATTAGCTGGAAAGATTTCAAATTGTGTTTTTGCTAACGTCAGAACAGGTGCTAAATAGAATCGTATTTCCTAAGACATGTTTGTTGATGGATTAACACATGTCGAGAATCATGAAAATTTCAAGAAGAAAATCACTGAAATAAAGATTTCGACGAAATAATTCTTGCGTTTTAAACCAAAATTTTGTTTTACTCAAACGGACAAGACAGTCTTCGTTAAACAGCATGATCATAGTCGCTTTTTAAATGAAGGATTTATGATTTAAGGCGCGTTCTCGAAGAAAATGCACAATTTCCAAGATCAAATTTGCAGGATTTATCCACACAAGAGAACTCTTTTGTTACTTGAAGTGTGCTTGAGGGAAATGTGACGAGCATCGAAGGTTCTCGAACGAAAGTCTGCTATCAACTTCTCGAGCGATAGGCCTTTGTAAATGTCAAAAACGTCATTAATTTTGTATCAAACGGTTTTTGCCTTAAGGCTTCAGAAAGTGACATGCTCCTAGAGAACTTTATATCTAAGCACCTGGGTATAGAAAAATTATCGATACAATAATACTGCAGGGATTATATGCATTGTTGGTGAAAATCTTGACTTGAAAGTTTGGAAATCCAAAATGAAATCTGGGCAAAAACTGATTAATAGCAACGTCATGCTGTAAAATGGCTCGCAGCCAATAAAACCCTTTTAGGAAAATCCTTTGACAATATGCCGCCAGCATTAACGGGGCAAATTATATTTGATAATGAACACAACAACGTTATTGATAAAAGGTAAATCCAATACTCAAATAATTTGCATTCTTAGTTTTAATGATTTTTCTTTTGGTCAACATTAAACAAGGCTAAAAAAGGTTCGAAACACCCACTCCGTGGTAAAGAAAAACTTGAGAAATTATTAGTCAATGATCATTGGAAACCGCGACTTAAACAGTATGTCAGTGCACAAATGTGGAAGGAAGTAAGTCTGAAAATGAAATGGGTGATAAAATTCGCCTAAAATCAAATTAAAATTGAAGCATTCAGAAAACAGAGAGAGATTGAAATATATACGGTTGATGTTTCAGCACAAAGTTAGTCATTTGGGAATCTGTTTGCTTTTAGAGTGGATGGGACTCAGTAGAAAATGAATCTAACAAAATTTCAATTTAATTTATGAATGAGGCTCAGCTTGAGGAGTGTAGAATTTCAAATCCTATCCCCAACTTAAACCTTAAAAGGTAGTTAATTTAGCCAGTCCAGCACAGATTATTGCATGAAATTCACTCCTCATATTTATCCTGCCTTGTGTTTTAAACATAACAAGTAAAAATTTATCAAGGCTTGAAAAAAAAATTAAGAAAGTCTGTTTAAACCCTACGCAAGATGTTCTGTTCACGTTCCTTCAAGTAGCTTCACGACAAAAAATTTATCAAGACATAGTCCAACTAAATTGTTAGTGACACAACAGTTAAAGTAATGGTATGCACGATTTCAAGGACGTTGTTAGTTATTTGCTAAGAGACTTAAGTTTATTTCGCTCTTTAAAAGACCAACAACATTATACATTTTATGTTACGGAAGTGTGAGAAAACAATTTTTATCTCCCAGGAGTAAGCAAATTCTTTTTCGTGTGTGTTATTAATTTAATTGTAAATGTGTTATTCCAAAAAGACTACTCGTGCAAGTTGTACATAATCAAAATCACATCCAGCTAAAATATAGCAACAAGCTAAGGCGTGCATACGCGATGAACATGAAGATATTCTTATCTGGACCAACTGCAAAATTATAAAATTGCAACTGTCAGGCTCTGCTTAGTTTACACTGCATTGCGCCAAAATATAACTCAGGGCGTTCCAAAGAAAAATAGTAACTTTTTATACAAATACTTCTAAGTTTAACAAAGATTCGTTTGCAGATTCAATCCTGCTGCTGCAACTGACTTGTTAATACTAAATTTTGATTATGAATGAAGCTTTTTAGGTTCTCTGTCAAAAAACTGTAACTGGTTAAGGGCCACTCTAAATGACTTAATACAACAACTTAACTCATCAAAACTGGCCGTGAGTAGACACTTTTTTTGTCTTCCTCTCTGCTATAGCATATTGCCTGAAACCGCGGGTAGAATTGCAACATGGCGCGTTTCTTTTCAATCCACATGCATTATCGTCTAAATGCTCTTTCAAAATTCTTGGACAAGAAATGATTTTAAGAAGTCTTTTCGTTACGGATGACCGAAAAAAAGGATATACCGTGTCTTAGCCGTTAAAATCATCTGTAGTTTTAAGAGTTTAGCAAACACTCGTCTTTAACACGCAAGGTGATTTTCAGAGGAACTCATACTGTTAGCTGTCAAGGATACGAATCTACTACTGATTAACAGAGATTTAAAATACTGTTTCATTGAATTTACAACTATGATTTAAGAATAGAATAAATAAGCATTTTTTTTTAATTTTTCGAGGAGGAAGCTTAAACAGATGTTTATTAGGTGTGGCTACAGGGGTAGAAAATTGCAAAAGTTGCGCAATCACTTAAAAAAAGATTTTTAACCAGACAGCAGGTTCTCTATTCAGCTAGCTTTATAGAGTTGTCTTTCTAGCCACCCAAAACCTCAAACAGAACGTTCACAGGCATATTCTAAATTTTAGCCAAGCATAATAATAGTTTTTAAGAGAACTCTTAACAATATTTCAACTTGAAATTGCTTCAAATTACCAATTTTGGGAAAAAAACACCAATTTTGCTTGAATCGTAATTTAATATATTTGAATCTCAATCAACTAGGCTTTTCTGTATTTAATTAACTTTGAAAGCGAACCAAAATGACGACGCTGGAATTCTATTAAGACATGAAGATTTAAAACATTTTATTAAGCGTGCGAAATCAGATTTAATTCAATGGCATAACTTTGAAAATTGATAATGTTTTAACGGAATCAGAGCACCAATAAAAAAGCTTTTGAATTTCGAAGTTTCTCGCCCTAACAGGCAAAGAAGTAAAGAAAAAATGACATGAAACGATTCGTTTTTGATGATGCGCGGATAAAATGCATAGAAAAAGGCATTACGACTGTAAATTCGACACATAAGTTATGGCCACCAGTTGTGAATAAACAGTAGATTTTGGCCTTGAAATCAAAAGAGGCAATTAGCTTGCCAATGATTTTACCGATATTCTCTAGTAGGTAGAGAGATTTTTCTATTTTTTGGGGTTGCTGTAAAACGAAAACGCCTTCAAGAAATTCTCTTTTCATTTGTATTCGGAAAAGGGAACAATTCGGGAAGCAAGATTACGAATTTGTCACATATCAATTTAATTTGTCAAAATTTTCAAACTTAAATTTACGCGTTCTGATGTGAAAGAGGTTGCGCCTGAGTACTTTATTTCTAGAACCAGAAGATCAGCTGAATTAAAATAATTCGAAGGATTATGAAAACAAAAATATCCATATGCCTCGAAAAGTACCTTTGAGGTCCGTGTTGCTGTTGGAGGTATTCGGTGAATAACAGTCATCTTTGGAAATTTGTTGTGGGACGATTGCCGCTTCATCTCTCTCTGTAAGAGGAGAACCACATTTGATCTCATAATGTCGCGCGGAGGAATTTTGTTTTCCTAAAATGCCAGACAAAACAGGATAGGCATACTACTTTAAACACAAATTTCTAAATCATAGAATTTCGTTAAGATAAATCAAACTTTGAATAAGGGCTAACGGAGGGATTCTCGAAGCAATCTCGAATTGCTCGCATGTGTTGCCGTCAAATACATGATCCGCTCAGAAGCGAGATGGAAATTGGAATCTTTGATGCGTAACGTCTACGGGTACCGGAAAGAAGTTGACTGGAAATGTGCAACTCATAACAAAGGAAACCTGACTGAAAAATCACAACCAGGTATTTACCTTGTTTATTTCCCTTTTCAACACCCTGGTGAGAAGCCTCGCTGGAAACTGCGGTAGACTTCGTGCGCACGAGAAAAGCTCTTGGCATTTTGATTTCTTGTCGTTTAATACTCCAGAAAGACCGAGTATCGTCAAGTTGCTCTCGTTTTGAATTTGCGTGCAGAGCTCAGAGAGCGGATGTTGCGAGCTGTGAGTTATACGTGGGTTGTTTATCCAATTGGCGAATGTATGCGGTAAATATTTGATACACGTAAAGATTGAACTCCACAGCCTCTTCTTGAAGCAGGAGGGCAGGTGTTCCGATCTTGCAAATGTTCCAAGATTAACTGCGGTTTTGTCAAACTCCACCTGCTTGTAAACTACGCGTTTGGAAACTCTAAAGGTAATTTGCCATTTACTTAAAATACGCACACACTGAATGACATCAGCTCGAAGTGCTCTTGGCGAAAGAACAGAAGTCCACGCCCAGATGTCTCTGTATGACCAACGAAATGTCCCATAGTGCCCTCATTTCGATTTAAATTTTCAAACAGTGCTTGTTTGCTTTGCTTGACTATAAATAAGCTCTTGCGCGAGCTCTATTGTTGTGCAGATCCGGGCAAAAAGTGGCGCTTGCTTCTCATAACTAATTAAACAGTGCCCGTTTAAATGAGGAGCAAAACCGCGAATCTCTGTCACAAGAGCCGGTATGCGTAATGACTTGCGCTCTCAATGTTTACTTTTAACAGAGCTAAGCTTTATCTCACGAAACTTTCAACCCTGAAGGTTATCGACATTTTCAAGTGAGACAGCAGAAGTAGTCCTCAGCGGTATTTGTTTTTTGGACAGAAACAATCCGTCTCCGCACTGTGCCCAACATATTCTAACCTTTTCATTTTGTTAATACATGAAATATCTTTTTCTAGATTTTATTCTTTACTGTATAGATAGATACGAAAGGTACATGCTATTTAAAAAAATTGGAAATTGAATCAATAATCAAAAAATTTCTTTCCTCTCTCAGCGACACCCACCAGGCGGGGAGGTTGTCATTTACTTTGTTGGTGAACTTGAACTCGATATATTGATTTCGGTATGTAAACAAATTCAAGTCACATCCCTTAAAATTTCAAGTTCCTCTCGAAAAATTTTCATACGCGGGGGGGAGGGGGGGGGGCGGCTAAATAACGCGCTTAAACAACTTTGGGCATTAGGTACTTCATATTCTTGGAGTAAACTTTAATATTCCCGTTATATTTGCTTCGGCATGGTTACTATACCATAAACATAACATTTATACTTAAAGTAAAATGTTATTCAACTAAAAATTCTTATTTAACAAGCTAATCAAGGCAACTTATCAGAAGTAATGATGACACTCTCTCGTTTGCGTAACCCAAGGTACGGTCGAATTAGGAAAATGCAACATATTTAGAAATTGTTACTAGAGATTTGACCCAGTAACTATCTGGTTTTCCACGTGTTTTCATGTCGAGTTGCTAATTAGTTGACTTAGAAATAAGTAAGGTTTGATCTAAGCATAACTCCCCTAGCGTTTTATTGTTTCTATGGTAACTAAGTCGATGAACGTGGCTGTGCCTCCTTAAGTCTACTTTACGATAGAAAGCTCTACTGCATGTTGGACAAGCGAAAGGTTTAAATCCCAGATGCTTACGGCTATGAGTAATGAGATTAGAAGACTGACTGAAACACTTGCCGCACTGGCGACACTTATGGGGCTTCTCGCCTGTGTGAACGAGCATATGCTTTTTCATGTCCGACTTCTGATGGAATCTCTTCCCGCAGTAATCACAAGAAAAAGGCCTGATATCGGCGTGTATCAGCATGTGCGTAGATAACGTGGATGAGCGCTTGAAATGTTTCCCGCATGTCTTGCATTCGAATATTTTGACGGTTGAATGTGTCTTCCTGTGTTGCGCAAGGCTTACGTAATGACTGAACGTTTTTCCGCATGTAGAGCAGCCGTACGGGCGATTACCTGCGTGCGATCGTCGCACGTGTACCTCCAGACCATGTGGTGTGCAAAACATTTTCTGACACGTATTGCACGCATATGTGTCATGACAGTCGGACTTCCGAGACTCGTTTTCATGCTGCACTCGCGCTTTATTGTTTCCATCAAATAGCTCAACTTCATGGCTAAATAAGCGTTTTATGTCTTTGGTGCAAGATTTACTTTCGGGCGGGTGACTGATCCTCTGACTGGAAGCGTTTACAATCACTGAAGCTCTTTGTTCCAATAGCCATTGTTCGTTCGACTTCGGAAAAATGATTGGAACATGACTTTCTTGAATCTTGAATTCTGGGAAAGGATGAAGATATTTAAACGTTAAATGTAAACAGGAGGTGAATCTAATTAATTAGTATGTGCGTGAACGAAGCAATTATTTTGCAACCAGAAATTTTAAGCAGACTGCGGGGAATAGAACGCTACGAATTCCAGAATCAATTTATCGCTCTTTTTTCACAGGAGAACTTATTTTCGTCTGATAGAAGTTACAATTTGGACTTTTTAAGTTGATGTTGGAATACAAATGAACTCTTTTATCATGAAATAGTAAACCAAGAGCTCTTGTCAGCAGAAAGCCTCCGGCTATCTTGTTTGGTCATTAGAGTTGTAACTCAGTGTGAAGCCACAGACTCATTTATGCCGGAGGCCACACGGTGAATTTGTAACCTTGGCATGATTTTGTAGCGTCCTTAGGGACATTTCATCATTAAATTTTAAGCGTATGGAAACAACTGAGGAATTTTCGTCCCTGTCGTGTCATTTTCTCTTGTTTAAGTTTGAGTAACTTGGCGCACCACTGATAAAGCATATTATTTACTCGACTTCTGGCAAGTTGACGAGTTTCCTTCCTTCTTGTTTTCGGTTTGAAAAAAATATTCTTATTTTTAAGTGCCTTTTTGGGAAAATCATCAACTCTAAGTGTGACAAAAAAGCATAGTTTTATGCTTCTATTAATGTTTCTAACTATTCAGGAAAACGTTTCTCCGAAATTGATTTTTTTTTTCAGAGAAAGTACTTCACGTTTCCGGGGAAGAACCTGGTAAAAATAACCGATTTTGTTTACCAAAAGCCTAACAATTTCTTCACACCACGCACTTTCCTGAGTTATTAGCTCATTTTTATAACAGATAGCGGATGAGATTTGAAGACTCGTTAGATATCTCTAAAGATAGAAATTTCCTGATTGGAAAATGTCGTGTTTTTCTGCCTGTTGGCGTGTTTTTTAGTCAGTTAGTTTTTTTAGATGGAAAATGGGCATGTCAAAAGAAAACAAGAAGAAAGGCAATCACATGACTATGAGTTAAAATTTGGAAAAGGGGTAAATGAAATAAACTTAGGTAAGGAGAGACGTTATGGTCTACATAGCGACAAACAATCGGTTTTTACATTTTCACGTCCTGTAATCTGAACAAGTTCTTTTAAATTGCTCAAGTTTAATTCCTTCAAAACCGTTTTCCTCAAGCCGAGGCTAGAGATAATGTTTCTGAGGCTTCCGAAAGCACTGGGGTGAGTATAAGAATCTACTATAAATAGACTTGTTCATTTGTGATTCCTAGTCAAAGGTAAAGGATAACTCTGTTTATTTTTTTCAGATATGCCCTAAAAACGCAGAATATAAGAGTCCGGAAGCATGAAGATTCTAGTGTTCAAAAGACAAATTCACATTAAATCTGAACATATCATAGGAAAGTGACTGTTTGAAATGTACTCCGGAGAAGTCGGAAAGACAAGGAAGTTGCTTTCAAAATTATTGATATTTAGTGTTGGTTTTATCTCGTTGATTCTGAGCGACTGTCCTGGTGTTTATCCAACAACGTCTTGTGGTGACATTTTACGCAAAGAGGAAGTTTTAACCCGCAAATATCTTCTTGCTTCAGCAGTGAGTAGTTTTTTGTTCGATTTATCTGAATTTTTGCAACGAATTTTAGTGACTAAACCACCTTGCAGAATTGTTTAAGACAAGAAACCTGAAAGATCTCTGAACCGGGCCCTAACGGACGAAGTTCGAGAAAGCTTTTCTAAACCCGAGAAAGGAAAATTCTTTCTAAGAAAAATTTCCCCCAAAAGAAATTTATAAAACGAGGTGAAGAGAATTTTGTTTCTGATCAAAGTTTTCTTCATTAACAAAAGAAGGAGTGCGATAAATATCTTAGCGTCTTTTAGACCATGTACTCTGTGTAATTTTGGATAGAGCATGCAATATCTCCCCAAAAAAATTCCTACTATTTTTTTTATTCATTGCGAGCTAGGAGAGTCGATTTTTTTCCCGATGACATATAAAAATTGAACTTTCCGTCTGTTTCGACAGTCAAATCTAAAATACGATCTGATTTAAACACTTCAAGCGCTTCTTGAAACCTCGTGCGCAATATCACTCGAGCGATAAAGAAAGTTTGAGACTGAATAATTGTCGGTTACGATATGAATGGAGCAGGTGAACTGAGTGTATGTTTCCACTTTAATCACTGACTATTTACTCAGTGGAGTTAACTCATTATGCAGATTAACTTCATTGAAAGTAAATTGTACAACATGGTATCTTTAAATCAACCGTAAAATGTTTTCCGTTTCTCGCTCAAGAAGAACTGGTAAAAATTCATTTTTTCTTGTGGTAGCTTATAAATTCTTCATAATCCAAGTTCATCTCATTTCAACCGGTAAATATCGTCCTTATATAGACCTCCTGCGGGTTTAAATCTTCAATAGCACCGGATCCCTTCCCACGAAGGTAGCACAAATACGAAATCGGCTTTATGTGCTTTATGAAGCCAGCTATTGTCCTACAAATAAGAGACACTTTTCACCTTTCTTTTCTGTTTTGTTTGCTTAAGCGCCGGCTGAAAGGCGAACATCTCATATCCGGCCCTGAACCAAATGAGCTTTTTGACTGAACGTTCAAAACTGTGATTTTGGAGGAAATCAAATTTCTATAGGAAATCAAATTTCTTCAGTTCTCTCAGCTGGGTGTAAGCCAAACAAAGACACAATTGTGAAGGAATACGAAAACTTTATAAAGTAGAGCCATGAATTATTTAATGCACTGAAAGGAGAGAAAATAACGAAGGCGTACGATGTCTGACATCGGCTTCTTTTTGTCACATTACTTGTGAGAAGTTTTCTTTTACCAAACTCCCGTCATGACGCTGCGCCGAGCGCCAAATTTTTTTTGATGAAAGACTTTGTTCTTGAAAAATGTTAGCGTACGCTTAACATATACTTCAATCTTCCCTTTTGATGGAATATTTGAAGAAGGAGTGATAGATTGCGACCAAAATTCTTTACATTTCGAATGCTTTGAGCAGAAAATCCCAACATCATCTTTAGTCTTAACTTCCGTTGAGGAATCACATGAAGAAGTTTTCAATCTCAGGGCGGAGAATATTTCCAGTAAAAGAAGCGAATTAAAACTGCTCTTAGCCCGCCCAGAAACTAGAAAGTACCGCATTACCTTTAAATTTAATGTGGAATTTTAAAACTCAGTGGCGGAAAACAAAGTCTTGGTTTTTAACAAAATTGTTAAAACTAACGCACATAAAACAAAAAATATTCATTTCAAACCTTCAGGCGTGCTGTGAGAGATTTCTGAAAGCCCCTTGCGGACTCGAACAAGGAAGGATTTTGGCATGATTTTCATATGATTTTGGGAGATTCTGATCTGTTTTCCTAGCCTGTTGTCGAAGAGCCGTCAGAGTTATAAAACATTGGCGTTTCAATGGAGAAGTGTTGACTCTTGAGCTCTTGGCAGAGTTTGAAGGCAGTTTCAAGCTGGCTATCAAATTTATTTCAATCAGTCGGGGTGAACAAATGTTACTGTAATTACACACATCAGCTGAAAATCTATTCTGGTTTTGCTATACACAAACTTGAGATCACTGCTCGCATCCCATTGGCTATCGCTCAAAAGGCAGATTGTTTCATGCTAATGAACTGGCCGAAACTGATTTGTGAGTTATTTGGTAAAGAGAGGAAATTGAAGGCGAACTTGATTATAAAGATTACCAACAAAGTGAGTTCGATTGTAATTACAATTCTCGCCCAGTAAACTTTTCCTAAACAAGCAAACGCGAGTGAACCGTATTCGCGTGTGTAAATCTCTTCCACAGCACCCTGCCTCATAGAGAAAATTTCCATGAGAAAACAAAATAAATCATCTGTGTATTAGGTATTCTTTTGACTTCAAAGTGTAATTTTAACATTGAATTAAGGGTATGACTTTAATGAAACTTGTTAAATGAAGACTAAAGTGAGTGTCCTTGCAGCTGAAGTAAATATTAATGCCGACGGGATTACACCGACGAATCTGGTTTCGTTCGTTACAATTTGGTATCTGATGGTTTTGGTGGCACACCTTGTGGTCTTGGAGTAATCGATTTGAGTCGTAAAAATATTGAACGGCTCAAGCAAAACATCCCCAAGTATTTGACCTGACTTTGTAATTCTGTTCTCCGTACGTTAATTCGTTTTAGATAAAACAAAAGAAAAAAGATTACAAAAACGGAACATTTTTATTGAATGGATTTCCCAACTAAAATTTGTCACGCTAAGTTAATAAAAGAATCGCAACACCTTTTGCCTAAGAAAATTTAATTTATCTTTCAGCTTACATACAAAATAAAATTTAATTGTTTCATTAAAGCCATTAGTTTTATCAGCACTTTGAAACGTGCCAGTGTGTAACAGATAAGAATATTTAAGAAGCTCAGCAAAGCCCGATAAATTTAATTCATAATTCTTATTTCGCGGGATTATGAATGAAGGTGCCGCAGGGAAAAGTCAATTAAAATGTTAGAATAATCAAATCTGCCAGCTCTGCTTTGTTAAGATAATACCTGTGATAATCGCAGAGGATGTTTTCATGATGCAGGGCGTCGATCAAATAGACTGTGTAGTGATATAGGTAATGAATCTGTGAACAGCAGATCTGTGATATGTTCAAACAGTGACATATCTTTGTCTAGTTCTGGCCTACCGCATTGTTCAATTTCGGCGTGAATTAGTTATTACACAGATGATTTATTTTTGCTTTTAATCCCTTGCTGAGTTCAACTAAGAAATTATGCGACGGTTTTGAATGCGGCATTCACAAATTTCCATCGACTGTTTTAATTGATGATGGATTAATTGGGATGACTCACTTTAAGAAAAATTCATTGTGACAAATTCACTATGAGGTTCTTGAATTGACTGCTTCTTTTCTGAGTCATAAATTATCGTAAAGTGAACTCAAACGGATAAAAATCACTGAGAAAATTGAACACTAATGTAGCTTGCCAAATCTTGCCTTTGTTGGAAAATTAGCACAAAATTTAAAAGGAATGCTAGTCTTCGACGGAGAGTGAAATTAAGAGCAAGGTTTCACTGATTAGGATTGATTTATTTTATGAATTAAACCACGGTATTTGATTCATTTTGGAAAGAGAATCTTGGTTCAATATTTCATTTTTAATTAGTGGCTTCAAATTGTTGAAGTATCCACTTTAGCTGCATGCTATGATCATACCAATATAGGGTGAAAAACTAAAATTATTTAAAATCAATACTTGAGGTTAACTGAATTCCTTAGTCTTTGAGTTAAGAGAACGTTTGACTCAAAAATCTTTCTTCAAGCTGTTAATCCGCTGTTAGGCAAACGGGAGAAAAATTGTATTAGCATGAAAAGTTACGCACTAATAAAACCAAGAGTTCGCTCATGTTTCCATAACAAAACTCAAAGCTCAAGAAAGAAGCGCACGTTTCAGGGCAGACGAAAAACAAATCATGAAAATTGATTCATTAAAATTAGTTCTGGATTCATCAGAAGACTAAGTGACATCCATTTCCTTCCATTTGCAGTTTACTCATCTTTATTAATTAGATTTAACTCCGCAAGACATTTTAATTGATGAGCCTTGGAAGGTATATTACAACATCCTTCTGCAGTTAATTTAAGCCGGAGGGGCCTGTTGGAGTGTTTTCTATTCATTACGTGAAACAATCACTTAAACCAAGTTAAGATTTCAACTGATTCGATCTTTAGACTGAGTGTATATGACTTTTTTCAATGAAAAATGAATTATTATAGTATACCTTCTGTTTGATAAAATTACTTCAGAAATATGGTTAATATGGCATAAATAGCTCGAAAATATGATGCTGATTAAAGACATTTATGAACACAAGTTTTGAGTGGCGTACATGAAGAGTTTCGCTAAAAAACAAGCTACAAAATTCTCCATGGTAAAGAAACCGAGAATATAGTTACTGTGAATATTTAGCTTTTGACGCCAATGAGAAGTTCTCCTTAGGATGATCTTTTTGGGAATGAGAAGATTTAATCTTCCTCTTTCAAATACCAATTTTCTTTGTCAATATTTTAAACACGCTGTTACTCAGACCATAGTGATATTTTCTATGTTTACACTTTTCATTTCGGCTCGTAAAAGGAAAATGTTGGTCTCCATCTTAATGTGTAAAGACAGTTCATGCCACATCTGGTTGTAAGAGGCGATGCTTGCTGTTCATGGTTTTCGGCGGAAAAGAATGGAAAAATAGAACAAACGGAAACTGCTCCCTCTTAATTCAAACCAACACTCAGAAACTTTAAGATACCTCGTGATCCGCCCTTCTATATCACCTGCTGTCATTCTTTGTTCTGTTGTTTAGAGAAAAACCGCAATCGTTAAATGTGCGTGATATGAGAATATTGTTGCGTGATACGTCAACCGAAAGGATGAGCTTTTGTATATTTTTTAAACTGTGATCGAGCACGCAATACCGGTACCTGCCTTGCACCGAAAATCTACTAATTTAAACCCGATTTTCATTTCTTAAACAGGAGTGAAAGATAAATCGGTCTCTAAACTAGATGACAAGTTTCTCTGTGATCATTCTACTCTAGAATCCTTAGCTAAAAGCCATGTCATTCTTATAATTGGAAAATTTTTCCATCTCGTTAAGGAATTGCGTTGATACACCGCATAGGTTCCTTCTGAATACAAGACCGCGACGATTCCTCGTGCTTGAAAGTATTTCATCAATACACTTTTAAGTAAAAAGATGTTCAAAGTTGTTAACCGCGGCGAAAACTTTGGGTATGTATAGAAGTGTATCTTTCCTAAGCCAATCCCTCTAGCATCGCCAAACTAGTTACTGCTCCATTTTTACCATTAGAGATCTTAAGTTAAGACGTTTTCCGGTCGTGGACGTCCGCTGGAAGTAAACGATTTTTTCCCCCGAGTGCTTGCCACATGATTTTTGACTTCAAGGTTAATTTTCAAAAGTAAAGGACTCCGTGGTTGATTTGTTGATGTAGAAGCGCGCCGGAAGTAGTTTTTATTCTCCTACCAGCCGCTGTCCACGTCTCAAAATCGTCCGGGCTTCAGGCATGAGGAGGATGTGTGTGCGGGGGGGGTTGAGGCAAGTTGTTCCAATGTTTAAAATCCGAATATAATAGTCTTCAAATGTAGTCACGCGTCATAGCTCAATACCAGTTCAATTTTTGTTTTTGTACTGACGCGCAGTTAGTAACAGATACTCTTATCTCGCCCCAATGTTAATGAAGACATCAGTTGATTTCCTATTTTCCTCCGTATATGAGTTCAAATGCAAACTTGCATCATTTGAGAAGAAAACATTGAGAGACGTAAAATTAAATGGTCTCGCAATTTCTGAAGATTCTAGACTAACATATCATCAAGAGGATAAGAAATAAACACTTATGCAACCGCATTTTGCCCTCTGTTTGGGATACAGTATTTGTAGAAGGTTACTCACTGTTAAATTTGCCGGAAAATACTCCACTTTACTTACTTTGTGATCCTTTTTTGTATCCGTTTATTTTTATTTTTTTTTTTCTGCCGTTTGAAAATTTTTAGGTCTCGCTTGAACGCTTCCTTGCGTTTCAAGTTTGAAGGTCAATTAGATTCTCAGCATTTGCGGTTTTGGTGGCCACCTGTAAGGTCCATTTAACAGGACCTCTTGAAAGGGCTGTAATATATATGCATATCGTTAGCTAGGACGCCATAAACGTGGAAATTTAAATTTCAAAACAGAACATCGTGGGAAAATAATAGCTTTTAGTGACAAAGCAGAAACTTGTTTATTAAAGACTATGGAACAAAACTTACGAAGGACCGAAAAAAAAGAGAGGAAGGAAAGGAAAAAGTGAGGGAAACCGCAATTTTCCCTTAAACCTTGGCCGACACTTTTTTTAACGGTCGTTTTATTGTTTGTTTATTAAGGTTTGTCCAAAGCTCTTTAAAAGTGAAAATAAATGGTCATGGAAACTTGGAAAAATTTAGTTACGCTTCAGTTATACAATACATACTACATTTCTATCTATATATAGTAAACAGCAAAAAATATCCTTTATAAAAATTTTAAACTTATCGGATGTTTGATTTTTCAAATTCCTTTCAAATGACTAATTACAATGAGTTCGATAAAAAAAGAATCATCGATGTTGAAAAGCTTTCTCTAATGCGTAAGCACTTTGCCTCACCCTTAGGGGTAACGCTTCGACCACAGTAATTTGTCTTAACTTCACTTTTTTCAGAATCATTTCTTCAAAAACCACGACTACTTCTTTAGTGAAATTATGCTCTTCTGGATTTATGTTTTAAATGTTTGTCAATTCCTTTCTCTAAGTAGGCAGAATGGAGCTTCTATTCTTGGCGAGTTTTCTTGGCTGCACCGAATTAACTCCATTTATCCGCCTCGCTTAATTGAAGAATAATTATAGGATTCAAAATATATATGGCAACATCGCAGTTCAACGGTCCGACTTCCACTTAAAACACTTGAACAATATTGGTAGCTATTGGTTTAATCTATTTCCTCCACCTCTAAGATTACCAGTTGTTTGGGTACGTTATATAAATAAATGATTCAGCGAAAAAACGTTCAAAGACACGCCACTATCAAGCAAGAACGAAGTTCATGAAAGGAGGAAAACACACCGTCAATCGTCAGTCTTTCTACTGTGTGATGAAGGCCATTCTTTGTTTCGCTTTTATCAGCCTGCTGGTATTAAGTATTGCTCCGCATGCCGTGGAAATGCGTAGGATTAATAATACACCCTTTAAGTGGAGCAACCGTTTGCCATCGCAGTGGAAAAAGAGAGAGTTCACGAACGAACATCACAACAAGCTGGACACAGGCTTTCAGAGGAGGTACATGTTTTCTCTTTTAATCTGAGATTTTGAGATTTTTATTCTTAGCGTTTTCCAAGCATCTCAAGTGTACGATACTGTCTTCAATGAATGTGTCAGCTAGAATAAGAGATTTTCTTATCTTTTCTAACATCTCTATTCATGTGAAGCGCAGTGAAGTCAGAAATGGGCTCGATCAGAACTTCTGCATTATCATAATTATGAAGGGCTTCCTAAGAACAGTGCGCAGAGACAGTTATGCGGCAAATTTGATCGGCCAACCTGGGAGAAGACAAAAAAAAAATAACTAAGGGAGGGTAAGGCTGCCAAAACCCAGCCTGCCTTCCCTTCCAAGCTTCCAAGCTTTCCTCCCCCCTCATTGTTCATCTAAAAATCCAATCTTCAGTTCACCGACAGTCCGCATGGAGACCCAAAGATTTATGCACAAAAGTGAGGGGTTGCGTCGACCGTCTAACTAAACAAATATGGGTTGAGAGGGGAGGGTGGGTAAGGCGTTCATCGATCGGGAGAGAACCCCTCGGGAAAATAAAGATTGTAAGAGGTCGAGAAATTATAAACTGTAATATCACTTGAAGAGATCCAATTGATCTTTTTTCCCCTTCATTTGTCTCCTCAGTGATGAACTTTCCAGACTGGATAAAGTGGAAGGAAACACTTTTGGGCCGCCACAATTCCCTCGACCAGGGAAGAGACAGATCCATCCAGCGTAACTGTGGACTACGATGAATAACTTCAAAACTCCAGTAGAGAGCCTTGTAGGATCTAGCAATTATAGAATTTATGAAGCGTAGTGTGTTATGTTACCTTTGTCTGTGTTTTTGAATCCTAGACTGATAACGGCAATTTTGCCATGGACTGATTTTGTTGTAGAGAACATTATTGATTTGTTTCTGTTAGTTGCATGCTCCAATTAAGATAGGGCTCCCGTTACGCTGTCGACTTTCAGCTCCATAAAATTAAAACCTTGGTTTCATGTACTATGTGGTTGACCAATCAGCTTCTGAATAAAGGGGGTAACTCTCTAAACAGTGGTACTGCGTCGGTGGGAGAGTATAACAGGGTAAACTAACATTATCATCTGAGCTGATAACGTAAATTGGCCATCGTAAAGAGTTTTAAAGCTGACATTTCGAGCGTTAGCCCTTCCTTATTCGCTCTAAGGGTTAACGCCCGAAACGTGAGCTTTAAAACTCTTAACGGTGGCCAATTTACGTTCTCAACTCATTGATAATACGAAATGACCTAATCAGCTACTAGTTCAGCTGTTGCATACCAAATGGTCTATAGTGTGTTCAGTTGCTAACGCTTTCATTTCGTCCTCAGAACAATCGTGAGTTTCTTGTGAAGTTCTCCGTAAACACTTTACGTTCAAAATGCATTACTGCGGGTGAAAAATTACGTTCAGGGCAAGTGGCAAACGGCAAAATTTCAACTTATTTCCACCTTCTGTGCTCTACCACTGAGTTATAGTGTCTCTGTGGCTTAGCGGTAGAGCATCGGAGCGCGAAATCCAAAGGAGTCTGAGGTTCGATTCCTCATGGGAACTCAGAATTTTTTCTTTGTCCCACGCTCGTAACAAGACGAAAAACATCTTTCTAGATGTAGTATTTTGTTTATCATATAAACACAATAGCACTTCATTGACAAGAAAAGTCGACTTTATGAACAAATGAAAATAAAAGGATCGCCAACCCCGAAAAAAATTGTGAATAAGTGCGTTGGCGCTAAGGTTCAAGATAAAAAAACGCGTTGAATCATAACAAAACAACAATGGCCGTAATCTTCAATTTACAAAATTCTCAGTTATTGACTTTGTCCTTACCGACAGAAGAAATCTTTCAGGTACACAGCCAAAAGCGGCCTGTGGAAAATCTTCCAGTAGTCGATTTTCGTTCTCAGCCGCGAGAAATACAATTACCAAAGCCACTGAATACGAAACTTTCGGTTTTTCTTTTCTTAGTTTGGTTTTCTTTCCCTTCTAAGAAAGTATGAACGGCACTGTCAGTAAGCGATACGAATTTTTTCAGCGTTTTAGAAGCCTTAATCCGAGAAAATTCCAACAAACAACCGCGGATTGAGAGTAGTGAAGGCTTTGCTGTTAATTCATCAACCTGACCGAGTGGCGCGAAAGGCAAGTGACGTGTCAGCAGCTGATTGACGATATCAAACACACCAGAAAAAATATCGTATTTTTTCACGTGTGTTGTTACGACTTTTCTCAGGGCTAGAAATCCTTGTACAACACCTTAGTTTATATGATAAAACTCATTTTCTCCTTTAAGGTTTGACACTTAGCCTCGTTTTGAGGGTTTTTGTAACCCGGAAATGGCCGATTGGTGTTGAACCTATCGACTCGTGTCACCTGTGCTCGCTGTGCTTTTTGGCGCTCACGAAATTATACGACGATCAGTCTTTCCTTCTTGACCCGAATCTTTGTGCAAACCAAATAGAAATTGCCGACAAGGAAAATGTAATATCCTGGCTACGCTTAAGTGCGACACTGAAGGATTTTTGGACGATTTCATTTGATTCGCCCGATGACTTTGGACTCTTTGTCTGGAGGACCTTTATGATCCTCAATTACCTTTATCATAATACCGACTTTACCCTTTCAATGAACCTCTCTACAGACAATTCTCCATCTTCATATTGGTGAAAACCGTTTTATTATAACTTACCGCCGCGTTATTATATTTATATGCAAATTCTCGCAAACAAAATGTTCTTTATTTCTGAATACAATACGAATTGAAAGTAAGTTGTGTGATTCGAGGAGAGTATTTTGCGACTGAGTTCAGTTACTGTCTACCGTATCACTTTATTCTTAAACTAGCATTGTTGAGAACAGAGCTCACAAGATTAAAACGTGGCCCCAGATCCTTAAGAGCGCACAGAATAAAACGGCTATCAGAACCAAATTAGACAAAGAACAACTGAGCCATCATCCGTCCTGAAACAAAGTGTCTATATGTATCTGACTCCACGAAACACAACAATTGTTATACCTGGAATAATAATAAAAATAAAACGGATGTCACTTAACGAGAGAGATCAACAAGCATAGAGAAAATGAGGAACATATATATCGATTTTGGCGAAAGATTGAATGGTAAAGAGTAAAAAATAAAGAGGTTTCAATAAATTTGCCAATAAGTGGCTGCCGATGGTGTAATAGGAGGTTGTGTCCAGAGGGGTCTGGGGGCAAGCTAATAAGCGGCGGTAGACCGCTGGTCACCGACGTTTATCGATACCCCTGGAATTGGGGACTGGAGAGTGTAGGGAAGATGGGAAGAGAGCTAAAGGGAGCGACTTTAGGAAGGAAGAGGAGGGAGGATTTGTAGGAAGAGAGGATGGAGGCAAGTAATGAAGGAGATGACAACGGAGGGTGTGGAGGGAGGGGGAGAAGAGCAAAACAAGAGAACAACAACAACAACGACAAAAATGAGGGTTTTACTTACTTGTACATGAGTATCTTTCTCAAAAGGTTCTTTTCTTCTTTCACTATAACTCCGCATTCTGGTGAAAAAATGAAACGAAAAAAAAACATTCAATCCAGTGAATGTTTATGGTTCACCAATTGCAATTAAAGCCTCTGTCACTGAGGCGAACAAACCTTTTTCTTCCTTGATCAAATACTGTAAAGAGAGTCAGGACAACAACCTAAAACATAAAGAAAACAGTATACTCTCTTATTATTATCACAATTTTTTCAAGCTTATCATTTGTTTTATAGTTTGTCTAGTGACGAAAATTATCAAGGGCTCATATACTTTCAAACGTTTTACAACGCCTCGGAACCAGAGCCATATATGAAGAACTACTACACAGCTTCACTCATTTATTTCAACCAACTAATACTCATAAACTTTCTAATGGTATGAAGTTCACGCTAATAGTAAATTTATGATCTTGCAAAAGCACCTGTTCGAACCTGTTCTGAATTGAAATGCCTCTAATCGTCAGCGGAGCAAAAACATACGATAGCGAGTTTAAGCAAGGAGTTAGGGCACCGGCAAACGGCCTCAAACAAACTCTGAGTTTAATTCCCCAGTAGAATCTATAAATCAACCTTGTACAAAAGGTACTCTGATCACAGCCAACGCAAACGTCGTTCAATCTTGAGGGTCAAAGGGGCTGTAAGCAGACAGAAGAGGTGTGACCTTTGATGTTTGCCCTAAACGGTGTCCTCAACCCCCCAATTTATTAGGCCTTAGAACATCATGTTTGTAGTTATTGGTCTTGTACTTCAGTTCTTTTTTCTTTTTTTTTTTTTTTCACTTTTGTCATACTTTCGCAAGCAAGACTAAACTTCTAAAAGATCCATTGAGGTTACCTGAAATCCAAGAATCCCTGCTAGCACCTGAACAGAGACAAAGTACAAAAAAGGAATCAAGTCTCCTTCAACTCCACGATGGCTACCTCACATTTTAAAATGAAATATCTAGCGTTGACTCACCACCAATAAAAGACATTTCACTTCTGTCTTACCGCTATAATTGCAACACGAACGCGTTGAAAAGCGACTAAAAAAGCGTACTGCATTCTAAACGACCGATGCGTATCTCACTTCCAACCCAGAGTGTGTCAAACACGAAAGGTTACGATTATAGATGCCTCAGTCTTAGCCTGGAGACAAAGATTTCCATGTACTTACCACAGTTGACCACTGAAATGTCAAATAGTTTTCTGTCAATCCACTGATGGTTGGTCCTAAAAAAGCACTACAACATGAACCAAAAGGAGTAAAATTGAATAAAAGAAATGAAACAAAAGCATAGACAAAATGTGCAAATCGTGGAATTGGAACTTGGAGTGTTTGGGTTCTGTGGGCTCGATTATCGCTGTTTCTCTCGGGTTCGAGCTTCCGTCCTTACCCAAAATGAACGAGGAGCGCAGCTCATTTCCCGAACAGCGGCCGGTAATCGAGCCTTGGTCTCTGTGACAGGAGGATATCTGACAATTCAGATATAAACCCTTGCAGCAAGGATGACAACCTGTCGCGAACTCGATCCATATGTGATGCTAGGTACAAAAATCGAACGAGAATGACAAGTGGTGTGAAGCGAGCGCTCAAGGCACCGCACTCGAGCTGTTCACTCCTTACCCTATACTTGCCGTCGCATTGAAAATACCGGAGAGCACTCCATGGGTAGTGATGTCATCGGGCATTCCATGTTCCCTGAAGAGATACATCGGCACAAGTCAATTTTAGGCCACAAGGAAGCTCTCCCAACCTCGCCCTCCATGTGTCATGTTATGAATAGATCACAAGAATTATGTCAAAGTTTATCCTTTTCACTTTTCTTGGAAAGGGTTGACTAATATTTGAGCATAATCGATTTTAAACCATATTTTTCGCAGTGAAACATAACAAACTACAAAGTAGCGGTAGTTACTTAGTTCCCAGGAGAATTCCCCAAGGCTTTCTACTTGAGGAGTGGTTACTCTGCACTCTGCAAAAGAAACACTTCTAGTGTAACGGTGTAAATTATTACCTGGCTGTTTCCAACATGTCTGGCATACAAGGTACTTGATACGCACTGACGGCAGCACCTAACATACCCATGGATACACACACCAACCATACCTTCCTGGAAATCATAAGAAAAAGAATGATTGCCCTACGCATACTTTTCCGACTAAAGACCTCTGTTGGAGCATTGAGAACTACTAAGCTTAGGGTGTCGGGCGCCATAATTATGACGATCAATTGGAACAGTATAAATACGTAAGAAGGTGTGCGCATTTTAATTTAATGAACAGCAAACAATTCCAAGTATCACAATGACGAACCTTTGAGGAAGAAATGTTAGGAATGGAGCCGGAGCCAGCATCGAAATCCCAATAATTACGAAAGCTGCGCCAATAATTATGACCACACGTGTTCTCCCCTATAGTATAGAGACCAAACCATCTGATTAGAGGTAAAAGTTGTAAGTATTAAGACTTAAGACTAAACCGTGCAACAGAACATGTTTCTTACCGTCTTATCACTTATCCAGCCAACCAATGGAGCTGAAATAGCGTAACATCCGGCACAAAGGAGGAAGAGTAAACCAACTTTACTGGGACCAAGTCCAAACTAAGAAACAGACATTCAAACAGCTTTCGTAAAACCTTACAGCGACTCGAGACTACTAGTAAAACGGACAATTCAATTGCCAAAATTGCGTTAAACCCTTATTCCAGCAAATGAATAAAGGGGGTAAGTTTCTGTGGTAAGAAACTGTGGTGCTGCGTCGGTGGGAGAGTATAGCAGGTAATTTAGTGTTAACAACTGAGTTGAAAAGGTAAATTGGCCACCGTAAAGGGTAAAAAAGCTAACGTTTCCAGCGCTCGAAACGTTAGCTTTTTTACCCTTTACGGTGGCCAATTTACCTTTTCAACTCAGTTGTTAACTCTAAATTACCTTATTCTAGCAGTTATGTAAATTAAGATTTCGACAGATTAAACCAGATTACCCGGAAAAGCGCCAATGACGAGGGGAGACTGACGAGCTGAATAAAAGTTAAATAAAATTGAAGAATTAATTAATCCTCACAATATCATGCAAAAAGGCGAAGAGATGAAAGGAAAATGCTAACACTAAGTACCCAAAGGTATTTAGTCGGAAATTAAAAAAAAGAGAGCCTTAAACAAAAAAAAAAAAAAAGGAAAAAGTTAAATGCAGGTAAATTTCAGTTTTTACTGATACCTTCTTCATATAGGGCGCAAATGTTGGATCTAAAAAACCCAGCACTAATCCCGATACAAGGATAGATAAACCTGAAAATATAACGAGCGCAATCGTCTTTAATAAGTTCACACGTGATACAGTGAAGAAAAAACTTGCAGCCGGCTAGCATCAAGATGTTTTTGCAAAAGGCACGTTTGAACAATCACGTGACAAGCAAATGTTTCAGCTCGATGGTTACATATTTCCTTAGATATGGGGCCCCTTTCAAGTGCATCTCAGCAAGCAGGGGCACAAAAATGAAAGACCTCATCGGTTAAAAGAGGGCAGGTAATGATAGCTCAAAACAACTGTAATTCACAGGGATAAATAGCAAAACGAAAATGACTGTTTCAAAGGAATCGAAGATCAATTTCACACACATACCTATCACAGCAATTCCTGGAATCTTTGTCATTCGAAGTAGTGAGCCAGTGTCTACTTTTCGCGGAAGGTCTATAAAGCAAGTAACCAAAGTTCGACACTTTGTCAATTAAATTTGGAAAAGGAAAAGAATGAGGACGAAGTAAGAGAAGATTGAAAATGATCATGAAGGATCAAAACAAGGAAGAAGGTTAGAGAATTGAAGAGCCAGTGTGCCAAGACATTGAGACAACAGCAGGTGCTCGGGGAGGAAAAGACATGATGACAAGAGGACAGAAAGTTAATAAAGAGAGTGAACAGCAAGAAAGAGCAAACAAACATAATTTGCACCTTGGTCTTTTGGTAAAATAAGCATAACCACAGGAAGTATTGACAAAAGAAGGCCACCAAGCACGATAAACGGAAGTTTAAATCCGCCAGCCTAAAACATTAAATGAAAGAAAAATTGAGGCTTGTTCAAAGAAGGAAAAAACTTTGAAAAATTTAAGACAACTTCAAAAAGGCTCACAGTATTTTGAGCAGGAGTTAGTATTGAAGCAGTTTTTTTTTGTCACTTATCATGATTATAGTTTTTATCAAATATTGTTAACAGCATTTCACTGATTAAGAATCTCAGAAACATGAATTTTTGCAATGCAGAGTAAAAGTTTATCAAAATCACATAGCAGTACAGAGCAAAATAATTGATGAAAAATATAACTTGCAGTTTGCAGGATAATGTTTTAAAGGAGTATGGAAACAAGCATAGATTCTTAGATAGAAAAAGGAAAATTTTAGTATGCCATCATGAACCCTAAAACAAGTTGAAACCAATCAGTCTTTTTATTACTCACAGAATATAAAACTCCACCCAGAGGTGGACCTAGCATAAAGCCCAGACCAGTAAATGTCTCCATGGCTCCCTACAACATCCACAAATGGCATGCTAATTAGTATGAGGATTAAAGGATTGTACAAGCTGAAGAGCTTAGAGAACACTGTCAGTACAATCTTTAATTAATAACTCAGTTTGAAACTGATAACAACATACTTGTAAACTTTGCAACTAGCAAGCATTTTCAAAATTGATCATGTGATGACTGAGATTGCAGGTCCTAAACACCTCACACTGTATATGTTGTGGTTAAAATTTTTCTTGGTTTTAAAATTTTCAAAGAAATTTATGTTTTGTGTTCTACTGTCTCAGAAAAAACTGGTTTGAAAATTTTAAATCAGCTGGGAGAAAGTTGGACTATACCGAATACGCTGTCAAAGCTTGGATCATTTTATAAATTCTTCATCTCTGAGGACCAAAGGAGAGATGATGTACAAAGCTACCTCAAAAGTTGAGCCCACACAAGACTCATTCTTAATTGAGTTTGTGGTCTGTTATTGCAGTTACATGAAGAGACTATCTTCTATACATTGCACTGCTGTTAACTATTTTTGTGGTCAAGTAATGTTAGACACACTCAAACATAAGAGCCACAAGACAGTTGATATCTCGTCAACCCTTACCGTCACTGTGCCTATATTGGAGCCAAATTCTCCTGCTACGATAGCAAATGATGCAGTGTCTGCTGCAGCTCCACCCATTGCCATCACAACTCGAAGGAGGAAACAGAAAACCACAAAAACTACACCCTTGGGTAACATTGATACAAATCTGTCAAGAGGAAGAGATGAAGGCCATAAGTTATTTACAATTTCTTCTCCCAAAATTGATTAATAAGTGTAAATTTTTCACATTGAAAACTTGTCAATTTTTTGAGGTAAAGATAAAACAGAGCTTTTGCAAATAAATTGCAAGTTTAGTCATAGGATAAACTACAATGGTATAACTACAATTTGGTATAACTGAAATACCCAAATAATATCTGTGATCCAGCACAAAGGAACAGTCCTGCTGTCAATGTGAATCTTGGACCAACTGTTGGGAGCTAAACAACAATGAAAAGAAAGAAATCATCACCTTAAAAAATGGAAGCAAAGTGATTAAAGTATGAGGTCATTTCTCCTTTAAAAAATCACACACAAGTTGCTGTAGACATTAAACTTACCAAGACTCCTATTAGTGGTGCCACAACAAACACCACCAGGGGATATATTCCAAAGATGAGACCAATCTCAGTACCTGAGGCATTCATTTCTTGTGCCTAAAAAAAAGATGAAACGTCAAGGGTCAATATTAAAAAACAATCAGTATAATTCAATTATGTATTTGTTCCTTTTTTTGGTTGCTTTTTTTAAATTTCATTTTGCAATACACTTAATTACTTGCAATACAATACAGACATTACTTAAAAGCTACAGCTACATGTAATACAAAGTAAACAATACCTATAGTACTACTGAGAGCCACTTACTACTAACATTACTTACAAAACTTATTACTGAACTACAGATTTTACAATTACAGTTACATTGTATTTACAGACATTTGAATTGACCAGTGCTGATAAAAAACATGATTACAGTAAAGTAATTATTGTTGCTCAGTACAAAAGCTAAAAAAAACATTACATGGAAAGAAAAGAAACTTAAAGTATACATTTCAACTACATGGTATTTATTATGCAGTTGTTATACACTGAGATGTAAATGTATGCTGCCAGACCTGTTATGGATTATTATGACATTTTCTACAATCATCCTACAGAAAGTGTTACTTTGCCAAACTGGGTACTTAATTCCAAGAAGGCATTCCTTGAAAAATCATTTCTGTTTCTAGAGAGAAATTAAAAACGTTTAAAAAAAAACACGATTGTTCAGAAAACTACTTATCGTGAGTAATAACACTTAACCGGTGATCATTTTCTTCTACTCAGGCTTAGTGATTATTTTCAATACACCCTCTGAACTTCCTGTGACTTTCACCTCCCCTCTCATGCAAGTCATCCTTGATTGATTTAAAAATCAGTTATCCAGAATTTCTACCTCTCTTCAGGAAGGCAGTATGAACTGAAAACTGGATATGCATCCAATGGGATGCAGGGGTGTGGAATGGGGGTCGTTTCCTTGCTGCCGCCTTTGTCACACTTGCTCGCAGGTGCATATAACAAAACTGAGCTTGTGTGGATTGTTGAGATTTGGGCACTAATACCTGGAAACAATCTTCACTTGCTGACTCAGCTGAGAAGTTTCCATGTAATCACAACAACTATCAAGAGCTCGACTTACCAAGCGAGCCCACCTCATGCGATCTCGCCGCTTCACAAAAAGTATTTAGAGAGATTATGAGAAGTTAATTAACACATCAAGGAGAGTCAGTTGAAGATGAGGGGAAAAAAATGACGATAAATAATGTTGCTTTTCACCAAAATTTTTAACCAATTTGAATGAGAACGATTTTCCAGTGGAATTTTGCATAGTATTATTCCCTGCATGCACAACCTTACGCAATTTGTTGTCGGATTTGAGCTGCATCGTGAAGCAGTGAACCGGTATATTTTTTTTCAGGCTCCCTTTGAGTGGAAAGTAGCACAATGTACCCTCGTTATTTCAGTTCCCTTCCCATAATAAATTTATCATACCTCTCCGGGAAAAAAGGGAGAGAGAATCGCGAAAGAGGCTGTCGCCGCGAAGTAAACAAGACACAGAGACACCAGTGTGAGTTTACTCCTCGTCGTATTCCAGATGCCATTTTGTGTTCCATCAGATGATCCGTCATCTGTATCATCGGGCGGGTGCTCCCCAAAGAAATCGGCCGAAGATACACTGGACTGCTTGCGGAAAATGGGACTGGCGTTAACACTTGCGATACGAGAATAACTTGGCCTCCGGGTCGACATTGTATGCTGGACATATGCCCTTGTTTAACGGTATGTTGGAGGTCAACTGGAGTGAGGACAAATCTATTCCACTCCGGGGGAGGGTAACAGCTTCAAACGTTTTGGCGTGAAGCGAGGGATCATTGTTGTAATTTTTTTGTAGAATTACGCATAGCAGTCTCGTTTCTGTACAGTTCCTAACTATTACGTAGTCAATATCCGGTAAAGTCGAAAACTGCAAAGCAATCATTAGTTCAAGCTGTCTTCCTCCACTCTCCTAGGGCAAGGTTTTCTGTGACTCAGGGAGAGAGAGCGAACGACGGCCTGATGTTCTATTTAAAATGGTCAGAGGTGCTGAATGAAATGTGACGTTTTACTTCCGAGTCAAGTAGTTGTAAATGTTTTTGTTTTATCTGACGTGATCATCCCACCCCCTAAAGGATATTTCTTTCAGCCAGTTGGATTTTGGTGTGGGGACAACCATGACACAGTCCGAGGGAGAAATCTAAATCCCTAGGGGAACTCCCCTACGAAAATGACCTGGATATCTGTCACAAGTTCATTTGGAAAACTCTCTTTAAATGACTAGCCTACAGAGCTGGCGTAATTTTGGCGAGCGAGTGCTCAGTGTTTTCTTAACGGAAATTATTGCCGCCATCTTTTATTTTAATGGCAGCGGAAGACTGGGGAGAAAAAGAAATTTGTATTAAGGGGGCGAAAGATGATCAAAAATTAACAGTGGGATGGGGGTAGCGGAGTGAAGATCGCCTTTTCTCCGCCCCCTACCCCCACCGTCCACTCCAACTGCAATTCAAACATGGCGGATCGAATAAACGATCGCGAACCCATAACGCTAGCTGGCACTGATAAGACGCCTGCACTGCAGGCTTTTAAATGATCTGAATATTTTTCTGGGGGTGCAACCCAGGGAGAGGAACTTCCCAACCAGCTTTTGACCTTGGGATGACCTACAGGTATATATTCAATGAGGAATTACAAGGTTTTTTTTGCATTATATGGAAGCCTGAATTCTAATATTTGACAGATCAATGTGCCCTTGCACCAGAGAAACCTTACCAGCAGTATTTAAGCCCTTAATAATACCAATACAGATAATTTACTATTTCAATGGTTATGACAATTTTAATAAGGAGCGAAACCCATGTCAAAGAAAGAACTACTGTGCATAAAAAACACAAACTTTGTTAATTAAAAACAAATTTTGATAACTTTTCAAGCATGAGCATGACTCCTCAAATTTTGCTAAGAATAGTTACAAATGCAGCATATTAGCTACTGTATGAAACCAATAAAAATTACAAACTTTGATTATAAGAAAAAATTATAACTTTTCTATCAAAAAGGAGACTCCTTCATTTTGCTAAGAATAGTTATAAAATTCAGCATATTACCTAACTTATGAAACCAATAAAATAACAAAATTTGATGACTAAAAGCAAATTTTTATAACTTTTCTATCAAAAAGATGACTCTTCCATTCTGCTCAAAATAAGTCATAAATTGTAAACTCTTTGCTAACTTAGGAAGCCAATGGTTGAATGCATGCTTAGAAGAGAATGGGTTTAAAAAGGGAGTCTTTTTTAATGAACCAGATCTCGTTGTGGCGGTTAAAAAGTTTAAAAGGGCTATCATAGCCAGCAGTGAAAAATATGTCTTTCCTAAATGAATCACCAAGTCCATCCTTCACAAGGTCTTCACTCAATTTTTCAGAGTACTCCTGAACTTTGTTAATTTTGGAGAAGCCTCCATACACTATAACGTATGCACAGAACCTTTTTAAGGTTGAGATGTAGACATCCTTGTCTGTAGGTGCGGCAGGGTTTTCTTGATCCTCAAAAGGTACAAAGAAGTTGATTGTGAAGTTGTTTTTGCAGAAAGGACCCTGTCCTGGTTGGACTTCTACAGCAACTGGGGCAGTCATGGGGATTTTCTTCTTTGGTACGTTTCCGCCCTCTATGTAAGCAAACAGTCGCTCGAAACCCATACTAACAGCCTTGTCGTACTCGTAACCTGCCGAGAAAAATGAAATGAAAAATTTCATTGACTATCAAAGGGAATTAGAAGGTCATTTCAGAAATCAAAGGTGAGAGAAAAAACACATATACAATAGAAAAGATCCGTAGTGAGATTGGTACGAACAGACAGTGATGTGACACCCTCTTACAAAATTGCGTCACACAACCCCTAAGAAGGAACGTTGCATAATAGTATAATTGAAACATAAATTTCTAGAGAGTAAATAGGAAAGATATAAAATATCATACCAGCTACAATTGTAGAGGCCCACTTGTAGTCTTCTTTGTAACACCGGAGTTCATAATTAGCTGTTTTGTTAACAGTTTTAAAGTGGGGGCATTCAATTCTGTTGCAAAACGCTGGTTCGCCGTTCATCGGTTTTGCTTCGGTAAATGCCAGAAGGACAACAGCAAGTAGGGCGATGAGGCGCTGCATCTAAACAACAGCATTGTATTACATTTCTGTGATTTGACTAAAGGGAACACTATGTTTTACGTTGAAACTTACAAAATAGCTGCGATGAATTACGTAACCGATGTAATCTCGAGTTCGCAAAGAAAAATCGAAACACATTTGACTTAAAGAAAAATCATTAGCTACAGACATAATTCATCCCCAAGTGCACCTCGCTATTGCCAAGTTAGTCAAAAGAACTGTTTCACAACAGTTATGTTTCGGTGCTGTAACTAAGTTTTCGCGATCCGGTTTTTCCTAACTTCATTACTCTTGGGACAATAAATATTTCATTCACTATAGAAAACACAAATACATGCAAATTCATTTGTATTACAATCGAGCGCTGTGAACAACATAAAATTGAAAGCTCTTTGAGAATAAGCTCTCACCTTTTTGAAAAGCTTCACAACACTTGTCCGCGTAACACTTCCTTCGTCGCTAATTTTGCAGAAGTAATTGTACTTTCAAAAGTGCTGCAGCATCTTTTATATGCAAATGTACTGTTGTGTTGCAATATTAGTCATGTGACTTCATACAGGAACCGCAAAACGTGACTATATCGCGTGACGAGAATTACGTTGTGACCGTTCTGCACGTGATTGAATACCTGTCATGGCTACGGGAAGGCAAAGGCAACTATTTGGCTTTTTCTTCTTCTACGGACGCATCAGGATGTCAGCAATTTTAAATTTTTGATCGCACAATTTATGTCACTCATTTATTCAATTTCTATTACTACTCTGGTAAAAAAGAAGTTAATTATTTCCTCTTGGGAGGCACCTGAACGGACCATTTCTACGTGGAATTTCTTGATGTTCGTGAGAAAAAAATTCAGGAATTTGTTAGAACTATTGATATTTTCCTTTCAAGCGAGGGGACAGAGTTTCTCGTCATCCACTGTCTGTAAAAGTTGAAGTTGTTGCATACGGTAACTTGCATGTGACTTAAAAATCTTTCCTCCTATCACAATCTCCTGACCGTAACTGATTGTAAAACTGGTGTTGTAGCTTTCTGGCGAGGGCAGATATTTGAGCTAAAAGTTATCAAATATGTCCAAATATTTGAATGAATCGAAAAGTTTAAAAATACAGTCAATTATTTGCCTCTTTTGATTTAAAAGCCGTCAATCAGATGTTGATAATTAACACCCATGTACCCAAGCCGACCACTTGTCAAACGAATTAGAGGGCTTACAGAAGCGCACTATGCTATGCGTATGTGATCTATCGAAAGGTATCAGGGCTTACTAGTTTAGAGACACGTTATGATCGGACACAGGCTCAAACGGTCAAAATGTTCCAGGAAATCAGAAACAATTCTGATCACAAACTAAACAGATATTTTCCAAAGCCAGATAAACTGATGTAGTTTTAATCTGAGAAATAGTCGTAGATATCACGATTTGGAAAACGAACAGACTCAAGGAAAGTTTTTTTTTACACCAATTGTATATAGACGATTTTATTTGGTTGTTTTATTGGGTATTTTATGAATCACCTAATTCAACTCTAGAGCTGTATTTTCGAAACTGCAATAAACTATCTATTGACTGACACTTGTTGCGTGCATTCCGATTAGGGATTTACCAATATGTGAACACTCAGAGTAATTGGTTAAATACAGTTGCAGTGACAACTTCATACATTCTAACTATTGTGAAAACCTAGAAAAGCCGGGATCAGAAACAGAAACCAGTTAGTTTGGGTTAGACCCTTTATGTTGGCAAAGTTTTATTTTAACGGGTGGGATGGCATGTAGCATGATTGCCTGGTGTTCTCGTAGACTGGCAAAGTTTCATTTTAATGGGTACGTGAGATGGCATATACCATGACTGCCTGGTGTTCTTGTACACTGACAGTCTTGATCGAAGAGGTAAATGCCAGAAATTTCAAAAGGGAAAAATATAGGAGGAGGCGGGTTGAGAAAGAGATAGACTTGAAAAAGCTTGAGGGGTGACAAGGGACATACAAAAAGTGCGAGACTCTTAAAAAGTTCCGTATCAAGAGAAATATTTTTGGGATGTTCTGATTACATCAGCTTTAATGTTGCTGACAGCTATACTAAAGAAGTTGGATCAATATCAGTATCTGGGCAACTACCCACCTACCCCTCCCCTAACTCAACGATAGTCAATTAATAACAGGTTAGGGTTAATGTTGGATTAGGGGAAGGGTAGGTGGGCAGTTGCCCAGATACTGATATTGATCCAACAAGTTAACGTTGTAGACTCTCTGAATTCTCATCTTTTGCTTTGAGCTCTAAACAATGTGACAACACAATATGTTAATGAAGTCAGTAAATTTTAGAGACTGTTAATTACACGCATATTTCGCTTTTTTTTTTGTCCATGATAAACAAACTCTGTGAACTGGGTCTAAAGCCTACCGTAATCTTGGACCTTGCTCTCTTTAAGTCTGACGAACTTTCACATGTCTTAGGGAATTAATGGTAGCATGGAACCGTCCTAAAAAATATATATGGGATCCAGGCCATCAAAGGTTCGTAAGTCTCCGATCAAAAGCGCGCGTCCATCACCGCGCTCGGTCAAGGAAAATCACGACAGTCACCAGCGTCAAGGTAGGAAGCTACGTATCACCTTTTTTCATCCTTTGAGAATCGAAATCCCTACAGACTACAGTTAATGCTCTGGCACTTTTCACTTCCTCGCTTTCAATTCTTAAGTATGCTTCACATTAATCTTAACCGACTGTGCATCTAAGTCTTAAGTATAATCCTCAATATTGTAAGAAAGTCTTCAGGATATTTTCCCTGATCAGGTTTTTAATCAGTTCTTCAATTTCGTTCTTGTTGATTCTTTAGCTACTTCTGTGCGTTCTTACGTCCTTGATGTACGTAAATACTACAATGTTTTGAATTGGTACTTGAAATGCTATGGAAGCAAATATTTGCCATCTTCGTAAATGTCTAATGAATAAGCCTATAGAAGCTCTCTTAATAAAAGTTTTGGCGAAGAGTCGTTAAATAGACTGAAATAAGCTGAAAATTGAACAGCTTTGTGCTTATGGACACCAACATTTTGCGACAACTTAACTTAACGAAGTAACCTGAGTGTTATGTAAATTTCAGTCTTCAAGCTTCACTGATTTTCTTTCATGGTTTTCTAATCACGCTTATAATTAATTAGTCGAACTTGGGTTGCAACAGTTTTTTTCTGTGACGTAACAGAGCAGCCGTAAAACGTGACTTCCCTGCGTGACGAGGACTAAGTCGTGACTAGACTTTACCGCGAGTAATTCGCTCTTGGTAGTGACCTTTCTGCAAGTAATTTGTACTTTTCTTTCAACATGAAAGATCCACTTCAATATGGAGAATATACTTTGCTGACTAAGAAATATTTAGATCAATCCATTGCAAAGGGAGAAGCAATTTTTTTTTTCTACAAAAGGGAAATTCCTTTTTTCACACATTATAACTTCGGGAATTGTAGGTAAAAGGCGAAATACACAACTTTCGTATCTTATGGCAATGTCATTTTAATCCGACACTGGCTTATCAGTTATGCAAATCATGATCCTATCATAATTTGACAGGATGTATTATATTTAATAATTCATATCCTCTTAGACGTTGCCTTCACAGCGTTCTCTAAAATTGTCTGCTCGAAAATCTGTTTGTGATGTTATTCTAGGGCTCCACAATCCTTTATTTAAAGCTACATTTCTAGGTTTTAGCAAATTAAATCCTCAGATATTTAGGACATATAGCTGCTCATCCTAGTCAGCTTGCGTAGCAGTCGGTCAAGCACACTTCAGCGTAAGAGCCCTATGAACAAACATTCTCAACGGGAACCATGCCATTGGTTCGATCACTCAAATTTGTCTCAGAATACATTTACAATAGAAAGATCATTCTCTTGTCGGGGATCCTGAGTGAGTATGAAACAAGGAGTTGATGTACCCGTACTGAACAACGTATCCTCAGTCCGCTTTAATTTTCATCCTCGGAAATACTTGAGAGGGAATAGTTACATTTTTTGTTTCAGTTCTCCTCCTAATTTGACATGCAATCTTTGCAGCTGGGAAAAAAAAGCAGAAGGTATTCCCTTCCTAACCTCTCAGAAATTATTTATTTGCACAGAATATTTCAACAATAATGATATACAAGTGAAGGATCTCTTGTGATATAGTAATTGAGGAAGGTTTTTCGTCTTGTCACGAGCGTTGGATTAAGGGTAAAACGCTTTTCCCTGCTGATCCTAGTACGGTATGTAGGACGTGTGTCATACACGAAATTGATAATACCTTTGCTCACCAGAGTGTCTCTGTGACACAGTTGTGGAGCATCGGAGCGCGGAAACCGAGGGTCTGAAGTTCGATTCCACATGAGAACTCATAATTTTTTCTTTATTAGTCCTATGCTCGTCGCGAGACGAAAAACGTATATTTCTCTTTTTCTTTTTTTTTCTTTACCGCACTCTTAATTTACTATTTTTCATTCTATGTTTACAAATAAAAGAGTAGTTCCTCTCTCAAACGTTTTCCAGTATACGGTGAGAAAATAAGAGCGAGGGAAGGGTATGAAATGTTATACGGCAGTGATGAATCTAAAGGGGCAGTAATAATACGTTGCTGATCAATTCTTTTATCTCAAATGTGGAAATTCGGCGACATATTGTTGGAGGGGGTGATGAAAAATACCTTTGGTAAAATTTTCCCCTGCCAAACAGTTCAGTCGCGTATGGATCATTCTCATAGTAGCAGTTTTTAAGAGAGCTTGCATTGCAATCTTTGAGGCATTCAAAATAGATTCGTTCCACCTATAACAATTGCGTTAAAAGGAGAAATGGTGGAAGGGGTGAGGGAATTTTTGTTCGGTTTGCCAAATAGCCCTTTTAAACAGTTCTTGCATGTAAAGAGGTCAGTTTCTTATGTAAAAAATACATTTAATATGCATTATGGAGAACAATCACAACCACTATTTATATATACTAAAAATTTTGAAGGAGTGAAAGATAATCGAAGACTGAGTTATGCTGATTTTGGTTCTCATTAATTTCTATTTACTTCAGACTGATTTCCTCAGTTTTTGTTACAAGCTCTACTGCAGTGTTTTAAGGTATCAAAAAATAACATTTGCAAACATTTATTGCATGTCACTTCTGAGAAAACCGTAAAGAACTTTTGTCTGATACTAAGGTTGCAACTAAAATACGCTCAAGATCTACAAATTGCCGATTTCAAAATCTTCTTCAATCTCCTCACTTGAATTTGGGCTGTGCGTCTTACTCACGATCCAAATCTCGTTACGGCGGTTAAATAACTCCCATGGGCTGTTGTAACCAGCAGTGTAGAACGTATCGGTGGAGATATCCCCATCAAGTTCATCCCTTTTCAGCGACCTCACCAAAGCGTCGTAGTTTTCCTTCACCTTCCTGATGTTTGAAAAACCACCGTATACCTTTACATACGCGCAGAAGGGCTGCACGACTGACAGATGAACGTCCTCTTCGGATGGAGCAGGAGCGTCTTCCTGATGCTTGTAAGGGATAAAGAAACTCATGGTGAAGTTCATCTTGTAGAAGGTGTTCGATTCAGGGTCCTCCAACTGCATGCTGTTTGTCACTGGTACTGTCATCTCGATTTTCATCCCTCCTTCGTTGTTGCCTTGGATGTATCTGAAAAGTTTCCAGAAGGCAGTTCTGCTGGCGTCTTTGGAAGCTTGGCCTGGTAAATACAAAAGTATGACGAGGAATTATCCTCGAGAGACGCAGTCGTAAACATTGAGGAAGCTGAAAACGTCGCAACATAACGCGCGCACCGAAAAAGGAAAACCTCAGAGCAAGGCGTATCAGTTTCAATCCTTGTGTTGGCGCTTGCAGTGTTCTTGAGGTGAATGTTTCAGTTTATTAGAAACATTGAAGGTATGTATTCATTTCTGTTTCGTTTGAGACTAATGATCAGTTCTATACAAGGATAAAGTACAAAGCGAACCCGAAGCAAGGAGGTGTGCAGGACCGGGAAAGGATTACAGAAACTTCCATTCTTAGAAAAATCAAACAAATTGATTTAAAGCAGCTAACAGTTCTTGCACAAAGAGTTTCGAAAGTTTGCAAAGTTTTGCTTGTTGCCTAAAAAGTACCGATTGCGACTGAAGAGGCTATGGGGAGGGGGGCGGGGGGGTTTGGGGTACCCTATGAAATATTCCTCTAATTTCAGCCACCCCTTCCCCCCCCCCCTCCCTTATCGCAATCCGCAATCTAACATCTTCATTGTTCTACTTTTCATCTGAGCCACTTTTCTACACAACTTCGAGGCTTCTGAGCTAAGTGCTGCCAACTATATTATTCAATAGCTTGAACGATTTTGTTTTACCTTCGACAGTGGTTGAGACCCATTTGTATGGCTTCGGATAACAGCGTAAAGTATAATCCGATGCATTGATCTTTTCATAGAATCGAGGGCAGTCGTGCTTAGAACAGAATGAAGGCAAGCCATCAGGAGAAGGTGTACTTGTCGGTGAAACTGGCTTCTGTTGTCCAAATCCGGGAATCTTAAATGGAAGCTTAGAAAGAATTTTATTTGCCAAATCAGCAAAGCTGAATCCTCCTGAAGGACGTTTGCCAAATAAGCGACCAAGCTTTAGGCTCTCAGACTCTGTGGAGACCAGGAGTACCACAAGAAGTGGGAGAACTAACTTAATCTGCAAAGAAAACACTTTAAAGTCAAAAGATTATGTAGAAAGCAATGATCTTGTTTGCATGTCAGATTACTTCTCTGATTGGCACGCAAAGCGCCTACAAAACGCCAAAAAAAATAACGCCTGTTCTGCAGGCTACTGCGTGATGGCCAACGTGCATAGTTAGTAGATTTCCAGGAAGCTACAAAAACGAGCGGCATCAAAGGAAAGTATTTTTAAAAAGTAAAGATACAGAGAAAATATTCATACCCTTGTCGAACTTTAAGTCTGAACTCGAGCAGCAAAATTTATTCCTAAGGAACACAGAATCCAGTCCGCAAACAAACCTTCTTCAGAAGTTTAACATTCTGAACTGTATACTGTCAGCAGTAAACCGGGTTTAAAGCAACTCGCTCTTCAGGCCCCCTCGCCATTTCAGGTTTAAAAAGAAAAGAAAATTGAAGAACGAAAAACAGGATATCTTTGACCTGTTTAAAAATATTTTCCCAGAGATCGCTCGAATAGAAACAACACACTTTGGAGAGCCAGCGCTTCGGATTACGTAACTAAAACATCGCAATATTGCCTAGCTATAAAATCTCAATCATGTCCAAACATAAGACACAAGATCATTCCTTCAGCTTGTGGATTTTAGGCTGCATCAAAATTTCAAGCACATGGTGACGTTTGCCAAAAAACCTTTTTGCTGACGCAAGATGTGGAGATTTTCAGCGATCATTTAGTTCAGTTAAACTGCACCTCTAAATTACTTCACCTTCATTTGTTATGCAAATTAATTACGTAACTTATTACGCATTCGACTTCGATTCCCTCTTTTAAACATTGATACTTTCAGATCATTCGCCATCATAACGAACACAATAAAATGTTGGAATAAAGTCACTTTAAAGAGAATACAACGCCATAGAATCTTACCATAATCGTCATTGCTGTGTACCTCTAGCTTCTCTGTCGCTGTCCTCAGGGATTCATGAGCCAAGTGTGTCAGTGCTGGCCTTTATAGCAGACATCTCGTGCCAATGGCCCAAAAGGATTGTTGTGCACGTGCATGCTTTGTCATCCCGGTCCGTGTCAAATAACATTTCTCACGGTGAAGCTTTACAATAACCCATTGATGCACAATTGGACTTTGAAATTGTAACATAAGAGGCGCTTAAAAGCCGGACGTTACATAATGTGCGAGTTACATAAGATAAGATAAGATAAGATAGGTTACATACAGATAAGTTTCTGTTTTCCATTGTTACGTAATTCAACGAGATATCTCGAGAACAATAACAACAAAAAAAAAACAAAACAAAAGACAAGAAGCTCTGACACGAGACACCAAGTTATTTTTGAGATTATGATATATTGTCAGTTGTGGAAACAAACTGTAAGTTTGCCAGAGTAAACATGGCCTCCTACAATTCTTACTAAGGCATGCACCTTAGATCAAAATGGGGGCAACTTCGTTATTCTTTTGTCTCTTTGTTAATTTACCCTCCTTGCCCTGTTTTAAGCTAAAGATTGTAAACGAAGGTATAAAACCGTTGCTTGTCGATGCTCCCTCGTCAAACCATTTTCAGACGACCCTAGCCCAGGGCTCTTTTAATGGAAGTCCGAGTAACTTAACTTGCCCGAAGCCATATACTTTGAATCACAATCTTTAAAATGGTGGTGTCGACTCTGTTTCAATCATTATTCCTGTCATTTTTTTATTGGTGGTAACAAAGTCCTTGATACCATCTCGATTGTAAACATAATCGACTAAGATCAGCTTGTAATAACATTGACTTTCGAGAAATGGGCTGGTCTGGCCTGGCCTCTTAAATCAACATTCGGTTGCGATATACTTGGTTGCGCGATCCATTACGCTTAGTTTATGTTGCAGAGTGACTGAGCTTCGCATCATTGCAGAAGTCAAGAACTTAGTAGAATTCACCTGAAAACTCAGTCCAAATGATACGTTTTGTTAATTTGTCTTTCATCGGAGAGTACTTTGACCCATTCATATCGATTTCCCTTTGGCAACACGCAATGAGGTTACGGTTGGGCGACATCCTAAAGAGCGGCGGAGCGGCTGGGAATGTAGATAGGACTTGAAACAACTGGCAAGATTAATGCAAAATGGAGAGTGGGCGACATATTTATTCTGCCAGCCACTTTAATTCATGTTCCAAGAGAAGTATGCGTTTTGAGATTGCATACTGTTACCTACTAGTACTGTCCAGCATTGTTTGATTCAGGAAACAAATTTTGTGTAGATCCCATTGTCCAAAGAGATCGCTGAAAGATCACGTTTCGCTCATTTGAAGACAGTCTTCGTCATCGAAGAGTATAGTCACTCTTTGGAATCTAAAAATGTGACCAAAGTTCTAATTTCATCTATATGATTAGCTGAATTCTACGTGCATTTTGATTGTTTCCTGTACTTATAATCTATTGGAATGACGGCACAAGTTTTTGCTCCTTTATTTCATAAAACAAACCAATTCTATGTTGATTCTATGTTGCCGTGGATCTGTTCAATAATAGATCTTGATACACTTTTCAAAGACGGAGGAAAAAATTGTATGGTTTTTGGAGCATACGTAACAACATAATGCGGTCAATTTTAATTGCTAGTAGTTTATGGTGATGTTTCCGGGAGGTGCATCTTTCTTTTTTCTTCTTTTTTTCATTCAGTTTTCACCAATGAAAAACGTTATTATTATACATATATATATTTTTTTTGTACTCTCTCACTTTAAAGTTCTTCTTTTCATCTCGGGTTTTAATCAAGTCGAAACATGGGGTTTCATCAGAATGATAAGTAAAGAATGATGCAGGACTCTAAGCGATAGAGGGAGAATTCGTATTTGGTCAACGTGTATACGTAGGAACAAAAATTGTCTTTACAAATTGTGCGTTTACCAAAGCAGCCATCCTTAGAGATCTATTAGCGTTCTGTCGCAAACGCTGCAAGCTGAGCATGATTGGTTGCCACGTTACACACTATCCATTCCGTGATAGATGTTGAGAAAAGTGAGTGGTGCCTGGTTTGACTTTACTGGTATCATTATTCGATAGAAATATAGGCTTGGCTTGTAACATATAAGTTTTGAACGACCAGTAGCTTTCTGCTGAGATAATCAGATTATTTTCTTTTCATTTCTAGGCGTGACAATTGATTCGAAATTTGTCCACATCAACTATCACGCGATAGAAATCTCGCGCTCATAATCTAATTTACAATTATATTAATTATGGTGCACCAGATTACGATGAAGCTCGTTTGTATTTATTATGAAAACAAACAAACAAAAAATGAAGCAAAACATAACAAAAAAAAAGGAGAGAAACATTCTATATAAGAAATAAATCTTAAAATACCACAAACCGTGTAGCAATTTCCTGCCTTGCTAAGAAACCTCGGTGATTGGCTCCCTCACAGTTTCTTCGTCATCCAAGAAACAATAATTGCTTGCGATCTCCTTTTCTTAAATGATATCTGAATGTTAGGGAGTGATATATAACATTACCCGACATGGGTATAACGTTATTCATTCAAGAAAATGGATTGAAAATTTCACCCAAGCAACAAAAAAACTTTGAAGTGGGAACTTAGTAACTCAAATTGCTATATCACGCAATGTTTACTCTCCGACAGATTGCGTGACGAACGGTATATTTAAAGAACCTACGTCTTACATCCACCCACTCATTTACGTACATGCAGATGTCAGCAATCTGTTATGTTCGAAATAAAGCATGATCCTTCAATTATTTTTTCCATAATTTCAAACAGACGTTGTGCCGTGGAAATTTCGCGTCGATCTTCCTCAAATTGAATTGTTCGCTGCACCTGCAGTTGATGTGAGTCATTGCTTGTACCCATAATGCAATTGAGAACAAAATGGCTGAACTTGGAATTATGGTGAACATCTTTTAATTTAAATTGTCTTTCTTGCTCTTCTGGATCACAGAGATGCCCCTTTTTAAGTCAAGAAAAGTGAGCAAAGACGAGTCAAAGAAACGAGTGGAAAGATGCATGGTCGTGGTTAGTAAACCATCGATTAGTGTCGTAGAAATGTTTATTTTGATTTCGTCAGAGACTGAACTTGGTTGTTTCATCTTTGTGCATGATTGTCAATTAGCCAAGGAACGGTACACACAGCGGTTGTCATCCCTTAATACATACTCTTTTAGTGGTTAGATAACTCGTACGCCTTTTAAAAGCATGTGAGAAGAGTTTATAGTGAAGACGAATCTGCCAAATAATTGAAGTTGTACGGGTGGCCATGGCTAATGCATAAGTGACAGTCGACTGTGTTGGGGGGTTGCTTCTTCTAAGATGGTTCGATAAAAAAAACAAATACCGCAACAGTTGTACAGTTGTCTCAAGTTTGCGTTTTATGATGCTTTTTCTTTCGTTCCAGCTTTGATTATTCAACTTTTAAGTCAGATTTCTATGCTGTTCTCCGAGTTTGTTTATGCCGATACTTTTGACAAGAATGCAAATAATTTGTTGAACAGTGATCATGGCTGTCAGAGGTCTGATTAGAAATAAGCTCTGGGAGAGGATTGCGTTTTTTAATTAATATTTGATGGTGGTATCAACAAGATATTTATCTGGCCTGGATTGCTTGATAGTTGGATTGCACTATCCAATGACTACATGTAAATCTTTATCTGGTGGATAGCACAGTACTTTTTGCTATCACTCACTGCTGGATAACGATTTATTCATTGAGTAAGGTTACCCACTCTTTATACAACTTAGCCCAGGTGAACTCAGTAGATTCTCCAATTATAATTGACATTTTGAGTTAAGTTATATTCAGTAAAATATTTGATATATAGTCAGGTTAAGTTTACTTTTGTTTGATAGGCAAAAGATTCTCCAGATCCAGCTTTTGATTTGTCAAAATGTGGGGCAACTGAGGTAATTTTCTTGTAGAGTTTACATTTTAAATCCATGGAAGGTGTTTTGAATTTTGAAGGTGTTTTTGAATCATATACAAGAATGTGTAAAGCAATATTGAAAATTGACTTATTTTGAATGTTATAAGAATAACATGATATGCAATTAACTAGTGAAATAGCTCTCATCTACAGCTCCTTTTTTAAAAAAAAAGTATCAAATTTTCTGTGGGTGCCATAAATCATGTAGTGAAATGTCTTAACACTGGTTGTTGTGGGCAAACAATATTATATGATCATTTCAAGGTAACTTGTCTTTTCAGTCAACTTCACTTAATGGTGAGGTGTCACCTCCCCTAGCATAATTATTTCCTCAATTCTGTTTAGTACTGCATCATAGCATATAGTCTATAAAAGATGAAATGGAATCTCTTTCACTAGTTTTAGATTTTATGTTTTAATTTAAGCCATAAAGTACATTGTGGTCTGAGATTTTATGTCTAAGCTTTCTGTCTGTTCAAAGAAATCTGTCATCAACTGCTACAAGCTCAAACTTTTTTTGAGTAACTGTCATAAATGATTTGGTTTTTTGTACCAAATACAAAAATTAAGCCAGACTATTTGTTTTATGCCATTTATGAAGAGTAAACTTATGCTTCAAAATAAAGAATTTTGTTTTTCCTATGTAGCCAAAGGGTACTGACAGTTGTATTTTTGATGAATAATATTTAAGTTAAATTTGTAACATTTTACAATGTTAAATTATTAGGCTAAATTTAAAAAAAAGTGCCAATGAACTTCCACGCAACTATTTGTAAACAAGTGTTTTTTCAGGGATTTTAAAGTCATGGGCTTGATGACTAGTTTTGAACTTTTAAAATTCCTGTCTGAGAAAGGTTGTGTGAAGGTTAGAGATAAGGGTGAATACAGAGCTGCTCACATAAAGTTGTATGCCACTGATCAGTTGAAATGAAGAGAGCTCTGACTGACTCTTTCAATCTGTAAAAATATTGAAAAAGAAAGGAAAACTTAAAGTCTTTGAACCCTGCCGGCAGGTTTTGATTTATTTGTAAATATAATTGATTGTATATGGATTGAGATGCCTTTTTTGTCAGCTGGAGCATTGTAGCCATGCTAATTCTTTCTAGAGTCCAATTTGCAGGTGTTGAGTTGTCACTGAAAATTGGTTGCAATATTCTTAATTCTCTCTTTTTTTATAGGTCCCCAAGGGAGTGTACTCATTATGTAGGGTACTTCAAAAAGAGGTATGTTCAAACATAACTTGATCTACAGAGCAAATAATTTTATTGACAAGAGTGGATCTGTCAGTACCTAATTTCAATAGTTTAAGTTTTCCATAATCAATGTTACAAATTGTGATTTTTAATAGTCATTTTAATGAATGTTACTGCTACTACTGAACAATATGATAAACATTCTAACCAGATATTGTTCTTCTTAATACAGAAACTAAAGATATTTAATGCCATGTTGCATTTTGGGGATCAGATTTTTGGGTTGGAGATTGTGGAAACAACTATTTTTCAGTTTGAACCTGGCTTTGTTTTGCTAGGACCTTACTTGTATTTTGCTGGAGAGAGATCCATTTGTAAAATCCACAAAAATTAAAATCAGCTTAATTTTCAATGCCATGTGTTATGACCAAGTTGTCACCATTCTCAGATGTGAATATGCTGAGAGCTTTTGCAGAATTCAGTCAGACTGAAAGATGTGATTGTTAGTATTTAATTCAGAGGTTTTCAGTACCTTTTCCCATAAATGGCTAATGGCTGGCAATGTTGTAGTAACTGGCTATGCTGATAAGTGAAATCCATACACCATAGCCTGCTTGTAAGCTGAACAGACAGCAGTGAGAGGTTGTATAGGTAACTATAGACCACCTGTAACCAGTGTTTAACAAAACCCTGTAAATGTACCATTAAAATTTTTTCAACATGCTTTTGTATATTTTAGGCACTTTTATTGTTTGACAATGATTTATCAAATCTAAAAGGTGGAGGAGACCTAAAGGATCTGTCAAATCTAAGGGTGAGATATGACAATCATAATGATTTGTGTCAATTTGTGATATTTTTTTAAGAAATAGACTTAAATTTACCAATAAATTCTGAAATACTAATGTAGCAATTGATAATGATATTTTCCTTTCTTTTCTGAAATAATTTTAGTTTGATCATGAGAATTTAAACCAAAGAATAACACTCTGACTACTGATACAATTTTTAGGTTAGCTAGTTTTAGCTCCAAGGAAAATAGAGGGTAATTTAGGTTGTCCAGCTTGACTGACACCCAAACTCTTCCTTAGTAATTAGTATAGAACTTTAAATTATGTGAAGCGCTTCTGAATATTGTTTATAGTTTTAGCCCTATATAAATTCCTTATCCTTATCATTATCATTAGAGTTTGCGGCATTTTACACATTAATAACCCCTTGTTACTGGCTAGTATAAATTTAATGTTCCTTCTCATAGATTATCAGAACTGTTTATTTTAATTATCGAATTCAGAGTTGAAAGTATTTTAAATTTGCCTCCTCCCAGGTGTTGGATCTTCATGATAACCATATAACAGCCCTTCCTGCAGCTATTGATGAGCTGAAATCACTACAGGTATGAAAAATGCCCAATTAACATCATATTCATTTGGTAAATTATTAGTTATTAGCCCTTTAACCCCCAAGATCTGATAGTTAATTCTCCTCTCTAGCTGCTACTCATTAACTCATAAATTACTTATGAGAATATAATTTTAAATCAAGATAAGAACTTCCAGCTGATAAGTTTGTCTGAGTACTGTCAGTAATGATTCAATTTAGTGCCCTCCTTTCAACAAGTGCTCCCTCTTTAATTAGAGCCCTCCACCCTCAAATTTGTTTTTTTAGATGTAAATAAGCATCCCTATCCTAATAAGCACCCCTGTTGAGTATTAGCACCCTCATTCCAATAAGCACCTCTTTACCAAAAAGCACCCCTCAATTCCAATGAACGCCCCCATTCTGTTTTTCCTGTGTACTGGATACCAGTCCATCACTGGTTATATCTATTAGCTTGCCTTTCTTCCCTCCCTCTTGGCAAGAATTACAATCAATGTACATAATGTGGGAAACTGCACCCTAGGTATATTGTCAGCTGTTCTATAAACTGTATTTAAATGATCTTTCAGTGAATACAACACAACAATTTGTATACAATGATCTTACAGAGATCTATTCAGTGATTTGAAGTTATTACTTCTAAGAGGATAGCCTTAAAATTGTTTACTCAAAACTTAAAAATACAATCCATTGTATATTGTCAGCTGTTCTATAAACTGTATTTAAATGCAGTGAATCATACAATCTTTCCACTATTGAAAAAATCCCATTGGACAACTTAAATTACCCTCTATTTTCCTTGGACCTAAAAACCTAAAAATTGTAATTTACTGAACTTTTATTTGCTCAGCTACAAAAGGAAACAGTGATGTGCTCATCAGTAGTCAGAGTGTTATTCTTTGGTTTAAATTCTCATGATCACACTAAAATTATTTCATTAATCCCATCCTGCCAAAAGGAAACTTTCATAATAAAATTTTACAGTTACTTCCCTTTGTTATGTCTGAGGAGTAATTTCTGGTTTTTCAGGTGCTAAATGTTCAAGGGAACAAACTTAAAGCTGTTCCTCCCAGCATTGGAAACTTAGCATCTCTTCAAAGCTTAATCCTTCAAGGTACAATTGTATTCTTTCCACCTGCACTCAGTCAAATTTATGTCTTCTCATTCAAGTAAAGAGGCTTATGGAAGACTTTGATGTTGTTGTTATTTACAGCAAATGACCTTCGTGGCCTCCCACCTGAAGTAGGAAATCTCAAAAGCTTGAGGACACTGAATATTTCTGAAAACAGCAATTTGCCTGGAGTTCCCCCAACTTTGGCTCGTGTGAGAACTTTGGAGGTAAAGTAAAGTTCAGTATATTTAATTGTCCATGGAACGCATGTACTCAATTCAATTTATTGAGACCTCCAATACCTTGCTGAATACCTTTTTGTAACCCAGGAGTCCCAAGATTGAAAGTACCATGCACAGACCTTATCAGATTTACCAAAGCCTGTACACTTGAATAAAATATAATCCCTTTTTTTTTTCAGAACATTATTCTTGATGTAAACATAGTATCATTTCCACCCAGAGGTAATCAAGATCTTTATTTGTTAGAGATGTTTGCAGTAATCATTTCTGCAGAATTACACAGATCAGTTAAGTTAATAAAAATGTTTGGAAGAATTGTGTGATTGTCTGTTCATTTTCATAGATGTGGCAGCTGAGGGAACAGCCTCCATTATGAAATATCTTTGCAAAGGTATGCCAATTAGGATTTAGTTTCAAACTTGTATCAAATGTGTATTTTCCCCTATGACCAGTATATTGTTTATTGATGTCAAACTTGGTGTCATCGTTCAATGATCAGATGGTGATTAATATGAGTATTAATGATTTTTTTTTTTCATATAGTGGCTGAAATTGAGTATGTCCCTCCATCCAAGCATCTACTAAATGTTCTGGGTATGCTCTATCTACACATAAGAGAGTTTTTCAGTTGAGTGTTGTAAAACCAAAGTCAAAGTAATCACTGACAACAGCTAATGCGAAGAAAGGAAAATTCCCCTAAGAGTCAATGAGAACTGAAAGTAAAACCAACACATCAGCAGATGTAAACACGTCTTGCTGCACCCACTTGTGGGCTGCCACATATAGCAATCTTTGGCTTCTTGATTTCATGGCCATGAAAACCAAACCCAGGGTTCAAATTTTTGTTAGGGACTGCCCACTTATTTAATTTATTTTTACACATGGTATGGTCAACATAGTTGGGCAGATTTGTTTTATTTTTACATCTGATTGGTTGAGAGAGTAGTGCACGTTTTCTGGACTAATCACAGAGCAAAGTAAAGAAGATACAAAGCAATCCCACATTACTTTCAACACTCAATTGAAGCTGCTCTGATTTATTAATGAGTTATTTATAAACTGAAATAACAAGTATTGACGCTCAAGTTTTACGTGAGTTGTCCAGTGAATTAATATTTTTATTGTGTGAGAGTATTCTATCATCCAATGGTGCAAGTATTGTTTTGATGTTACAGGTTTTTCATACAATGCTTTCATTTCATTTTCTTTTCTGATCCAATAGGAAATGGAACAGCTTCAAATAAACAATTGAACCCTACACCAGTGGATGATCTTGTGGCAGTAAGTTGCAAATTATTTGAAGTGATCAAATTGAAGATGACGTATTTTGTTTTTGCTTGTTGCACAACTTTACTTTAGTGCAGGCAGGGCTTTTGGGTTAAGATATCAAAGGTAAAATTACAGTAACTTTTTCTCTTGACATTGACACCAGTTGTGCAACTGACGACACCTGCTGGTCTCACTGATTTGTATGTACCATTTCACCATTTTCACAAAGCTTTCCCTGTTATTTCCTCATCATTTCACACACGAACATTTTTGTTTTCAGAGCACTTTATCAAAGCATGAAGCAGAGAAGGTTTGCATGTCACCTTTTTTTTTATTTCCATGAGTCGTTTTTGTTGTTACTTTTCCTTGTTTTGTTCCCGTTTTATTTCAATCTGGTTTTTGCATTTAATTTACAAAAACGGTTAACACTGTACATGTTTATCATTAGTATCATTCATGTTTAACACATTGACATATCGCATGCCAGTGACTAAGTATTTACTTGAAGATGGTGCAATGTTTAATTTTTTAACTTGGAAACAGAGGTGAAGGTTTCACTCGATCAAGATACTTAATGAGTGCTTTGCAGAGTTGCTGACTATCTCCTAAGTCACCATTAGAGCTTTCTGCTCAGCCGGGGTTTAAATGACATTCACTTGTGAAAGTGTATTTTAACCTCATGACGTCTTGATCCACAGGAAAGGAGACGACAGCAAATGATCGAAATAGAGAAACAGCTTCATGAAACAGAGCTGGAGCAGCAGGCTCTCGCTGCAGCAGCTAGTAAACAACGTACTGACCTTATGGACAAGATACGAATGGTAATCAAAGCCTGTTCTTTACCTTAAGCTGATTAAAAAAAAACAAGAAAAAAAAAACAGGAATTTCTTTCTAAATCACAGCTGTGGCTTTTAATGAAATGATCATATGATCTCTGCTGGGCAGTTTTCTCGTAATGTGTGGGCTTTTAATGTTTCCTCCCACCCTCTTGAAAGATTTCTGAATTTTTTTACTAGAAAAATGTAATTAATATGTATAATTATTATCAGTGTCTTGCCAATTGTATAATTCTCAATTTTCTTGATGTGCATGTATAACATTGCTTTGTGGGAAAAACAAGGTCTTGGCAGTCAGCTAGTCTTATATAATTATTAGGTAATTTAGTGTTAACAACTGAGTTGAAAACGTAAATTGGCCACCGTAAAGGGTAAAAAAGCTGACATTTCGAGCGTTAGCCCTTCGTCAGAGCGATAGGAGGAATTGTGGGTTGTGTGTGGGTTTCTATGCAGAGAGTGGTGCTACGCTATTGGTGGAAATATGTTGACGAGAAAACAGGAATAAATTAGTTGAATGAAAAACGCTCGTTGATTCCGTGGGGATTAAGGGTGCCGATTTGGAGGATAAATTTTTGTTCTAGTGTTTAGCGGAGTTCTTGACGTGTGATGGGTGTGAAGATGAATACAACAAGTAACTATGTGAATCTGTAGGTTTGTAGTAAACACTAGTGCATAAACCGTTGTCTTCAATTTAAATTTTGATGTCTAGAAAAGCCAAAGAAGAGTCGGAAATTTCCCAGGTATATTTAAGAGCCGGGTGAAAGGAATTGACGGCAGTTATAAATTGAGTGAGTTCCTCTCTTGTAGAGGAGGTAGCGCCCATGCAATCGTCGATGTAACGGCGGTAGAGTTCAGATTTTGGCCGTGGTATTGACTAAAAAATTGATGTTCGATAAAACCTACGAAAAGATTGGCGTAGCTGGGTCCCATTTTAGTACCCATGGCCACGCCATTAGTTTGTTTGTAGTAGTTACCACCGAATGAAAAGCAATTGAGTGTGAGTACTAGTTCGGCCAAACGGAGTAGTGTTTCAGAGCTAGGTTCCTTAACAGTGCGAAGATCGAAAAAATGTTTGAGGGCCCGGAGATCTTCATCACTGGGAATGACAGTATAAAGAGATGGAATATCCATAATGAAAATAAGTTTGTTTTGGCCGAGGAAACTAAAGTCACGAAATATTTCAAGTACGTGTTGGCTGTCCTTAACGTAAGATGGTAAAGTTTTGACGATAGGTGTCATAATTTTGTCTAAATAGCTGGAAATAAGTTCGGTGGGACAACTGCAGGCAGAAACGATGGGTCGACCTGGGTTGTTAGGTTTGTGGACTAAAACAGCATATGGCAGTTTTCGGCCTTCCCTTACATCTAGGCAGTTCGGAAAGTTGCAAAACAAATTTTTGCCATCTCCTTTTTTTCTTTTTTTATAAATAAATATTGAACAATGTGCGAGGCCGCTGAGGGGTAACAATAGTTTCTCATGCACTTAAATGCACTTGTAGGCTGAAGCAGAAATAGATGACCTCACATTGATGCAGCAACAGCAACAAGAGGTTGAGAGAAAAAAGCTTGTATCAGCAATGGCAGCAGGTACTATGTGTGTTTAAGTTAGATATGCCTTACAGTGTGTGCAATACAATAGAGAGCACTTGGTAGCGTTTATCACTTTTGGTGATCTGGCTGTTTGACATTACTTCTGAGTTGTTGATCGTGTGTCTTATGAGATGGGATATGGAAGAATCTTTATGGCTAACAAAAAAGAAATCAACCGCAACAACAACAACAAAACAATACAAAACAACAACAACAAAAATTCATTGCTCTGCCTTGTTGTGGCATTTTTCTTCAACTTTATTAGAAGCCCTCATTCTGTTATATCCATCATTCCTTTTTATCACTTTTTTGATGAATTTTCAATACTTATGTTTCAGATGAACAACTCACCAATGACACTGTGGCTATGATTTTGCAAGTGAATGAACGGTAATGCTCCTGCTTTTCTTTCTTTTCTCTCATCGTCAACCTCATTATTCATTCACACAGTACAGTGCACATGCATCATTTATATCTTACATCAAGGGCCATGATCAGGTTCGTTTGTAGTCACTGCTTGGGTATACGTAGACTGCGAGTAGGCCCTGATTATCAGCGCTTCAACACGAGATTTTCTTCGCCTGCGGGACAATGTAACGCCTTGAGCAATGGGAACAGGCGAGAGATCTGCTAGGGGTCTGGCACTGATAATTATTATAGTGCTCAGATCTCCGGCAAACCTCTCCAAGACTCGTCTCAAATTTTCCCTCGGATGGAGAAACACGCGTCCTGCAGCGCTTATAATGAGGTTCTACTTGCTGGCTAAGTTCTACGTTTTTTTGTGCACGAAAGATTCCACTTGATTAGTATATTTTGATTGATTTTCTTGGAGATACGTGCTGTTCTACTCCAATACTGCGTTGACAGTCTCTCAAAACTCGACCTCGATCCATGCAACATTCTTGATCCTCGATTCTCGAAAACTTTGAGGATCGAGAGTCGAGGGGAGTTTGTAGACGTCCGAGGCCGTTTGAGAAATTTTTGTGGGCTTTTAAGAAAGTTCGAGTCAATAGAAAAAGGATACCTCGCGCGATCAATTTTTCACACGACTGAACTAGATTACACTGTGGGAACTTAAATTACACATTCTTCGTTATTATAAGTTTTACCTCCTTTTGAAAGCTGTTCCACACTGTTATTAACTTTTGGCTGTTGGACTCTAGAGCTCAGAAGGCGGAAATGATTTTGGATGAGATGGAAAAAGAAAGGTAGGATTTTTGTTGTTTTCTTTGAGAAATTTGAGAAATTTGAGAATAGCTGTCGTATCGTTAGAAGAGGTTAATGATTGGTGGAGATCAGTCGGTGAAAGACATTTTGTTTTTTCTGTGCAGAATGAGAACTGAGCAACTGGTGAAAGTGACTCAGGAAGAGGCCGAGAAACTGAGAAAAGAAGAAATGTTAGGTTGGTAATAATTAATTACAATCTCTATGACTTAAGAGGTTGCTATTTGCGACTAAATCATTAGAATTTATCATCGGTAAATAGGCTCCTTCATCGTAGAAAACACGGGCATTGTCATGATTTTTTGCCTTAAAACATATGGTAAAATTTCTCTTGTAGAACCGTATTGACGGAAATGATTTAGGGATGAACCTGTCTTAGTAAGCCTTCTGCTTTCTGGTATCTCTTTTCAAGTTCTTTTCCTACCTTCCTTTGGAAAGAATTCAGTTTTTGTGGTTGTGTCTTCATAGTATATGGTAGACTGAAGTCATTTCACAAAATGTTACCGCTATTTTGAAGCATTTGTTATCCAGAGTTAATAAGAGGAATCTGAATACATCATAGTATTGAACACAGTGTCCATCGTAATGCAACAGATTGTCAATTTCCTGTTTCATTTCCCTTAGTGTCCATGGCTCGTCTTTTGGAAAGTCAAGAAAGTCAGAGTCGTCTCATTAGAGAATACGAACGGGCAAGAGATAGGACTGCTAGTCAGGCCATGAATGAGTAAGAAATAAGTTTTTATTTCCAGCGTGAATACTGCATAATATTGCTTACATCGTAGTTGAGAAACTGCGCAAAACCATTTTATCTGCCTCACTAATTCAATCAGTTTGATACCATCAATGCAATAAAATGTGCTACATAGGCGCCACTCCTTTACACAGTGCTGTATTAATGTTTTAAGAGGGTAAGTTTCTAAACTAAACTGTGATGCTGCGTTGGTGGGATGAATTACAAGATAATTTGGTTGTATCAACTGAACTGATATATATGAATGTAAATTGGCTACCGGAAATAGTTTCTAAATCTGACGTTTCGAGCGTCGGTGGCCAATTTACGTTACCAACTCAGTTGATGATACTAAATTACCCTGAATCTATGAATAGCTGCTTAATCGGGTGACTTGAAAGTGATGACGTCACAAGTGTTATGACCACTATATTTTGAAAAGGCACTTTATGCATCAGGTTACTGAGCTCTATTGAAAAAGAAAGAAATAAGCAAATAAAAGAATACTATCAAGAGATTATAACATTTTATTATCTCTTGGTACTTGTCAGTCTAGTATTATGAATAATAATAATTATCGTTTCCGTATTGTGTACAAGTGTCTTGTTTAAGTTTCAGTTTTGTCTGTTTTTTTTTTCACCAGGGCTTTGGAAGAAGACGTACGGTTGCTTGGCATTCTGAATGAACAGTATGAGGACAGAGATACTTTGATCTCTGAGATTTCCAAAGAGGTTTGTTAATAGGACATACATTTCATTTAAATTCTTCAGTTTCTTTTGGTGTAGTAGCGATGATGATGAGTCAATAAACAAAATACTCCTTTGCAACAAATAAACAACACACATTTATGACCTCGTGGTTTCCGAATCACTTGCGCGTGATCATTAGAAATTTTCACCTAAATTCGGGTGTAATGGCCTAAGGCCGAAATAGATGGGATCCCCAGAAAATCCGTGACTTCGCCGCTCAGATTTGTTTCGCATTCCTTTTTGCTTACTTGGTAATAGAGGACCTGTATTTTTTATTTAAGGAACGCGCACAAATGGAAGCGATCCAAGTTCTCCAGCTACAAACGGACGCAAAACATCGTAGAATTACCGGCCAGGTAAAGAAGTCGTGTCGATGTTTTTAAGTCAAATTTAATATGTTGAAAGATTGTATTTTTTTTCAACTAGCGCCCAAAGTAGTTTAAGTAACATATTCATCTTTAAGTAATGACATTCTCGTGTAATTATAGTTTCTTTTTTCGATTTCCTCATGTACTTATAGCTCACTTCTTCCGTATTTCCACTTTACGCTGGTCTCCCTTGTGGTGACGCTAAAAATCTTTACAACTTTTGCCTTGATTTGAAAGTTTGTAGTACTTTTCTTTAGATAATTTTTACACACGAAAGTCTTAAATTTAACTTCAGATTTCAATGCTACAAGACGAGCTCACGAAATTGACGCTAACAGAACTGGAGAAAAAAGATGAACGCCAAGATGCGGAGAGGGTATGTCCGGTGCCTTTCTTATCGTTTAACTTCTTTTTGATTTTTCCTTTGGTGAAGCGAATGTTTTACTTTTTTTCTGCCTCGACTGCATGGCTCTTTTTTCTTTTCTTTTTTTTTCTCTCTCTCTCTCTTTTTTATATTTTTTCCAAATCCTTTCTCTCTCTTCCTCCGTTTAAAAGTTTTTGAGCGCTATACTCACTATTGTTGGTACCTCAATGCACTGCGAAAGTAGATCTTTGAGAAAACGTTGAGATATACACGGGATTTGAAAACGAAAAGTTAAAAGGGATTTTTTTCCACGCGTGAAGAGTAAAAATGGCTGTCGCCGTCAAAAACTTGCAGTTAAGATTCGTTTGCGTTTGATTTCGTAAGCGGGACAACGAGGCACGCTGCAATCTCCTGTGCAAGTGTTTTTGTGCTCAGACATCTCTCACTTTTATTGTCTGGAATGATAAGCGACCCAGCTCAGAGGGGCAGTGTTCTTTTTCGCTGTAGAACATGGTAATGTACCAAGAGTGCATTATCTTTTGAGGACACTTAGTTAACCATTTCGTTGTTGTCATTCAGGCTGCGCTGGAATCGAGGAGAGAAGCTTTGACAGGTCTGATGGTTCAGCTTGTTAGCGAACAACAGAAGAGAGAAGATGAGCTTATGAAGAGACTTGTAAGTTTTTGATGTATAAGCTTACCTTAACATCAGTAAAGTAATGAATTTAGCTGACCAGTGTTTTATGGTAAAAATGAAGTGGTATTTTAGTTACATTTGTTTATTTTCATGAATGGTTCGATCTAAACCTTGCACTTATGGTCACGTAACAAACAACAATGTTTCGGAGGCTTAATTTACTACACTTCATTCCAATTTAAGATAAACGTTGAACAAATCGGGTGACATACATATATTTCAAGGTTAGACTTACTGTTTCACCTGTCCTTTTTTCTCACATTCATGTTCCTCTCTAACATTTTTGTAAGTTTATTCGAGTTCTTCTACAGTTTTAGTCTGTGGTTTCTCTAACCCGGTGATCAGTGCTTAAATCAATTTTTGTTTGAGTGCTTTACACTCCTTAAAGGAACCTCTGTGCTTTTCTTGGTCAGGTTGAGATGGAACACAAGAGAGAAACGGATATTGAGGATTACTGGCTGATTCAGTATCAGAGGCTCCTTGAAAGCAAACCAGATACTCTGCTTGCGAAGGTACAAAGAGCCTTGTAATTATGTGAGAATAGTGATACCGTATTTATTCGATTGAGAGCCTTGAGTGGTTATTAAACTTATGGACTTGAGTTGGGTGCTTTTTCGAGGTGGGCGATTATTAAATTTTCACCATTTTCGACAAGTAGTAAGTTTATTTTGCAACTCAGTAAACAATAAGTATTAACAAAACGTGAGGAGTTACCATAAACAGTTAATTTAGTGACTGTAAGCCAGTTAAGAGATGATAATCAATACTCCTTCTGTGCCCTTCAGTTTTTGTTTGTTTGTTTGTTTGTTTTTGGGGGGAGGGAAGGGAAGGGGAGGGGTAGAGGGGTGATCTTTTATTCGATTACTAAAAGGCGCTTATAAAATTTTTCTACCTACATGGTGGGCGCTTATTCAATTAAATACGGAATATCGAACGTTGAATGGCCTTGACTGATTTTAAATCTATACTATTGTTTTAAAATAACTGTAATTTCGAATAATGTCTTGAGTTGAGGTTATTTGGAAAAAGGTTCCAGTGAAAGTAATCATCAAGTTAGAATTAAGAATTTTTTCTTTGAAATTACAGCAGTGCGATGGTGTGATTTCCGATATCCTCGCAGAAGCTGAAGCTCAGGACTACGCCTCGCACTTTGCCCGTCACCGAATCACGTGGGAAATGCTGAAAACCATGACAGACCAAGAACTGAAGGAGGTGAGTGATGAAGTCTCCGTTTGCTGTCTGTTTGTTGTTAAGGAGCTGCAGGTGGTTAGGAGACTCCATATCGAGAGATCTGGATTTGAGCCTGGGTAGAGACATTGTGTTGTATTCTTGAGCGAGACACTCTACTCTCGCAGTGGCTGTCACCACCCAGGAGTTCAACGGTTCGCCGGCTGGAAGTTAACCTGCGATAATCTTGCTTCTCGCCCAGCAGCTGCACCATTTCTCCTCGTATCCTGCCTCATGTCAGGGAAACGAGGGCATGCTGAGGCAGTAATCAGCCGCTCTGTTCAACTCCTGTCTTGAGAGTTACTAAAGGGTTATGAGGTGTCGTACGAAGAGGGTTCATAAAATTTGTAACAGAACATTGCCCCTATTTTCAGTAAAGGAGATGATATCCTATTCCCCTGCCCCTCCTCCGCCGTCCACTGGCGTATTTCCGCTCTTCCCCCCTCAACCATGGCTGAATATCATTCCTGATACATCGTAACGCTTTGTTTTGCTTTGATTAGCTGGGTATACACGAGCTTGGAGTTCGCAAGGCAATAATGAACGTTGTCCAGGAACGGCTTCGCTTCGATTCAAAGGCGAAGGAAAAAGAAAGCAAGATTGAAAACCCTGAGGTGAGTTGTACATAACATGTGGTTGCGTGAAGATAGTCGACGTTACTAGACTTCTTTTCCTTTCCTCTCTCTTTCTCCCTGACCTCCCCACCCCTCTCCCTTCCTTTCTTACTTTATTCCTCGTTCTATCTTTCCTAATTCTTCCTGGTCTGAAGAGCAGTGCTAGTGCGACTTGTGAAAGCGTTTGCAATAGTGAAGGCTTACCTTTTAATATGAACGTGGTTTATTGACTCGATTGCCCAACTCTGAGAAGCTGCTTCGCGTTTTATTTCATCCCCATCCGGTAAAGTTACATATTGTGTAAATACTTTTGGTAGCGCCTCAAATTATCTCACTGTCTTGAGGATGGTCTGTTAGCCTTGTAGGTTATGTAACGGTCATGGAATGTTGTGCCTTACAGATGTTTGTGCCTTACAGGTACCAGTCCCTCAACCACCTAGCTCCAACACACCGGTGGCACCTATAGTTGAACACCGTGACATGACTACGGAATGCGTGATTTGCATGGACCAAAGGGTAAGTAGATACTCGCCTTTCGCTACCTAGCGTGACGTCTTAGAACTGGAATGTGAAGATGGAGAAAAAAGTCAGGTTGAGACAAACATAGACATTTCTTTGTACTTAAATCTCATTCATTTTAAGGCAATTTTTTAGCTGCGTTGGCAGACTGTTTGAATATTTTGTAGTTCATTAAGGGAAAAATATCTTAGAAAAGCTCACGTTTTGATCGTTAGCTCTTGAGCGGAGCTAGGGGGAGGAAGGGGGGGGGGGTCAGAGGATTTGGTTGTAACAATAAAATTTACCTGATCCCCCCATAAGGTTCTGTTGTATTCGAACGATCCCCCCTTCCGTCCCCCCTGAAAACCATTTGACCCCCCACCATCCCCCCTCCCTCCTTGATGAATATTGAGTGGTTCTTTGGAGGAAATGCGTTATTTTTCTCGTTCATGGCACAGGTATATCTTTTTCCTTATTTCACTGACGTGTTTTTTTTTCTTAACAGTCGGACGTGGTATTGCTGAATTGTGGTCACGTTTGTTGTTGTTTCAACTGCTCCAGCTCGATAACCAGCTGTCCAATGTGCCGTAACCCTGTCGTACAACGCATCAGGATATTTGTCTCTTAAATTTACAGTAGTTGTGTGCTTTGTTTCTGTGCACAAGGTATATATTATTCCATAGCAATACATTGTCGACGTTAGTCGGGAGAACAATTGTTGCTTTCGTTAGCTATCGTTTCGGAATCGGAAAAGGTCGTTTTTTATATTTTTTAATCAAAATATCTCTCGGATTGTAAGGCGAGATTGTCTCCTTTTTGTTGAAGTCTTGTTTGTTCCTTAACAACCTCTCAAGTTATTGAAAACGAAGTTGTTCCCTCCGACTAATACAAGTTTATATCAGGGCCTGAATGATTGCGATCAGTATTTCTATTCAGAGCTGATTTTTTCATCTTTCGAGGGCAAACCATCCTGATTCTCAGTTATCGTCATGTATTTGTTGTCGAGGTTCTCATAATACGCGAAACGTATATGTAGGATTAAGTCATTATTATTTAATATTTTGTTTGCCTTACTGGCCAAAACGCCCAGAAAATTGCAAACCACCCACGTTAAAGAAAAAATTGTCCTGATACTCAAAAGAGGCGAACATTGTTGAATTTAAAACGTCGTATCTCTCGTATTTTGCAATGTAGACTTGAGATTTGAGAGGATTATTCATCCCTCGGCTTATATTATCAAATGAGTAAATGTGACTTAAGGAATTGTATCTCTGACCCCCGAGCCACGTTTTAAGTGGATATTTTTTTCCTCTTCTTACAATTAGTGCTAAAGGTTTCACTGTTTCAAAGCCGGCGTCCAGCCGTAGTCTAGAAAAATCCCCTAGTACTGATTAAGCGTAGTCAAAGATAAAATTTCTTCTTAGAGATATTTGAATTCCTCAACAACTGAATATTTAAACAATTTTTTAATTTCATAAAAACTGTAGTTACATGCCTTTCTCTCTGTTTTTTGATGTATTTCGAAGTTTTATTTGTGAAATTTTTCTCTTACATTTTCAAACAAAGCTTTTAAGCTTCAACATAGCAACAATATACAATTTAACTACCACCGTAGATTAGGTGAGTTGTTTCTCTGTCACCCATACAGGCGGAGGTGAGAAACGGTTGTAGTTGCGATTGAGGACTCGAACTCCTAAAGTTAACAGCATAAAAAGTATCGAAATTGCTGCTTAGGAACTTGAATATTAGTAATGAAAATCAGCGAAGTTCTCTGAAACAATGAGATTGGCCTTTGAACGTAGACCGAAAGTTTTTCAAACTTTCGAAATATATGGCAGTAACATGTCATTATCTTTGTGCATCGAATAAATTCAACATTTATATGTGTAGTGTTAAGAGCCGAACCTCCTTGTGCTTAAAGAGGCCAGTCATTTCGGCTTCTCACCCCCATAAAAGGTGACATCTATTTAAGGGATAATCGAGACGCAGATGTTATTAATCGAGACGCAGTTTATTTTAAACACGTAAATAATTTAGATTGAAATGGAATGGCTGCATTGATAGTGCAAAGGAGAAAGATTAAGCAGTCGGAAAAACGAATTTTGTTGGCAGAAATCGGTGGAATTCAATTTTTTTCTCATTCCTTAAACGTGAGCATCATGTCTCAATATTACGTCATGTTGCGTAGCGACGTTTCTGGCTCAAAAAAATTGTGTGCTCAGTGTAGTTCGGATATTTTCCCAAGATATGGTCAGTGGCAACTACTGAAACGTGCTTAGGAAATGAAGGAGGTTAACTTAGGTTCGTTTTGCAAAATATTAAATGAAAGTAAAGTAATGCTAAACGTAACCGTTCCCGTATAGTATGTATCATACTAAAACATATTTCTTATCATTTGTAGAAAGCAAATAAACGCAAAATGTAACATCGCATTCAAATAAAAAATTTGAATTGTAGAGTAAGTTTGTGGGTGTAGTCGCTTGAAAATGAAGGTGGAAGGATTTCTGACATTTTAGTCTGTCGAAGGCCGCTGTGACGTTATGCAAAATTAGCGCGGAGTGAGTAAATGGAGGTTTTGAACGGGTCAAATCTCCGCCTTGTTTTTCGCTCAGCGCCGTCTAATAACTATACACTTGGAAGAGGTTACCTGGAATTATACTCACAGTCATAATCTAATGTTAATCTCAGCAATTTTTAAAAGAGTCTCCTCTATAGAAACCAAAAAAAACATAAATTAAACGAAACCATCATGTACACGACAAAAATCTGACTAAAACCTATTCACTCCATTGTGAATGTGACTCCTGCGGGTAAGTGCGACGTTACTCGAGAGACAATCGGCTCGGATTTCGAGCAATTTTTGTCATCGCTGTTAAATATTAGGTCTCGAGGATCAATTATAGGTATAGAAAATACACTTTTTGTTGGTGAGCTTCCTTTAATCCAGTGTGGCACGATCTATGATGGACAGAATCCATCATCTTGACGATGGAACGCTGGCAAATTTCAACATGAGATTTAAAAGCCAAAACATACCATTATATATCACTTTCTGATGCTGAATTGAATAAATCTGCAGAGTCGAAGTGGAACAAATTATCAACTGCGAAACCATACTCTAAGAAAAGCTCTTTCGTTTTCAATCGCTTAAGGATTGATGCCTTCCGGCTCAAGTTTTTCAAGGCATTAAGCAGTCAGCGGTATCTTGAACTCTGTAGCAGGTTACCAAGATTTTTGAGAACCGAGCTTTCCCACCACATATTTTGTCTTTCAACCATTTACCATCCTAAGGGGAAAGGGGCACTGTAAAAATCAAGTTCCTCGCCTTGATAATACGTCACTGATTATGCTTGTAATTGATTAGGAGTCCTTCATCTCTATTTTTATTCAGAGTTAAATATTCTTTTTTTTACTTAAAAGTCAATGGGTATTCTAAGTGCACCCGTAACAAGAATGACACAAGAATATCTAGGTACGTTTTTAATGTGCCAGTTTATTGATTGCAATTGTCTGTGTTACAGCAATGGTGCTCGCATCTCAAAACCTCCCCCCTGAGCAGAGTGGTCACCATTGATTCGAACCCCTCACAAACACTTTCATCATGGCAATAGTAGTCCGCCTCTGCCATGGTGTAGCAACCTTTTTGCAGATCATCGGTCAAGCCGTGTTCTGGGTCTAGGTCCCTGGTGTTGTAAGTGAAGCACTGTCCGTCACAATCTACAAAACCACAATGCTTATCGCGTGGATCACATTCCAGGGGCCACACTGCGCATGAACGCAATCCATCCCTTTCAGGCTTTCTCAGGTGAGATTTCAACGCCCCACCTATGAAAATTAAAAATAGTGGAATCAGAATCTAACCTCACGAAAAATTGTAGAAACAAAAACGAAGAAAACAACTTGATATAGCTCTCAGTTTTAAAAGATGTACACACGAATAAGGGAGAGGAAAAACTTCAGCAGTGTACAGTTAAATTATTTGTTATTTTTTTTCTGTTATTCAGTTTTTTTAAAGCAATTTGGCTTCTTTATGGTTTCGAATTCTCGTGAATTCAATAGAATGCCTTTCGTCACTCCATTATCTCGTTGATTCATAAAAGATAGTCTTTGGCTGAATATCGATCTCATCAATGAAATCTTTACTTGTCATCTGGATTTCCGTTGGATAACCATAACCTGATCCATAAGTCTTTTTGTCTAAAATTTTATGTTTCCGCACGAACTTTTGACGAAAAAAAACAATGAAATTTCAATCATGAACTAAAGGCATAGAATAAAATTGGTTATCTAATGTGGTGGTTTTCTCTATATAGGAGTCTTGAAAGAGGCGCTATTATAGACTTTGAAGATGCACTTACCCCGAACAAGTTGTACTATCGACACGATGGCAATTATCAGAACAATAACAAGCTTTTGCATGGTGTTCGATCTGAAAAATTGAACACAATAACTTGTAAAGTAAATTAGGACTTCTTCCACCACGGTTCGTTATTGATCAAAGGCACAGGGTTTTATTGGTTAAAGGGTGTCTTGCTCATTCTGTTTATGCCGTAAAATCCCTTTTTTAATTGACTCTTTCCCTAAGCAATAAAGTCGTTTCTATTACATAAGAACTAATTTGCAAATCATCACTTGAAAATAAATAGGAATTTTTTTTTAGTGGAATTCTTTCTTTCTTTAGTGACGAATAGATTGTATATTTCTTCTCATGTGATTTACGTATGTCCTTTCTGAGCAATTGCGTGCTTTTTCCTGCATGAATACCAGTCATTGACCAAAACAAAGTTGACGAGGAACACTGTGGCTATGATTTTCTTCTGGTTAGGCCGCTCAATCTTCGACCTGAATTGTTGGAATACAACAAGTGAGTTTGAGGGTTTTAATATTTGGCATGAAATGACGAATATGATTTTTCTTAGCGATCTCGAAACATCCAACATTTGGTTCAATTGCTGTGGGGTTTGAAGCCGGACTCTCTCTACCTGAAACAGAAGTAACCTTGTGCAGCATGAAATATGCAGAGATGTTTAGCGTGCCATGCGGAGTTACTTCTAGGTTCCCATAGAAAAAAATTTTGCACTGTCTGTAATGATTCCGATTTATTGTAGGCTGTAATCAAAGTTTAGTCCTTGAGATAAAAGCTATATTCCAGGCATAACTGCATGTCACAATGCTAGTTGCCTTCAGAGGCTCATTTCTTGAAACCTTCACAAAGCATTCCCTTTCGAATACTGATATGAAGTTTAAATCCTTACCTCGACTTCCGATGAAAGTGAAGTTCTCTTAATCTTGTTATATGTAGTGGCAAGCGAATGGTATCGGTTGTCTTTTCGAAACCTCCTCTGTACGACCTAACCCTGCATTTGTACAACAGTGCTTCCCACATAAGTAACAAGCGAGCGTTGTGGTTGGTCGAATAACTCAGCATATGACCAAATCGAGCCACTTTACGACAGCTGTTGACCAGGTAAGCGTTGTCATAAAATATTTAAATCAAAGAGCTCAGGAGTAAATGGAATATTTTAAATGTTCCTTTCTTTCTTAGCCGTCAATTACCATTTATGTCTTAAATAAAGAGATTGCAAGGCTTTAGGTATTATTACAAGGTGGTAAATTTTTCAACCGGGACATTTTTAACGACGCTTACTAACAACGCGTTAAAAATAATCATTCATAATTCATATGCGCGACAGCTGTGATATTTCCCCTTTTGGAAGTATCAGCAGTAATTTATTTAGTGCGATGGTTTTTCTTACTCTTTTATGCACATCAAACACATTTATTTTAAGTTTCCTCTGAGGCTTGCGATTGCATACGCGCGTTAAAAGGATAGATACGATACGAAACTAAATTTATTCTATAAAATAACTCCCGTCACTGAACTTCTTGACACCCGATTAGTGGCTCACCAGAAAAGAATCGATCACAATCTATTCTACCAAGGTATACATTATCAATTTTTTTTCAAGTTTCCAAAACCGAGAAAAAATAGAATTTGAGCTTTTTTCCCGCTGTCATCTGCTAAGCGTCCTCGTTGTCAGGATGTTTAGGGATTTTTACAGAAGTTAGCGCGCTTTTCAAGTGTGTGTTGTAAACCCAAAACCAAAGTTATCACACGACAAATGAGAAGAAACTGAAGTTCATATGAAAAAAGAAATTTTCAATTGAGTGTCGAAAGTAATCCAGAATTGCTTTGGTTTTGCATTAATTTGCTGTGATTGGTTCAGAAAACTTGCGCCACTCTCTCAACCAATCAGATGAAAAAGTGACGCCAATCTTAAAATGGTTGCCCGCGCTTTCCCGCGCTTTAGGCAACTTGCTCGTTTTTACTTGGAGTTCTCATTGGCTCCTCAAAGTATTTTTCTTTCTGCTGATTGGCTGTTTTACTACTTACTCTGGTTTTGGAGTAGTTAAGCAAAACTAAAGCAAACGGGTGGATTAATTTCGACACTCAATCAAAAAGTCCTCTCTTCAACAACAACTGCGTCGATTTCTTCACAGCTGACAGAAATCTTCCCGAACGATCTACAAGCCTGCTCGGCAGTCTGTCGCCATAACACTGTAGCACTAAGCTCTAATGACTCGTGATGGAAGAACACTATGAAATAGTGCAATTTTCAATTAAATATCGAAATTACTCCCGGATTGCTTTCGTTTTACGTAACTTTGCTTTGTGCTTCATCGAGAAAACTTTCCCGTGCTACCAGCAATATACTTGTTCTCATTTTGAGGTTTCATTGGCAAATAATAATATGGCTCTATGTTCTAATTGGTCGTCGGGATTACTTTAATGCTAGTTTTTACGACAGCAAATTGAAAACTGCCTTATTACATCGTAGTCTGATTTTCTTTTTCCAACACCACACAGATAATAATGAAGCAAAAAAGTGCGTGGATGCTTAAGGATGGCAAAATTGAGCTTGAATTGTAAAAGATAGATTGAGGAAAAAGTGAAGGTTCATTGTTCCATAATGTTCAAACTGACAGATTCCTTGAACAATGACTCCAAATAATATCGAAAATAGCCACACTTTACAAGACATTTTCAGCCGCTGTTTATTGATAAAAATAAAATGCCCGATTTAATTCTTAAATAAACTCTGAAAATAATAATTTCACAAGGCCTTAGTGATGTGAGAAAACTTTGACCCGCATACACCAAGAAAAAAACACAGTCAATAAATAAGAAGTAACATTTCTTTAAAAGAACAAATGCCAGTATGGTGAATAATCGTGAGAACTCTTAGAATAGTTACATTTTTATTCAAAAATTACATATCAAACGTTGGGCGTTTGAACGAGGTCACAAAATTCAGCCATGATTCCAATTTCCTTCTCTTTTCCTTATGATGAAGAAATTCTTGTCAAGAACCAGAGTCATTCATTGAAAAGAGCAAGCGCCCTCATTCGGAACTCTCGTTATAATACCGCTAATTTCATCACACCCTAGATAAGGTGTTTAACATTTTTCCTTTGATCACCAAACTGTCAGTCAACAATTATTATTTAGGAATGAAAGAACAAAACAATTTCATCAACGCTTAAAACAATTCAAACGTTTGTGCTAAAAATGACTCTGATATTGATCAAGCAATATAACAATAATTTATATTAAATCTTCTAATTGTGACTAAATTGTGTATAAATCAACACTTATATTTAATAAATAACCTTAGTGTCCACTTAACTTACAGCCCATTTATGTGAAATATATTAATTGCATTGATATGACATTTTTTTTTTCAGAAAATGTGAAAAGACCTTCTTTCAATAAATTAACTTAAACACAGAGAAATTGGTCAAGATTAATTTCAACCTATGTGAGTGAGTTATCAGCTTCTAATAACTTCTTACAGTATCACTGGAGAATCCAACATTAGGGTTATGAAAATAAAGGACCTGATCACCACATCATTTCATTGGGCAAACTCTTGCTAAGGAGGCTAAAGAAAACACCGTCATATTTTTGTCAGAAGGTGCTCGATTCCCCAATAAAGTGCTTCTTCCTTATGAAGAATTGGTTAGTTTCATAAAAGTCTTAAACACCTGAACTTAATGCACTTCTGTGAGGGTGAAAAAATGATTTTGTGCAAATTAGGATCAATTGGGAGAAATATGCATTCTCAAGAGAGACTGGTTTAATACTGAGCATTAGTGGTAAAATGTAATAAATAAGGACCAAGTTTTCTGATAAGAATGAATAAACCAAATATAATTTGTCATTAAACATTCTCCTGAAAACACAAATGTTTGTTTTACCCCTTAACTCCAAGAAGCGATTAACATGCAAATTCTATAAGCCATCTTGTAAACAGGTGATGAGAACAGACAAGCTTGTCAGCTGGATGGTGTTATTTTGGAACAAGACCAAATTCTCCTGTTGAATTTACAAGAAAAAGTATAGCACTAAGGACAAAGAATTACTAATTGGATCTTGGAAGTTGAAGGGTTAACAGTACCAAACTGTTTGTAAATACATGTAGACTTTCAATTGAGTTAGGACATCTACAGTCCCAAATTTGAACAAAGAGTTGCAAGTATTAAAAAAAACAAAACACAAAAATTTATCTCAACAGATAAATTGTTTCTTAGAAAGGAGTCTGTCCTTGTACTTGACTTTTTCAGCATTTTTTCCTAACTTGACGGTCTATCCTACATGCACACAACATCAGCATACCATACCCCACTACTGAAGTTTTGACCAATAAACTGCATCAATTTTTTCATTGCTTTGGTTGATGTCCAGCTCGTTTATGAGCTGACAATCATACAACCAACAATGCTGGCCATTGCCTTGTCCAACAAAACAAGGACAAAGCTATCACTACCTAAAATAATATCTTAGGCTTTCTCAGGTACAGGTGTACATGTTCAGCTACCAATGAAGGCACAAAGCTAACTGTTAATATCAGTTGAGACTGCCCATTCACAATCTATAATGGTAATAGGAATGAGTGGAGTCCAATTCCTTCCCTAATCATACAAGTGATAAACAAAATTAAATTCCTGTGTCACAGTCCTCTGATTTGTTAATCATGAGTATGATTATAGACAGAATTGGACAACATGAAGTCTTAATGTTACCAATTAATCAAAACCATAACAAAATCCAAGAAAGAAACTAGACATCTGTTTCATGTTTTCATAAAAAAAGCAACAGCAGTGTGCACACAAGCATGACAATTACAAGCATGACATGTACACTGTCTTGTTAGTACTCAAATCAGGCTGGTGATAACCAGTCATGTTGGAGAATTTTGTTATAGTTTTGATTAAATATTTTAAATTTAAATAGAACAGTGAATCTAGAGACTGTTGGTTTAAATAATACAGTCATGAATCTCTGATTGAATTCAAGGTCCTGCTTCTTCAACATAATTTGGATCACCTTTCTTGTCAACAAGATTAGTTTTCATCTCAATGTCTTCGGAATTTGTAGTCTTGCTGGCATCTGCTCCTCTATCACAAGAAAGATGAAGTATTTTTAAGTAAGGACACCAAAGTACAAAGATTTCTTGTCCAATAGAGAACAAACATGTACCATTATGATATAACAAGAAAAACTCGGCCAATGCTAGCACTAGACTGGTCATGAATTGAATAAATGCTTTAGAATGCTCATGGTCTTGCTGGTGCTTTCAGTGTGGGCAGGTGAACTTGGTGGCTTATTAAGTCTGGTGAGTGAAGAACTCACATTAAATCTCTTAACCCTTTAACTCCCATGGGTACCTAAGACAGAATTTTACCTTAAAATGTCAAAACAATATCATGCAGGCAAGTGACAAGAGTAAAGAAAAATATCATTTAACAGGATTATTACAGAATATTGTTGATACGGTACCAAACTCGGAAAAATTTCCGCACAGCCCCATACTTAATTATGCATGTACATCTTACTGGTGATACACTGAATAATAAAGCCCCATATATGGATGTATAATGATGTATGGGGCTGTGCGGAAATTTTGCCCCAAACTCTCCAAACTAACATCATAAGAATTTTATGTCAGTCTGTAGAGAGAACTACTCATGAAATCTTGTGAGTGAAAGGGTTATAAACAAAGAGATGAAGAAAAGATAAGGGATCTACCAAATAAATTAATTTCTAATGTACATCTTTTGTTGAAGTACGTCAGTGTACTTATTTGTAAACAAATGGCACATCAATTGTCTAAGATAATTTTCACTTACTTTTTCCCAATGGCCAAAACACCATACAAAGCAGCTGTGATCATAACAGAGCCACAGCCAACAAAGGTGGAGACTTCTAGGCAAAAAATAATTGGAAGGAGAGCCAACCTAGATAATTAAACAAAAACTGAATTCAGTAAACATCAAGCTTATATATTGAAGGCATTGCACTGATTGCACAATGCATTAGCAATTCATGAACCCTTAAACTCCCAAGATCTAATTCTTCCCTCCAGCTGCTTCACATTTCTTAGCAAAAACAGTAACAAGAATTTGGTGTTAGACCAAGATAACAACTATTGTGTGATACATGCAAGTTTAAGTGTTTTCAATATCTGTTTGCTGTATATTGTATGGATATCATAAGGAGAAAATACATGTTAATCTTTTCTGAGAGTTAAAGAATTAAGCATACATGTGCTGGGTCATATTTCAAGCTCATACTGTTAAAACCTCTTCAAAGTGTAATGCTGATGGGTAACTTGGCCTGAAGAGCAATCTTATGAACAATAAAAACTTACAGAAAATACAAGCATCCTCTCATCCAGAATCTAAAGTGACTCTCAATCCAGTTACTCATGGTTACTAGAGCTGGTACATACTGGCAACACATTGGAGCCTCAAAAGCTAAGATAACTGCACCCATCATTCTAAAAAATTACACAACAACATTACAATCAATTTCTCATCCCCATAAATTGAATGACTACCTCCTTAGAGGGTGCGTTATGAAAAGGTATACCAATTGAGAATCTCATCAAGTCAGTCAGCTAGTAAATGTTTTGAGTCCTGCTTCTGAAACGTTAATTATCTTCAAAACTTGTATTACATGCTGTCAAAGCAAGAGGTGGGCAGTAAAAAATTATTTCTGTGGGCCGTTTATTAGGTAGTTAGTAATAATTAACAATTACTCACCGAAGTGGAGGTGTATAGTGGTGGATGTTTACTTAGCCTCAAAACAACAAGGTAAATATCCACCACTTTTACTGACACTGAAGTGAATAATTGTTTTAGTATATACCACACAGATACCAAAAAAATTATTTTCTTTCTGTCATATCCCAAAAAATGGCCAGAAATTACAGCTGTAAATTGTTAATGTGTGATTTTGTCTCTTTAGCTGCTAAGAGGTGAATAGTACTTGCTTATCACTTCTGAACCAGCCAATCACCATGCACAAAAAGAACTATTCACCTGTGGTATAAACTAAAAATCAATATTCCAATATTTTTTAAGCAATGAGGGGTACAGTCAAGTGTGTGTGTGCGCAGTGTAGTGTGCAAGTCAAAAGCTTGATTTAAGGTTAAAAAATATCTTTAGGGCCTCCCTAACCCTACCTTGATGCAATACATTCAAGCATATCAACCAAACATGAAACCTGCTCCCTATACAGCGCCTTCAATGCAAGATTTAAATTCTAACAAATGTTAACTCATAATTGTACTTACATCATATAAATACCCATTCCTAAACATGTTGCTGATAATGTAAAAAGTACAAAGAAGCCAAGTGCTGCTGAACCTAACAGACAATAACATGATAGTACATGTAAGTTATCTATAAAATGTTCTGCCTAAAAACAAGACTCTGGTCTAAAGGCAAAGTACAGGTACATGGTAAGTCAGCTGTTTGATAATGGTAAAATTGTTATACAGCTCATAACTTATTTCAGACTCTTATAATTGGAAATCACTCCCAAAACTGTTGTCAAGGAAGCCATCACCCCCCGTTCAATTCCCTCAAAACCTGATTAACAGCAGGCCTGTGTTGTTTGAAAAGGGATGTTCATCTCCTTAAATCTTAGATAAATCCCTATCTGATGGATAGCATGGTACATTTTGTCCACACTTAATCCTTCAACTCCCAAGATCTCATTAGTAATTCTCCTTACTATCTAACAAATGATTCTTATTATGCTAGTTTGGAGAATACGGTATCAAATCAATTATTAATCCCATAATTGATATTTTTCTTAATTATCATTACTTGTCTACATGGTATTGCATATAATATATATAATAAGGAGAAATTCTGTCTAGATCTCTCAAGAGAGTTAAAGGGTTAACCAATGAATAGGGATTTATCCATTAGTTTCCCTTGTCTAGCCTTAGAACTACTTGATTGGCCCAGGAGAAAATATCCTTTCCCAAACAATAAACAAATCAAGTATTTCATTCCTCCAAAATGTTAGGAGTGCAAGTGAACTCAGTTTCACTTGCCTTGAGGTAACAAATAGTAACCGGTTATTTCCTTCTGCAGAACTATATTTGGAGGGCAACAACTTCCTTCATCACAATGTGGGGAGGTTAATACCACGCCACAGTTATTCAACTATAATTACCAAACAATTCAGAGGAAAGTTGCGCTTTTGATTACTTGTTGGCCTCTGCTATTATGTTTATTATTATCTGTACCATTTTGAAACACAACGCTCAAAACACTTCCATATTAGACCCTAATAATTCAAAAGAAAAAGTACACCTGAAATAATCATCACTGAAATTAATATTTCCTCATTTTTCATTTTCCGTAACAGTAAATATCCGGGAATTACATGTACATGGAGCAATTTCCATACAATTTGCCCACCATCTTCTAATTCTTGCAAATACCAAGATTTAGTTTGCAAAACATCAGATCAATTGTTATGCACTGTCGATGGAGTACCAAGCTAATGAGATTTTTAATCCACTTGCGGGTTTTCGTATCGTTTGGCAGCATACAACATAAATTTAAAGCTATGAAGGTTCAATTGAATTTTCGAAGTTAATTTTCGATTCGCAAATGAAAATTAAAAATTCGCTCTCTATTTGAGAGCAATCGTGGTTAAATGCATCGTCAACTCCTGAAAACACCGGACTAAAACGACGGAAAGTTTAACACAATCGTGATCTTTGACAAGCCGTAAATCAACTCTCAAGTAATGAAGCCAGTAAGTTTCCCTGCCAGAATATATTCGACGACTTGAAATATCTTGTTGACTCAGACCAAACAAAAAACCAGCAAAACAACTAAGTCATACTCGTCTATTAATCAAAGAAAAGAAAAATCTTAACAGAAAAACTGTCAACAAATATTTCCTAGAGCGATCAAAATATCGAAATACGGACGATCAAAATTCAACAACACTCACACAGCCCGGACACGGCGCCCCAAAATCTCACTACCACTCTCAATCCTCTGGGAACTTCTGTCGTGTTTGTCTCATCTGCCATCCTTCAAACAGAAAGTGTATTCAATGTATACCTGAATGAATTTTTGCTTTGATCCTAATTCACATTATTCATGAATTCACAACTCGCAGTATCAACTCATTTCCATAGCAGAGACCGTGAATACTGTCTGCGTGGAAAATGCATCGTACATATTCGGAAATCACGACGCTTTCCGATCTTTTTGAAAGCCCATATTTGGTTGCAATATTCATTCTTGTAAACGGTCGGATTTATATGCGCATTACTCTTAAAATTTGGTCAACATCTGCGCATGAAAGTCAACTTTGTGTCACGAAAGTCTTGTTTTTCAAAACTTTAACTTGGAGATGAAAAATAACGCCAAATATGAGGGAATTTGAACTTCAAAGCTTGAAATCACTTAGATCTGTCCCTCTCGTTTGTATAAAAATCATTAGCTCGTCAGGAAAAGCAAGTAATCTAACAGTAAGTTTACGTGATACAGTGAAGGCCGTGAAAGATAAAGCACTAGGGGGAGAATTTTCGAAGGAATCTCCGTGCTATAAACTCATCCTCGCCAGATCGAGTAGTGAACTGATTGACCAGAAAACTCTAGAGGAAGAAAATGTACAAGATGATGGTAAGTGCCGAAATTCATATCAAGACGTCTAAGTGGATATTATTGTATCTTTAGAGCAAACCCTATAATTCAATTTACTGTTGTTGTTTGTCTCGCTTCCAGACGAATTAGTACTCATCAGAAAACGACCTCATACTAGTGCTGATATCGCCGAAAAAGTAAGTGTTTTCTCGAACATTTTGTATATTCAGTGTAGACTAAATGATCACGATTCTAACTCCTTCATGTTTTGAAGGACGTTATCTGGAAAATTTCTCTTGGTCCTAAAGCTAATGGTATTAAATTCGTATTCAGTCCAAATCAAAGCAATCTAAATTTAGAAGTAGCTTCTATTTTTCTCTGTAATGCTTACAATATGTGGGTTAAATTAGGAGGTTATACTGTCGGAGATATTATTAAAAGGCAGACTGACTAATATACATACAGATTTCAAAGCACTTCAATATAAGTCATAAAAGTTGTATCGCATGCACACATTTGCCACTTTGTCCCCCTAGAATTTTTTTTTGAGTTTCGAGCTTATAGTTCTTTGTCTCTTTAATCAAGTCATCTTTTCTGTAGACTATCTTTGAGCTCCTACTCTAGAAGCTACATTAAAACGACTCACTGTTGTTTTAATGTGAGGGTAAAGTTTCCTTATGTTTCTTTGCTGATTTGTCATTCAAAAAACTACATAGGAATGTAAAACAAGTCCTTACCAAGTGCCTGACCTAAAGGGGGTCAAGAAGCTGACTGCCAAGCTTGTCGCTGGTAAGATAAAGGAGCCATCACCCAGCTTGTCACCTCTCACTCTAGATGTAAGTAAGATCTTCATTAGATTCATTTATCCAGTAACCACTAAATAAATTCATTGAACAACTATGTGAGTGATAAGAAAAGGCAACTTGGATAGGAAACAATGGCAAATTACAACTTGCAGACTATCTGTTTAAATTAAAGAGGAAAAAAATTGTCTAAAGTAGGATTTGATAGATGCAAACTTCACAAATGGATTAATTAGCAGACCACAGGAGGTGGAAGAAAGTGAAAAAATGTAAAAGCTATTGACAAAAGAACAATGGAAATGACTGGCTGATTGATTAAAGCCAATAAATGATCATAACAGTATTAATAATTTAACACTAATGTAAGAGTTAAAAGAAAAGTTAAGATAACAAGGATCTTGAATTTAAAACAACATACTAATTCAGCTCAGCTGGGTTTTCTATGTGCCCTTGTGTATCCAGTCTCCTTGAGATGGGACTCCTGGAGATATAGGCAGCTGACAGTTTCACTGCTGAATCCACTGTGTGCAGAATCCAACATATTATAACAAAACTGTTATCTTTCTTTTGATAAAACAATGAGGTATACATGATATTTGTCACTCCAAAGGGAATAATTTAAAAACATGGTAGTTCTACAAAATAATCATGCTGTTGTGTCATCACTGTTTGTTAGCAAAACAGAGGGTTGTATCAAGGTGTTTGTAAGAAACCTGTTGCATTGTACAATCAAATTCAAACAGTAAGCCAAAATGAAAAAAAGAAAAAAAAAAGGAAATAATCATTTGAACAAATTTTTTTTCCACAACAACAAAATTTGGACTGTAGATCATTTGCAGGAAAGATCCCAACATGAGGTTTCAAACTTGACTTTTTGCTATTGCTTATATAATTTGATGTATAATTTTACCACTTTATTAAAATAAATTTACTTATTTTCACAAAGGATGATGTTGAGCTGGGCAATGATTTTTGGGTTCTGCAAATTAAAAACCAGTTCCAGTTGTATCATTAGTATTAAAATTGATAATTGTAACAATAAACTATAACTTGATGATTTTTTGAATTTAGTTCAATTCAGAACTCAGGAGAATACTCATCTCCTTGATTGACTCTTCCATACTTCTTCAATCTGTGAATGCTGCTGATGAAACTGATAGCTCAGGTATGCGACAAATGAAATTATCTCGATTCTTTGGAAAAAGATCAGAATAAGAATTTCAGTTTCTCACTATACTTTCCTTATCACATACCTGTCTTTCATCTGGATTTTTCTTTGACTGTCTCAAATGGGAGCAATCCTTAAAGCATTGAATTAAGCTGAAATTCCACTTGAATCTTTGATAATAATAATTTAGTGGACTTCGTTTCTTTCTGTTGGAAGTCTGCTAAATGTATAAACTTTTTGCTAATTGTGATCTGTGAGTCATTTTTTTCTATCACACAGTACTGAATTTGTTATTTTATGCACAATCACCAGAGGATCTAATTGATGTTGTTTGAGCACACCTTTATGTTTTATGTACAGATTTTTATATTTTTACTGGACTATATTTCAGGTCAAGAAGAGGACAATCAGCCTAATGTTGATCCAGTAAGAGAACAAACACTTGCTTTGTTTTTTTTTTATATTTAATATGGGGAATATTTGCTATAATAGAAAGTGTTGTTGTTCATCATGGTTTTAAAAATAGATGAACATTTAATTGTTTGTTTCACAATGTAAGAGTCATGTTAGTCAACTATGTATTGATTGCAACTTTTTGACATGTAAACTTTCGATCTTGTAGCTGTATGAAGAGTAGCAGTATATATAGCAGTTGAAATTTTGTGATCAAGACTCAATTGATTAGCCTGACTCTTACATTGTGAGACAAATGATGAAACGTTCACTTGTGGAGTATATTTGTTGTGTTTCAATTTTTTGTGTGGTTGCAAATTTGTCAAACCTCTCATTACAAACATGCATGTACTTGTCTCTAATCTTTACCACTGTGTTGCAACTTGAAACAAGGCAAAATAAAAATCAAAACAGTTTGAATGAAAGTAATGAAATCACATGAAAAAAAATTCGAACTAGAGCATCCTCATAAATTGATGCAGAGTCATAAATTTGTTCAATTGTTATTAGTAATTTTTATCAAGTACATATTTATTGTTGATTTTGCAGACTGCACTCAAACAATTAGTAGATATGGGATTCAAAGACTCAAGAGCTAAAAAGGCTCTGATATTGAACAGGTAATTTATGTAGAATTTATGAATAATTATTATTATTTTTCTGCTAAGCACAGATGATGATAAGGGAGCCCAAAGACAAAATATTTGCCTTGCCTAATAAATGTCAATTACTGTCTCAGGATACATACATGTGTATTATCTGGTTAATGATTTTTATAACAATCCATCAAGCACTTTTTTCTTATTCTTTAGTCATCAATTAATGTGAGACCAGATTCCCTTATAGGGAATGTTGCTTCCTTTCCTAGAAGTGGTCTCATAGTTTAGTTGGTACTCAGCACCCTTTTAGAACATGTATCTGGGAGGCACAAGTTTGAACCTGTCAAATCCTGAATTTTTCTGGCTTCTTTTTCTCCAAATTGCAGTGTATCTGTGTGCACTATTTGTTTATTTGTTTGGAAATGTCAGGTAAAAAAGAAAGTGGCATGGCTCAGATCTGTAGTTTCATGAATTGATGGAACTGCATTTTTTCCTAAACTCTCTGATCCTCCTTTTATTATGACAGAATGTCTCCTATGCTGGCTATGGAATGGCTTCTACAGCATGAAAATGATGCCGACATAGACGAGCCTCTGACATTAGGGGCAAGAGCTGGGAAGAGTCGTAGGAAAAGGAAGGAGTTTGTTCCCAATCCAAGGGTAAGTTGCCTTCAGTGCACAAACACTGATGAGATACACTATATTACACATGTGCAGTGGATAGGGCAAGTTTGTAAATGAACAGTGTAGGTCACTATTTCCAGTGGACTTGAGGTGGTTGTATGTATTGTTACAAAGTGGTGGTAACTTGTTTTCTTAGGACCATTACATTTAGGAAAACCAAGTGAATCTTGAATGTCTGAGCGGATTGGGACTTCCATAAGAAAGTAAATGTATTGCGTGATAAAATTTATATACTGAAATATGACAGAAAGACAAAATGAGATTTAAATTGTGCAGTGGATAGGGCAAGTTTGTAAATGAACAGTGTAGGTCACTATTTCCAGTGGACTTGAGGTGGTTGTATGTATTGTTACAAAGTGGTGGTAACTTGTTTTCTTAGGACCATTACATTTAGGAAAACCAAGTGAATCTTGAATGTCTGAGCGGATTGGGACTTTCATAAGAAAGTAAATGTATTGTGTGATAAAATTTATATACTGAAATATGACAGAAAGACAAAATGAGATTTAAATTGTTGGAGTTTGTTTGAGTAAACTATGAAGTTATTCTAATATGACAAACCCTTTAGAATGTAATGTATCTGTCAATCACCTTAATTATTGGTTTGTAGCATGACTACTTAACCTGAACAAACCAACAAACTGTTTATGTTAAATATCTTTCAATAACAGTGTGAAAATTGACGCATTATGAAGTATGCGTTCATATTTATAACTTGTAATCTGTGAACATTTACATGTACAGTGTATTGTGCATCAGGATATTGCAATTAAGTCTTCAAACAAAATATGCTCATTATAACAAATTGTTAATTTTTGATATGCAAAATTTTAAATGATTTTAATAAGATGTTAAAATGAAATTATGTTTTTTTCTGTGTTGCAGGCTGTAAACAACTTGAAAGAAATGGGCTTTCAGGAAGAAGAAATTCTAGCAGCACTCAAAGCAACTGGGAACAATCAAGAAGCTGCTGTGAGTATAATATTCACAATATGGTCTATTGAACTTAATTTATTTTTGATTACAGTGAGTTCCAGTTCTTCAACTGAAAGCAGTACGCTCTATCCCTAATTGGCAAACATTTTGTTTCTACAAAATTACAAGGTTTTGCATGCCTTTATCTGGAAAGCTGATTCCACAAACTGAGCAACTTGTAACATAAAAGAAAAAGTTTCTTACAGTGCTTTAGTTAAATGTTGCTAGAAACAACTGTAAGTAGATACCTGTTTCAATCATCATCATGTTTGCATAAACATTAATGACCTCTCTATTAAAAAAATAAATACTTTGTAATGGCCTTGCTCACTGTAGAGTCTCTGTGGCTCAGTGGTAGAGCATCAGAGTGTGGAATCAGAAGGCCTGAGGTTTGATTCCTCATGAACATAGAATTTTTTTCCTTTGTCCCATGCTCTTGTCAAGATTTAAAAAAACCTTTTTTCATTTTTTCACTGAGCTCAAAATTTACCATCTTTTTCATTTTATTTGTAACTCATGTTATACTTTCAACAAATTATGTACATGTCTTTTTCAGAAGAATATACATGTGAAGTTTTATTTTTTGATGACAATGGTTACAATCATTGGTGTAAAATAATTCTAAATTGATTGTTGTTTTCTGCAGTGTGATTGGTTGCTTGGTGACAGACAGGGAGGAATAGGTGATATCAATGAAGGCTTGGACCAGTCTAGGTACAGATGCTGTAGATTAATTTTCAGGTTTTCCAGAGGGGTGCCCTTAGTTAAAATGGAGGCTTTCTATAAACTATTTTTGAACCAAAATACCAATCTCCTGAACTATTGCTCTGCTTTCAGGTACAGGTACCTTTTTTTCTTTTGCTGAAATGTTACCCTGTGCAATTTCAGAACAATTTAACAATATCATTAATTGTGTTGCATTGTGCAAGAATGTCAGGGGCCGCCTTTTTGCTCCCTTTTGAGGTTTTTTTTTGTTATTAGTACTTCTAGGGGAATCATGGTGGGGAGGGGGGAGGGGAGTGGTGGAGCTTTTTACCCATTTGATTTTAAAACCACAGAAACAGAACCTTTTCAAGCACTTATGTTATGCATTTGTTCTGCTTTTTTCTTTGATCAATGGTGTGTATTGAGTGAAATGAACTTGTCAAGTATTGCCTCCTGTCTGATTTCTTCCCTAGTCCATTGTATCAGGCCATTATGGAGAATCCTTTAGTCCAGCTTAGTCTTAATAATGCTCGAATTCTAGGAGGTACGTATATACGTCAAAAACTTGGGAATTCAATTATGTTCCATTTTGCCTTGTGTCAGTTCTGTTTTAGTAACAAAGAGGTCAAAATGTGACCATAAACAAGAACACGAGACGAGCTGCATGTAGTTGTATCGCTGATATTCTTAAACTACATTTTGAAAGTCGTTAGGGACCTTTAACTGAACAGACCCACATCAAAATAGATCTATTTGTTTAATACTTACAATTAACAAGAAGGAAAACTGAGGGAAATAATCACCAATTTCCTGGTTACGCTCGACTATTCGAGTTGTATATTTCTATTTCTGTAATTTGCTTGCTTGGGTAAGGTGTTACGGATTCCGTTTCTTTTTCTTGCTTGCTAACCGCTCTTGAAAAGTTTGTCGATGCCATAGTTAATCTTAGTAAGATGTCCCAGACATAAACTTTCTGAAAACTGCATGCCATGATGGTCAAAGTTTAAATAAAATTTTGAATGACGACATCAGTTCGTCTTTACTTTTATAGTGTATGGGCTTCGACCAATCATGGTGCACATAATATAAACTTCATGGTATAATTGAAAAAATAACAACAATTTTACACATTTATTCTTGCGTTTTAACGAAGTGCTGTTTTATGATCACGCTTTATAACTCAATTCTCAGTCATTCTTTAAATTCTTGTTTTCTTTTTTTTCAGCATTTGAAGACATGCTTGAAAATCCGTCGACAAGTTCATTCTACATTAACGACCCAGAAACTGGGCCAGTCTTACTGCAAGTCTCACGGATTGTGCAGGGATTTGCTAGATGATACTGAACCATATTACTAAACCTGTAAATATTTCATGTATAACAGTAGTGCAGTCTCATAACTCTTCTGAAAAGAGCGCTTATTTGCCAACATGTTAATATGTGCTTAGAAATGAAGCAACCACGATTGTGAGTTTCACGGGGGCTGCTCGACGATGAAAGTGGAGCAACTACTCAAGTTACAAAGTTTTTGTATCTGTTTTCAATTAGTTTTTTACGTTAAGTGTAAGGTAGCTAATTTTTGGCGCACAGTGCCCGGAAACTGTGGAGAATTCCAAATCACGGGCGACAAAATTGTGTACAACAGGCAGTTACTGTGAATAGGTTTCGCTGGTATAAGGTCCTATAGTTACTGTAATACAACATTAAATAGGTTTTAGCTTAGTACTTTGCTGATATTTTTTATTAAGTGTTGAGTTCTTGAGATGTTCCAGAATCCATTTGATTTATATCGCCTTCATCACGAAGTACATCTTACAGTAATGACAGTGACCGCGTTTTGAGATTCTAGGGATCAGCATTACCTTTGACTGCACGCGCCCGCCGCTATTCTGAAGCCAGCTGAGCAACCTGGCTACTATCAGATCTAAGTTGAAAAACTAGTTTGTAACATTTCTTTCTGTGATATTCTTGCCGTTTGAACTTCAAAATTGTCAATATCTCGATCTTTCTTACTATGTTACTGGAAACTTTGAGAAACGTACCCCAGGTGGCTGAATTTTTGGAGTACATATATTTATTTCAATTTTTTTCATTATAGCGTGGAATTTTCAGAGCATTTATCGTCAATATTCGAAGGGCTAGGTTACCTTGTTGAATCTCAAAACGTGGTGAGCTGTAATCAGTTTTAATTTGTACTTGTCAATGGCAGTGATTAAAGAAGGAAAGGAATTTAAGATGTTATTTGATTTTTGGAGCACGTTTCTACTTTGAAAGGAAACTGATATTTTTTTGGCGACAGGAATTTCTAGAGAACGTTGCCATCAATTTTCTCTTTAAAAATTTTCCTTGGTATATAACTCACAATTGAATAGTGCTTTTCATGCGCGTTGATTGGCTTGTTCGGAGGTGAATAGCGAATACTATTCACCTCCGAACAGCCAATAAGACAAAATCGCGCGTCAAGGGTTAAATTTCTGACCATTTTTCGGTATATTGAGAGAAAGAAACTACGTTTTTTGGACCTGTGTGGTATGAACAAAAGCAATTATTCAACATCAGCGTCGGTGAAAGTGGTGGATATTACCCCACTGCATCTCAGCTCGGTTAATATCTACCACTATTCACCTCCACTTTGGTGAACAATTTTTAATTATGTGCTCCTTTCTAAAAACCGATTTTGGGACATTGTATTGTCTATTAAAAGTTACTAAGAGTTGTAACAGAGAATGATCTGGCTCCAATCCTCTGAGGCAAAAAAAGGGTGCTCTTTGGCCTTTTTTGGTTTGCATTTTTTTTTGTTTTTTTGTTTTTTCAATATTTGCAAACCAAGGCAATTGATGTTGAATATTTTGTTCAATATACTATTTATATTTTATTTTGGTTGAGATGTTAGACCATTGGTATCTGATCATATAGGGTTTCACCCTAAAATCAACCTTTCGCAGGTGTAAGTAGTTATAATTTTGGAATAATTTCAATTGAATATTTTTTAGTATTTTTTTTAGGGAAATTTTCAAAAGAACAAGATCTCCATGCTATGGATGCTGTAGTGCTTAAGTGCGGAAAATAAGCGATAAAAAAAGGGCTCCTTGTACGTCACGATAGGCAAATCTATCACCAAGCCTAGATAGATTGTTAGACAGGAAGTGAAGTAAACAAGATGGAATTGAATTGAGTTCTAAGCGTGTTTTATCTCTGAACCGAAACACCAGACAAGGTTTTTGTTTGTGGATATATAGGCGTGTTTTTTATCTCGTGCTTCTTTTGCGCCTTCTGCCTCTGTTCGACGCTTATCTCCGCTGACCCTCAACGCTGTACAAAAGAAGTCACACATGAGCGATCTTGAGAAATGAATTTATTGGATTCTCTCTGGCAGGCCTTGCCATAGTTGGTAATAAAACCGGGCCTCGATCCGATCCCCTTCCGTAGGTTTTTGGGGAGGCAATTTGTCACTTATCATCCTCTGTGGGCAATATGATTTATCATAAAAATTGTTTGTTAATCAAAGGTGGACGGGGTTTTGAGGATCTAAACAGTCTGTTGCGCTATCTCATTTTCATGCGGCTTTGATCGCCACTACTCATGAAAATCAACTTTTTAACAAGTGATAGAGATAATTTATTGAAAGTCACACAAAGTTTTGGGCGGCTTGTGATGTATTCAAATCCCTGAGATCGGTTTTACGTCAGAAGCATATCTTTGATCTCGTGGACGGGTGAACTCAAGCATCACTAATTTTACAGAATAGAACACGTAGCGTAAAACGAGAGGCATATACTGTATCTCTGTTACTATCCAGAGTTTTATTCAAAGCCTTACCCGACATTGATCGAGAAATGCACAGTCATTCGAGATTGAGTAAGGCTAGGAAAACTTTTCTTCTCAAAAAACATTTTATAAGCGGAAATCCTGTCACTCTTGAAATAGAGAGGCCCTTTGTTTCTCCTTTCCGAGAAATTGATCGTAACATTAAACATACAAATTAAATTTCCGAGAAAGCTTTACAGTTCGGGTCATTATCTATTTTTATTTCCAGTTAAATGTCCGCATCTGTCTGTTGTTCAATGAAAGTTATAATTTTGTCGGAAAATCAGGTCTGCCCTATCGCGTAAAGTCCCTCTGGTGCATGGAATGGAAAGGCCATAATTTCCTTTTCTTAAAGACAAATGATTGACTTGCAATGGCCCGGTGTCTCTTGACCTTCAATTTTCGACAGCAAGGGCCTCATCCATGTGCACACATCCGTCATGCTAAATTTCGCTCGCATACATTACATACCAGCAAGATTTCATTGGCTAAACTAGATCTTAGCCCAAGGGGTTGCCATGGACGCTAGATTTATGCAGATGCTAATTTAGTCTTAACCAGAGTAGTAATAATTAACTCGATGTTTCCTGTAGACAGCATGCTCAAAATAAATTTCCATCGCGAAACAGCCGTGCAATAGGAGGGCAACTCATGAAGCTTCCGCTTTCTCAACTAGAGGCATTTACTTTAAACCACCCATCAGGCTGGACTTAGTTCTGAAGCGTCTTAAGCAGTGACTTGTTTTACTTGGATAAAGGTTTGTCTGCAACTTTGCGACTTTTTGATTTGTGTTATCTCTTCTGCACGAAGGTTTGTAAAATAGATTAAAACCGTGCAGCTATCAGTCATAGTTAAGTAATTTACTGTTAGCACGTGCTCTCTTCAGTGTCTAACATAACATCATGATGTCGCTTTTAAAATTCTCTATTCTTCCTATGTCTCTGGCGTCGAAGGAAAGTTTCCCTCGTCTGCTAATTCTTGGTGAACCTGTTTATTTCTTAGTTCATGTCCTTTTACAGGCCGTGCCTTTGTGTTTAGTCCGCTTTCGTCTTCGTATCTTCGCTTTCGGTCCGCTGCTCTCACAAATTTAGTCACATTTTATTTTCTTCCTGCCGGTCTATAAGTCAGCGTATAACTGCAAATGTAGCTAAAGTGAAGTGTTAAGCGAAGAAATTTGTCTGATCCGATGTTTTCATGCTTTGGGTTAAAAATACAGAGTATTGTTTGCAGAGCGGTACCCTGGAGCTGCACATTACATTTCAATCAGTTCTACTCTTTCATCCGTTGAAACCTTCATAAGGCAATATTCTATCAAAATAATAAACTGCGTTATATCGCTAATGTTGGTAACTTCCAGACAAGGAAGGAATCGTGAGCATGCTGATAAAAAAAAGAGTTTATTTAATAATTGTTCTTTTTGATAACCTAATCAATAGAAGAAGTTCACTTGTGAAAATTATCCGTGAGTTTATTTGATTCGAAACCTCGCGTGATCTAGATGAAATTCGTTTTTACTTTTGTTGACATTTATGTGTATGACAGCATTATGTTATGGTAATTTCAAGGGTCGAATCTAGCGTATCTTTCCTTTTCGAAACTGTGATCGGATTTCCATAATTCGTGAGTTTGCACATAGAATCATTTAGGCAATCATTGATAAATACCTTGTCGCCCGGCTTCCAAATCGATCATATGACATTTTGACATTTGAGAAAATAAGCGGTGCAATTCAAATTTTTATTCTAAAACCCTGAAGTTGAGCCTGCCTTATCGTTTTATGAGATTTGTGATCGAGAAATACTCATTCATACAAGACATTTGAGAACAAAGAATCTTTGAAAGTCAAAACACCTCATTGCTCCTTAAATCATGCATATCCTTTGATAACCATTTCGGAGAAATCGATTGAGTTATTCTAAGAAAGCTTTCGTCATTTATTGTATTTTTTCCTGAAGATCAAGTTTCCTCGTTTGAATATCATCTTCAAAAATGCTCTTCTAATTATAGTAAAGAAGATTTCGTCGGGGAAATATCTCTCAACATGGAAATGAAGTGATATTTTGTGATACAAATTAAGGAAATATGAAGTGCAATTCTCTCCTTGGACATACGAGATAAGAGTACTCTCTAAGACATATGAATAAAGGGGTAAGTTTCTAAAGAAACTGTGATTCGCTCTGACGAAGGGCTAACGCTCGAAACGTCAGCTTTTTTACCCTTTACGGTGGCTAATTTACGTTTTCAACCCAGTTGTTAACACTAAATTACCTACTCTCTAAGATATATCCTTGTTTATTATTGAGTGGTTTCCGGAGAAATTGATCGAGGTATTCCAAGAAGGCTCCTGAACTGAATTTTTCTTGTTTGAATATTACGTGCGAAAAATGCTCTTATTGTAAAGAAGATTTAATGAGGGAAAAATTTTTTTTGATGAAATATGAAGTGCAATTCGTATTGTGGAAGAGGTTAGCTGCTCCCCTCTCCATCCATTTGAATTTACGCATATTTTGCTGCTAATTTTTATCGCACTGGCTCTTGAACACAGCAATTTTTATTCAAGGCATTTCATCGAAGATAGAAAATCATTGGAAAGTAGTTATGTTTTTTTTCTGAAATGGTTCCGCCTTGAGATTTTTGATGTTTCTGCCTTGCATTCTTGATGTTTGTAAAACCGTCTCAAAAACACGCCGACGCGGCTGTGAAACACTTGACCGCGCACAGTAGGGTAATCCACCCTCTTTCATGCATTTTTCGATTCCACCACCCGAGGTTTTTCTTAGTAACCATTCTTTCAATTAGCTGGTCTTGATTTTTAATTGTTTCACTCTGTGACCGCTCCATCTACTTGATGAGGTGACGCTTTTTTGCGAAACTTCGTACATTACCTTCTGTAGGCAGGTCTGGATAAGAACTTGTGGCTATTAGTTCAGTTAACTAAGTGACTTGCATGCAAAGAACGATTAGAAACGGAACTGATATGAAGCTGATCCGTTTTGTAGCAATTAACATATAGAGGGAATCCGCCGTTACCTGCGCAAACCTTACGTGATCGGTGGACAGGGATGTGTATGACAGCATTATGTCCGCGCTTATTTTACAATTAGATATCCAAATAAGAACTTGAACTATGATTAACTTCCTTTGTATAACCATGCTGTTTAAAACTGTAATCAAAGTGATTAGTCCTCTATTGTTTGGTGTACAACTGCAATATGATAGCGAGTACATGTAATGTTTTTACAGTTTAGATAATTTGTGACATGTGACTCACTTTTTTTAAAACCCCAAAATTGGGAGTTTTGCTTACCAGTTGTGAGAGAATATTCATAGACATGATGGAGAAATGGGCATTTATTCAAGACTTTGGGTACGAAGATGATTAATTTTTCAAATTCAAAGCTATATAGCAGAACATCCTATTTTCTCTAGATAGTGTTCCATTGTTAATCGACCATTTCCGCGAAAATGATCGAGAAATTCCGAAAAAGCCGAACTCACGCCGAGTTATACTCTCTTAAGGCAGTTTAAATACTAACTCTCTTAATCCGACCTTTGTTCTGTCTTAAAAATCCTTGTGCTTAAAAAAAAATTTGATATATGAAATTTATCCGTCTTTAGCCATGAATCCTTCGTATGCACTTCTGGATCTACCCGTGAATGAGTGCAAGACTCTTGACGAAGACGGAGTGCTTTATACTTTTAAAAAGGCCGATCATGCCAAAATTTTGTTGAAGAACCTCGCCTTGATGCAAGCAAATGAAGGACTTTTGACAGACGTGGTCCTGCGCTCTACGTCCAAAGATTACGAGGAGCCCCTTCATTCCATTCTGCTTGCTGCCTGCAGTCCTACCCTTAAACAGAATCTTACAGGAAGGTACTTTGATTTCACCGGTGGCAAACTCTCTTTGAAGGGATTGAACAGAGATATACTTATTGCCTTTCGTGATTTCATTTACAAAGCAGAGTTCCCATCACGTCAAGAACTGGTAGATGGCCTTCGAAAGGTTGCTGCAACATATGGAATCGACTCTCTGAAAAAGCTTTGCGACCGTAACAGCAATGAACAAATGTCGGTGTTGTGGAATAGTCACCGTGAAGATCTGCTTTCGCAACTGTACGAAATGTACCAAAAGTCTGAATTGACCTCCTGTTTGTTAGACGATGGCAATGGTATAACACAGGCAGTCCATGCACCAGTTGTCGCAGCAGCATCGCCAGTGTTGCGGAAAATTTTGACAAATGATCTGTTCTCATCAGAAGAGACAAGATATCGTCTAAAGGAGATTGCGCCAGACGTCTTGGAGGATCTTGTGAAGTACATATATACAGGTAATGTTGCAGTGAACGGAGAAAACGTGGCTGGTCTTCTCAAAGCTGGATGTGGTTATGAGATTCCCGCACTTGCAAGAGCCTGCTGCGATTGGCTGAGTCTAAAGATGGATTGCTTTAATGCAGTCAATATCCTGTGGCTGGCACGTGAGGAGAATTGCAAAGAAACCAAGGTTCTTCAAGAAGAGGCCAAAAATTTCATAATTGGTAACTTTACAAGCGTTAGTGAAGAAGACGAGTTCGTCGAGCTTGAGTACGAAGATCTGAAAGCGATCATACAGTTCGACGATCTTAATGTGAATTGTGAAGAAGAAGTCTTTAACGCGGTTGCCAAATGGGTTAGTGCTGAGGATGAGCGCATACGTTACCTACCAGCGTTGCTGAAGTGCATTCGACTGGAGAATACAAGTCCCGAGTTCCTTCGAAGTCTTCTGCAGCATCCTCTTATAATGAAGAGTGCTACGTGCGTTGAATATGTTCAAAATGCTCTTGAAAGTCAAGCCTCGTTTCATTTGCAAGAAGACACAACCCCAACTGAAACCTTCAACGAGTCTGAGCAAGACTCCTACCCTAATCAATACGACTTTGAAGACGCTATTGCCAGAGACCTGACACCAGAATTTCTGTCGTCGGAGTTGGAGCTTCCTAAGTCAGACGCTATTGCTAAAGACCCGACACCAGAATTTTTGACGTCGAAGTTGGAGCTGCCCGAGTCAAAGATACCAGCCGTGCAGACGCCAAGGAGGGGTCAAAGGAAGAATGGAACTCCTGACATGAGGTTTAAAGAGAACAGGCGGTTGTTAGGCCTGCAGAATAAAGACCACTCTCCCGATAGGCGGTTTAAAGTTAACAAACGAGGCCTCAACCTCCCGTTGAAAAAGGATGGCACTGCAGACATGAGGTCCAAAATAAACCGTCAATCCCTGGGCAGAGATGACGAGGGGCGACCACTGACAAAGGCAGGTACGCCAGATAGAAGATTCAAAGTAACAAGAGATAAGGAGGCCACGGTGAAATCTTCTTTAAACAGTGGCAGTACACCAAGCACTGGCCCTGTCAAGAAAGATGGTACGCCTGACATGCGTTACACTGTTAACAAACACCCCAACAGCCTGCTGACCTCATCAAAAACAAGATCAGCGAGTGCTCAGGTGAATAGTTCCTCGCGTGTTGGTGGACCATTAAAGAAAGACGGAACTCCTGACATGAGATATGCAGTCAACAAACAGTCTTCCTCTCCCTCCCCTTCCAGCAGCTATGTATCATATAGAGGTTCAAGTGGCCCACTGAAGAGAGATGGAACTCCCGACATGAGGTATGCAGTCAACAAACAGTATACCTCTCCGTCTCCCTCAAGCAGCTACAGAGGAAGTTCGTCACAGCTGTCATCATATAGCAGTCTGAGTAGGCCATGTAAGAGAGACGGAACTCCAGACATGAGGTATGCCGTTAACAAGGCGTTCAATGGCAGCAGTCCTGCATCCTCTGGCTATTCCTCTGGTGGGTCCATCTACAGTTCGAGATCATCTCTCAGTGGAAATGGAAGTGGGTCGAGTTCACGCGGTCCACTCAAACGCGATGGTACTCCAGACATGAGGTACGCAGTAAACAAGTCGTTTTATGGTAGTTCACAGTCGGTTGGATCTTCTTTTGGGGGATCAAGCTACAGTTCCAGGCCATCTTCCAGTGGAGGAGCCTCCCGATCCAGCTCCTGTGGTCCCTTAAAGAAGGATGGTACCCCAGATATGCGATATAAAGCTAACTGGCGGTAAAAAACTCCAAGTGCGAGAGGTATCAGACTATTTTTTTAGCCCAATATTTCCTTTGTCATTTCGTGATGATTCTATGATAAGTGGATTAAGATCTCATTGTTCTGGTTCTTCGTGTCAGATCTCAGGCGGGTAGAAAATTTCAATTAGGTGCGAGTTGTTCGAAGCATGATGAACAGTAATCCATAACCAACATCTTTGGCAAAGAGTCCTCGAACATCATGGCTTTGTCGTCTATGCTCTGTTTAACTTTTTTTTTAAATAAATGGATTTTCTTTCCTGAACGCAAACGAAAAAAATCTGCATATCGATTTCTGCAATAAGCCTGAATGCAGCCTGCAATCATTAGCCAGCCATAACAGTGATGATTTAAATACAAAACCGCTTAACACTGAGACATAGCTAGTTACCTACACAGTTAGGTGAAGCCTGAAGTATGCGCCTTAATCTCGTCACGTTAACCACATACCACCCATATGATAGCTAGAGTAAGCGCCATTGTATATCAAGCTGGGTACTCTTGTGTGCAGAACAGGAATTCTTTTGATAGCTACACGTTCAATGCTAACAGTTATCTTATTGAACATCGGTTATCTTATCACTCATGTGTGTTGAAGTACTTGCGCTGCAAGTACTTTGTCGATAGAGCAGTTTTTAATTCAGTGTCGAAAATCATCCGGGATTGCTTTGATTTTACTTAAATTTACTCTGTGGTTGGTCCAGAAAACTCACACTTTTCTCTCAACAAATCAGATGAAAACTTAGAACAAGCGCAATTTGGTCACTCGCGTTTTCCCGCGCCTCTAGCAGTTTGCTTTTTTTCACTTTGAGTTCTTATTGGCTAAGGGCAATATGCACCTTTGTTATGATTGGTCGCTTTGATTACTCTGGTTTTGGTTTATCGACTCTCAATTGAAAACTGCGCTAATTATCTTTATCTATGATAGGGAACAAATAGTGAAGTATTGTTTTGAAAGGTCTCTAGACGTTGGTGAAGCTATATACAGATATATTGCCGGGTTTGTTTACGTTACATTTTTCTTTAAACTTTGCTGTATGAAGGTGATGCTTTGTGTTCCTTGGCATATTTGTGAAGGCACTTGTTCAACCAAACTATTTTGCACGTTCGTCTCAATTTGGTTTAGTTGCTGGATGCCATATCACTGTTATAATTGGCTGCCACTTCGACAGTGGGAAATAGTTCCTGTTCGACTGATACTTGTGCCGGTAATGCAGCTGTAGTGAAAATTGGCACCTAACCTACAGTTGTTGCGACTTTGTCGTGCAACCTTGTTAAAAAATACTTCGTTCAACATCATGGTGGTCATCTGATGATGATGCCTGGTTCACAGAAATCTTTTATCAGCTCACGATCATTAACGTATTTTCCAGTTGCGTATTGCATACATAGGGGTATCAATGCAAGGTGACACGCATGATTCTTTAAGACATCATTCTCACACATGATTTTCCGTTGTGATTCCCTAAAATTCTCACGACTCTAAGAAGCCTGAGAAAGCAGCTAGAGGCTCTCTTGGTGCTTAAATTTGTAGAGAGGTGTTTGAGAGGTTTTGAAAATGGAACACCAGCTGACTCGTAATGTTTTTCGCCTGAGTCACTTGATTTGTGTCAGAATCACGACAGACGATCATGCATCACGTCTCTTACACTAGGATCAGATGTAGGCACAGCACTGATGTTAACTGCAACATCTAATCTTGAATAACATTAAAGCAATGACAAAAATAGGTTTTCAAAGATTTAATCGAAGAGTGGTCCAAAGCGCGCGGAATGTTAAGTCAACGTTAACCATAATACATTATGTTGCGCCAATTTGCATTAACTTCCTGATTGGTTGAAGTAGCGCCACAGTTTCCTAGCATGAATCGAATAGTGATCTTCTTTAACTGATCACTGGCTTTTTTGTTAGCGAAAGTGTCTTCGTTTTAACTCTTCGTGGTTGGTATGGACAATAAGCTGTCTATAGTTGAAAGATCAACCTTATTTTTATAACTCATGATCATTCATTGAAGTAGCGTTCTCCATATTTTTGTCTCATAGCTCCTTGAGGAACAATTTTATATACTTTGTTGCTACTTTTTTTGTAATTTAGCTTGTTCTTGTTAAGAAAGATATACTGAAACACTTATAACGCTAAACATAATATTTGTAAACTAATGGTTTCATGTGTTGACGATTAAGAATTTGTTCTTTTTAAGCTCAATTGCTGTCAACGTCAAATCTGTCTAAGACTCCTGAATCATTAACATGGAATCCCAGAATCACACGAGGCCGCAATGGGAGGCTTTTGGCCAGTGCATTCTTCATCTGACACTTTGACTTTCTTGTTGGATGGGGTTGTCCTCACGCAACTTACTTCAATCATTCTCAAACCTTGACCACAAACGGCGGAGCACTGGAACAAAAGCAAGAAGTTTTGCTCGTAATGAGTATTGACCTTAGAATGCTTTTCTACTTTATGTCATGAAACCAAAACTAAAGTGATTTGGTCAGATTTCCAAGAAAGATTCGACTTACCACTTGTATCAATGAAATTTAGTTGATTCTGATTTGCGTTTTCTAGCCTAAGCAATGTTCTGTGGTTTTCGCATCTTACACAATTCTCTGAGACACCAGGAAATTTCTTGCGATTTAGTCCTTTTTGCAGCTCTTCCCATTTCTGCAGTGTAGGAAACTTAGCCATTATCCGCTAGATTTCCCCCGGGATTCCCCTCTTTCTTCTTTCCACACCATTCCTACACCGACCCCTACAACTTCAATTCATTTCCCGTGCTTTTCGTTTTTTTTTAAATCAGCTAATTATAAGATCAAGTTAACCATCCCACACTTTCTGGGATTAATATTACTTCGGCTATCTCTGTAAGCAGCTTATTCCACTGCGAAAATGCATTATGCCACCTAAAATGGAATGGCGGAGTTTATTTCTGGATCACTAAGTCTCACACCCTCCCTTAATGACTTACCGGACCTGACGAAAGTGTGACCCACTCAGCAGGACAGGGTTGCATTGCGCATGGCTCTCGTGTGGCAGGTTTTGGTCCTGCGCAGTAAGATTCTGAATCTTCCGTCTCGATTTCATGAGATTCATCGACACACATTATCTCCCGCGTCCTCTCCCCAGGGTTTCCATCGTTGCAGGTCTTGGAGCAGTCGGACCATTCTCCAGTTTTCCATCTGAGGGAGAGACATATTTTACTAAGAAATGCTCTTCGTGCCTATTATGAGGTATCATGACTCGAGGAAAACGAGAAAAACAATAGTAGTTAAGTTTTTATTACCTAGCTGGACATTTTCGAATATTGCACTCAGAATTCTCTTCATCAGGCTTTTCTCCCTTACAGTAGTGGTCACTGACAATGGATCCGTCATCAGCGCGAGCACAGGTTGGTCTGCGTACCTCTATACCTGTTAAAGATCACGAACAATTTTTGTTTTGTAAGCAGCACAAATTACTTTCCTGCAGTATCAAAAAGTGGTTTTCGAATTTAGAAAAATAATAATAAACTTAGTTCCTTTTCTAGCCATTGTAATGAATCAGTTAAAAAATTTCCTACCAACCTCCACCACAGGTCTCGGAGCAGCCCAAAGATCGCCTTATCCATTGGAAAGTGACTTCGTCCTGCTTAAGGCTCCGCTCAATTCTCGTATCGTCGTCGTTTGCCTCCTTTAAACGAGGGACGAGATAACGAATCCTGACTTGGTATTCTTCCTTCCATGATTGAACCAGATACTGAAAAACACGAAATTGATCAGTGGTAAAACAAATCAATGACAAAAAAATTCATATACTCATAATTTGACGACGTCGAGATTAATTTTGGTCCCAGAATCTTTCTTCTTTTCTCCCGGTCCAGTCCCCCTTTTAGAGTCAAGGGATATCCCCTTCCCTCTGCCATTGAACCCTTAAACACTTAGAAGTGACCAGCTTCTTATTTCACCTTCTAGTATCCTTGCTGAATCATACACTAAGATCATGAGAAACGAAATGATCTTGACACAATTTTCTTTGTCAACCTCATATAATAATTGCATGGAGACCAGTATAGATACAAAGGATTAAAATGTGTTGTCAGATTTTCCGGTTCCGTTTTTGGTAGATCAAACACAACCGCTGAACTGTCTTCTCACCAGCAACTCTACATCTTGGTTGAGGGGTCCTTGTGCAGTTATTCTCTCCCTTCCGTTCTCATCCCTTACGTATTTAAACCTTGTACCAGCGCCGACAAACGCGAATGAACGAGGTTTGATACGGAAGTCCATGTTGAGTAGATCTTCGCCGGCAACTGTCATCATGGCTGTTGATGGTAGCAAAGATAGTGAGCACTGAAACGGCTATGCCAAAAAAAATGTGGTGAAAAAAATAGATTTAATTGCGCAAAGTAAAAGCTGGTTCATGAACGGGCGCGGCACACGAATAATTATAAAATTATCATATTGAATAACTAATTATAGAAGATAGGGAAGCGATTATGAACTTACAGCCAGACTTGAACTTACCCAAGTAATTCTTGAAACCACTTAGTTCCTTAATTTGGATATTTCTCGTTCCGTCTGGAATTAGTGCGATCGACTGATAATGTCCTGGCACAGTTGATAAAAACAAAGTATAAGAAACGATGAGAGAGTTACAGAACAACTTTTTACGTCCACAGTTGCCTGGAGGAGAGACGCTATTCTTACATTTTGCAGGCGTGCACATGTTGAGGAAAATATGTAAGCAAAGAATGACACCAGCTCTGCAAGCCACGTAAACACAGTTATACGTAGTTAAAAATGACGCCAACAGTTGAGTCTTTTTCCGAATTTCTCTCAGATCTACGATCACTTTCTTTCATTTTACAATAAATCGTTTATTTCGTTTACGCTTATTGAAATACCTTCGTCCACAGCTTTTTTAGTTTTAATTTCGTGTATTTTAAAACTTTGATCCACTGACCTTTTATGGGATTAGGCAGCCCTTTATATGTTAACCTTTTGCCAATGCATGTAGTTCCGTCCCCATCACATACGCCACAACGATCAAACTTTTGACTGGAGCCGAGAACTTTGTCACAACCTAGTGGCTAGAGGGTGACAAAAACGCGGGGTCAGACTTAATTTTTCTGAATTTTAGGGAACAGCCGACATTTCGTAAGAGTTTCTGTGTATATGGCGTTCGTGTGTGTTTGAGAAGGGAGGAGTGGGAGAGGTTCAGGGGAGGTTGTGCTATCTTGGTGTGCGTAAGAAAGAATGTTATCACTTTTCCACCTAATCCCTTTGCTTGGATATCAGGGAAATTGTTTCAGCATAATCGGGTAAGGAACAACATGTTGGTAGGACTATGATTTATAACTTGCATTTATAAATGTTTTCTTGAGCATCAAAAGTCTCGCGTAAGCTATAAGCAACGCATGGATGACGGAAATAAGCATTAGCGAATAAGTTTTACAAAGACAGCATTACCTGACATTTTCCATTGACACAAAGCCCACTGTTTTCGTCATAGTCATCACACCGAGTTCCGTCGGCCACGAAACCAAATGAGTACTTGGCGAATTGCCGAATACCTACCTCAGCGATACACGATAACTTACACTGCTGACCGGCTGAAACGAGAAGCAAGATGGCAAAGTAGTTCACTCGACATACTCGTGAGCAGTTTTATGTCAATTCGCGCTTCGTAGCTAAGTGAATACAAAAAAATGTTCAAGTAATGGCGTTAAAAATCTCCAAGTAGACGTAAATGCTAGTGCATGTAACATCTTTTTGATCCCTCTAAATTGAACACGAAACCTTTGAATTTTAATTTCCTAACTGAAAAAGCCAAACATGGTACTAGAGATAAAACTTTGACTTTATTAATATTTTTTTTCAAGTCTTGTAGTAATAAACTTTTCTGACGATATTCTATCTC